TTTACTTTCACTAGGAATGTTTCTATTATGAGAATGACTTCTATTTTGATAACTAATTCAGTGTATTTCGTTCTTACACTCCCCCCCCCCCCTTTTTTTTTTGTCCGCAACATTTTCACAGACGCCCGCCCGTCGCCCCAGTTCCCAGCCCACCACTTCCATTATCCGGGTTCTGTCGGAAGATTTGACACTCTGAGAAAATAGCATTTTAATCTGGATGGCGGAAAGTAAACCCCTGCCGTCTCCACGACGTAGGTTGTCTACAGTGTGCAAATGTTGTTTTGGGGAATATTACGTGGTGAGGAGCCAGTCTTCTCCACGGTGAGACTCTCGGACAATTGTCCGGAAACCACGAGAATGTTTTTTTTAAAAACCGTTCACCTGGAAACAAACACTAGTACTCAAGGATCTAACATTGTAAACCGTGTTCGCTAACCTCGAAGCCATGGAGCCACATAGTATGGTAGACCAACAGGTTACATTCAAAGAAGTTATAATTTGGGGCACCCGTAAATATTACACAAGTTCGATGTAATCTGCAGCTCTGTGCAGGTAAGAATATATTTGTCAGTGAATCTGTCTGGCTTTCTTGCAGAAACATCTGTATACTCCTAACATACTGGCTTGAAGTGAGCTCGAGATGTGCCAAAGCTAATCAAGTAATGGGGCAATTATTTTTCGTGTTGACACACAAGCAGATACCCCGGAGTACTAAAGTGAATCTTATCAGAACTATTTTTCGGCCAGCACTGTGCTACCAGTGCCAAAAGTGGACACTTAATCCTCCAATAAATCTAAAATAGTGACAACAGAGATGAAATTCTTAGAAGAGCTGCAGGAGTTTCAAAGAAAGACACTACGAAATCCTGAAATCAGACAAATGGTAGGAATAAAGCCAGTCTTACAGGTCATCAAAGAACAACAAATGAAGTTGTTTGGACACCTAACAAGTATGTCCTGGTACTATCTGCCACAGCGAGCCACACGACCTCGGAAATTATGGAATTATGGCATTAAGAACAACCTTACAGAAATGAACATCAGTCTCAATAGAGCTTTTGACAGAGCTCATCAACGAACGTTACATCTCCCTTCGACACTACGCTGAGTTACAAGGTGGAAGAGAAGAAGAAGAAGAAAAAGGATGGCTTGAGACTTCAGACCAAATGCTCAATCTGCCAGTTGTCTAAAAAAAAAAAAAGTTGCGAGAAAAGGAATGGCGGGGTTGGGGAGGTAAGACTCTGTCTGGTAATCATTCTAACGCATTGTTGTATCTAAGTTTGTTCTCCATGCCGTGGTTCAGTTGTCTCATGGTCTTCCCATTGATAGTGTCATTACATTTTATTCACCCTGACTTTCTGGGGGTGGTACCAGAGGGAGCCAAGCCATTTTGTCTGCTGGTTTTCAATGAATTATAGTCTTGTTGTGATTTCAGCGTTTGACTAACAGGGAATTTATTTGCGACATCTGGATAATTATTTCTTAGATGTAAAAACCGAACTGCTAAAATAACTACCTGTAATGGCGATAACTTCCGGTTACTACCGAAGTCTGGTGTGTGGTGAAATCATTTTCAAGGAACATTTTACTTTCACCCTAAAACTTTTCTAATGCCTCCAAAAAAGAAACCGAACGAACCGAGTAAGAAGACGGTTGAAAAGAAGAAGGAAAAGATTATTGAGGTGAGCGATTTAAAGCATTAGGATGTCAAATTTATATTATAAAAATTCTTATAATCTTATAATACTGTCCCACCACAATCTGATGTTTCTACTGCTCTCTTGAGATCAGCAAGGTTTTAGTTCTTGAGAAACTTCTTGTGTCGCGCCATGCGAGGCATTTCGATATCAGTGATGGAATCCAGAGCCTTATAACCTCTCAACAACGTTACCCCCATGATTTCCCTTTAATTTATTTGTTTATACAATCCATTCGCTTCCTTTTTTTAAGTGCCACTTGGGGGGTGGGGGGGGGGGGGGGGAGGTGAAATGCCTGAGCATCCAAATTTTGTAGCTCCTGATCCTGTACTGGATTCTGGAAGGGGGAAAGGGGCGTGAAGCTACTCAGTCCCTTGCCAACTTTCCCTACCCTATCCCAAGAGCCTCGATCGATAACAGTACGGTTAGAGCTTTTGTTCACCAATACAGAGGTTCAATTTTGTCCTCTTCTTCTTGAGTTCGCTTTCTGATTTACTTTGACAGACAGTTCTTATAATAAACTTGACTGTTTTTAGTTTCCTTTTTAGTTCCATACAGCTTTGAGTACAGTTTTCACTCAGTGGGCCAGCATTCCCGTCTTTAATAGGCTGTACATGGGATAGTTTTGCACCACATGTTCTGTAGTCTGCGCACACGAACATCATAGTGACCTGCTTAGACGAAGCCAATAGATATGCTTGTTAAGTTTGTTGTGTCCATCCCGAGGCGTGGAATAATGACCTGCCCTTGCCGGCCAAGTCTTCTCTGTAAACTCCGAAGAAAGTTTTAGTTGTTGGTGCACCAATAGACTTTAATATAGTTCCAGAACCTGAGTATTGCGTGCACATTCATTTTACAGATCTGACTTATTTGTATTCAGATTGTTGGTTCCTTGCCTCTGAGGCAGATGCGCTCCGACTTCAAAGGAAGCCCCCACTTAGTCGACTCTTATAACATACTTGTTGTTGAGACATTGGGTCATTTCATGTTTTCATCTCAATGGGGCCCTGGAACCAACACAGGGACGCTGGTCAAGTAAGTGGTGGTCATCTCTGACTGGATGGTCCTTTTATTCTCAAAGTACTTTACCGAATTCTCTTCCTGTTCTCACACTCTGCCCCCCCCCTTTCCCCATTTTTTCCACCTTGGTGGCGAGTTTATCCACGGTTTCGTTTCCTGGTATACAACAGTGGGAAGATATCCACTGAAGTAAAGTACGTTTTGGGGCAGCCACATTGGTTCATGTGTAATCGCCCGGACTGAGAGCAATCGCCTGAACGCGGTTTCTGGGACCTCTCCACGGTGATCCTCATCCACATGGTGGCACTTTGTGTCATCGGGTGTTTATCGCTTGTCTGATGTCCTAGTGGGGTAGAAAATCAGTCAGTCAGAGTTTCTTTGCCCAGAAATGCCTGGGAGTCGCCGGGGTGCAGAGGTTGGACGCTCGCCTGTGGATCGGAAGATCATGGGTGTTGTTCCCGACGAACCGGCATTTTTTTCCCTCCTATAAAATGACCTAGGCTCCCAGGTCGACCCAGACTTGAGTGGGTATCACGCATAATCATGAGAAGTAAAGGCGGCCTGCATGATATTAACCACATCATCCACCGAGTGTCGATTGGTCTATAAAATATAGGTCTAGCCCTATATGCCCAATACACCCCGAAGGTTTGGAAAGGGCTCCTTTACTTTCACTAGGAATGTTTCTATTATGAGAATGACTTCTATTTTGATAACTAATTCAGTGTATTTCGTTCTTACACTCCCCCCCCCCCCCTTTTTTTTTTTGTCCGCAACATTTTCACAGACGCCCGCCCGTCGCCCCAGTTCCCAGCCCACCACTTCCATTATCCGGGTTCTGTCGGAAGATTTGACACTCTGAGAAAAAATAGCATTTTAATCTGGATGGCGGAAAGTAAACCCCTGCCGTCTCCACGACGTAGGTTGTCTACAGTGTGCAAATGTTGTTTTGGGGAATATTACGTGGTGAGGAGCCAGTCTTCTCCACGGTGAGACTCTCGGACAATTGTCCGGAAACCACGAGAATGTTTTTTTTTTAAAAAACCGTTCACCTGGAAACAAACACTAGTACTCAAGGATCTAACATTGTAAACCGTGTTCGCTAACCTCGAAGCCATGGAGCCACATAGTATGGTAGACCAACAGGTTACATTCAAAGAAGTTATAATTTGGGGCACCCGTAAATATTACACAAGTTCGATGTAATCTGCAGCTCTGTGCAGGTAAGAATATATTTGTCAGTGAATCTGTCTGGCTTTCTTGCAGAAACATCTGTATACTCCTAACATACTGGCTTGAAGTGAGCTCGAGATGTGCCAAAGCTAATCAAGTAATGGGGCAATTATTTTTCGTGTTGACACACAAGCAGATACCCCGGAGTACTAAAGTGAATCTTATCAGAACTATTTTTCCGGCCAGCACTGTGCTACCAGTGCCAAAAGTGGACACTTAATCCTCCAATAAATCTAAAATAGTGACAACAGAGATGAAATTCTTAGAAGAGCTGCAGGAGTTTCAAAGAAAGACACTACGAAATCCTGAAATCAGACAAATGGTAGGAATAAAGCCAGTCTTACAGGTCATCAAAGAACAACAAATGAAGTTGTTTGGACACCTAACAAGTATGTCCTGGTACTATCTGCCACAGCGAGCCACACGACCTCGGAAATTATGGAATTATGGCATTAAGAACAACCTTACAGAAATGAACATCAGTCTCAATAGAGCTTTTGACAGAGCTCATCAACGAACGTTACATCTCCCTTCGACACTACGCTGAGTTACAAGGTGGAAGAGAAGAAGAAGAAGAAAAAGGATGGCTTGAGACTTCAGACCAAATGCTCAATCTGCCAGTTGTCTAAAAAAAAAAAAAAGTTGCGAGAAAAGGAATGGCGGGGTTGGGGAGGTAAGACTCTGTCTGGTAATCATTCTAACGCATTGTTGTATCTAAGTTTGTTCTCCATGCCGTGGTTCAGTTGTCTCATGGTCTTCCCATTGATAGTGTCATTACATTTTATTCACCCTGACTTTCTGGGGGTGGTACCAGAGGGAGCCAAGCCATTTTGTCTGCTGGTTTTCAATGAATTATAGTCTTGTTGTGATTTCAGCGTTTGACTAACAGGGAATTTATTTGCGACATCTGGATAATTATTTCTTAGATGTAAAAACCGAACTGCTAAAATAACTACCTGTAATGGCGATAACTTCCGGTTACTACCGAAGTCTGGTGTGTGGTGAAATCATTTTCAAGGAACATTTTACTTTCACCCTAAAACTTTTCTAATGCCTCCAAAAAAGAAACCGAACGAACCGAGTAAGAAGACGGTTGAAAAGAAGAAGGAAAAGATTATTGAGGTGAGCGATTTAAAGCATTAGGATGTCAAATTTATATTATAAAAATTCTTATAATCTGCACCAATGTGTCACCACTGAGTTTCTGAGCGTGAGAATGCCAGTGTGTGTCGTCCTGAACTGTCCTGTGTCTTCTTCACTCTTACTAGCTACAGTAGGTAGTAGTCTGCTTGTACTTCCTGAAAGTGAAATAGAAATCTAAGTTGGAATACATATTTCACAACTTGAAATAGCAGCACCGTAGTTTCACATAATTTCATAAATTAAATAATAAAAGTTCTGGGGAAAATGGAACACAACATCAAGTCAACACACACACTTAGAAAAAGAATAGACTATCATTATCACCATAATCATTGGATGAGCAATCATCATTCACCTCCTATTCACAAAATCACTATACTTTAAATTACTTGTGACTGATCTTCAAAAAGACTTTAGTTATAAATTATTAGGGTTTTTCCAAGTCAAAAAGTGTAAACTTCCACCTGGTTTTTCGTCCAATTCTGGAATTTAGTCTGTTCCAGAACTTGAGTTTTGCAGATCTGGCTTACTTGTATGCAGACTTTTGGTTTCTTGCCTTTCAGGCAGATATGCCTAATTAGTTGCCTTTTAGGACATGCTTGTTAGCGAGGCAGTGGGTCTGTCTGTTCCCCCCCCCCCCCCTTCCCCTATGGAGCCCTGGAACCCACATTCACATAGGGATAGGTGAAATCAGCGGGAAAATGCCTTTGGGGTATTTTATCCTGTCACAATCGATGTCACTGCACAATGGTCATCTCCACCTATCTCTGTCCTCCGATGCAGCAACCACTCCAAGGTACTTCTACTAATCGTTCCCATGAGAGGTTGCTTATAATGTCTTCTATCTTGGCCTCGAAGAAAGTATAGATGTGCTTCATCATGCTTTAATCCCATGTCGCTTAGTTGTGTTAATATCAGAGATTAGTTGTTATCCACTAGCCTTAGCTGTGCAGCATTGATGATATCTGCTGTGTCCATGGTTCTTCCAACATCCGTTGGTGCATTGTTTTGTCAGTTGGTCTGCTCACTCATTACCCTTTATGTCAGGATGACCAGGTGTGTAGATCCAGGTGGGGGAGGTTAAGTGCGATTTCTGAATGCTTTCTGGCCATTCAGAGCACATATCACCTGTTGCTGTCTTCTGAATCATGTTCATGGTGATACTTTTCCTGCATGTGTGGCTGCTCTGCTGCCCATGCTAGTGCTCAAGAAGCAGTCGCTGTCTCCATGGTCATGCTTGATGTAGTTGCGTGGTTAGCGCGGTGTCATCTTGAATTGTCTTGCGCAGAATTTGTGCTGTTTATGCCCATAGTGACCTTGTTCCGCACTTCATGGATCCATTTGTATAGATGATAATGTCTTCTGGGAGTGAATGCATAAATCTGATTCCTGCAGTACCTTCCCAGTGGGATGACAACCTTAGAAATGCCATGTATGTCTACTGGTGTATTCGTCCATTCTTTTCCTTGACTTGTCTCTTCCAGGTCCCATACCTGCATGATTAAATCTTCAGCCTTGGTGGGCTCCTTTTGTGTCATGTATAGCTTTGTGCCGCTGGTGTAACCGTCTGCTGATATCCTCATTTAAATTCTGTGCGACTTTGTTAGCCATCGTCGGCTAACTCGGGATATATCACATGCTGTGCAGGAGGTGTGTGCAGCTGAGTATGATACTCATGGCCTTATTTTGTACTCGGACCAGTCTTTCTGGCTAGGTTTTGCTGACAGTGAGGAGACCCAAACCATAGTCAGTGTCACTTTACACAGGCCCTTGATATAAAAAGAAAAGTAGGCGTTGTTTAATATCAGCTGCTGCTGGCACCTTGAATGTTGTCAGGCCTTTTCTGGCTCTGAGTATGACATTGTCTAAGTGATGCTTGTATGACAAGCATCTGTCAAATGTCATGCCTATCATCGTGTCTGTTCTCTCGATGCCCACACAACACATGCTTACGACTTGTGTTGGTGTACTGACAGTGTGAGTATTCAAAGAGAACAATGTTAAGTGGGCCTTTGTGGGGTTCATTTGAGCTCTTGGCACAACTCACTGAGTCTGTCTAGTTCATATTGTAGCCTGGTTGTAATGTCATGCCTGTTTCTACCTTGAGTGTATACAAGGATATCATCTGCATATGATTTTAATCTGCCCAGGACTACACTTTGTGCACTGGTGACCCCATGCTGTGTACACATTGAAGAGCATCTTCGACAGTGGTGATCCCTGGGGCAGACCCATTAGGATGTGTTGAGGTTTCGACGCCCATGCACTACATCACAGCGACACTGTTCTTTTGACATATTTTGTTTCTGTGTACATATCCAGCAGCAATCTGTTGAGCATGTTGTATGGGACGCTGTTGAACGCATCTTCTTAATCTAATTTCATTGCTTTCTTTTTCTTGTGCAGGACAAGACGTTTGGCTTGAAAAACAAGAAAGGGGCCAAACAACAAAAGTTTATAAAAAATGTCACTACTCAAGTTGTGCATGGCAACGTCAAAGCAAGCCGGGTAAGATTTATATGAATATATGTTATGTGTATATGTTTGTGTAGTTTTAGAATCAAGTTACATATTTTTAGATGTAATGCTATTTAATTTTTAGCTTTTAACGTATGCCAGTAAATGAAGGAGAACCACTAGAGTCATGGAACAAAAGTTCAATGCACTCAGAAATAAAAATCTGAGGAATTGATGAACATTTAATGGGATGAATTCAAGAAAGGCAAAGAAATAAGAGAAATGTCTTTAATTGCTCTATTAAAATATTTTGTTAATGGTTGTTCTGCGCCCCCCCCCCCCCCCCCCCCCCCACCCCCCCCCCCACCCCACACGATTATCTGTTGAAATCCTGTCTGCCATTTTATTTCTCGGCTGGTTGCATGTTGTTGGTTTTCCTTTCTTTATTTTGTTCTGTTGCTGGCCCCAGTTATTGCTTCCTGTTAATGATGAATATATATATATATATATATATATATATATATATATATATAAACTGTGAACCTTATGTTTAGCTCTTTCTGGATGACATTTTTTCTGGAGTTTGGACAGCATTAATTTTGAGCAGGATTTTTTTTTTACTGCAACATTTCAAAGCTTAACCTTCCTGAAGAAAAAGGTATTGGCTCTATAGAGACATATAATGTATTAAATTAAGAGAAATCAGTGCAGAATAAATCTAAACTATTTAAGTGTCAATAGTACAGAAAAATATTGTTAAAATTACACAATATGCAAGGATTTTAGACGCATAAAGATTAATTGCGCAAAAAATGTTGTGCTTACCTTACTTTTTACTTGTTCTGCAACACTGCTATCCATTTCTCAAAATTCACATGCCTCCTCTATTCATTTATGTACCAGACAGTCTGTATTTGAACAAGTTATTTTAAATACTTAGGGGGTTATGACCATTTTTTTGTATGACATGTCAGATTTCATGGCAGCCAAAAATTGGGACAACGGATGTTCCGCTCTAAATCTAAATATTGCATTCAACTTCATCCTAGCCTATATTATCGACAGTAGGTTTGGCACTTGCATTTTCAATCATAATATTAAGATTTGTCACTATCTGGCTGTGATTCATCAACAACAGAGTAGTATGAACAGTTCTAGACCTTAACAAACGAAAAGTTTAACTAAAAATTTTTCAAAACATCTTTATGCAAGTTTGCTTTGCCAGAAAATAAAACAATATCTTTATGAAGAGCCATTATAGTGGTTGAAAGTCTGAACATGGTGGATTCAAAAACCACTAAAGGGGCATCCGGTCCGTAAAGAGTTAACAACACACACGCAGTGTTATGAATTAAATAATAAGATATAAATGTTAAAATGAAGAAATAACTAATAATAATAAGAAAAATAATTAAGAATAAATGCTTACAAAAAAAATTAAACAAAAAAGAGAGAGAAACAAATTATTAAAGATAAATAATTTAAATCAGAATGTGAGATATTGCTGATAATAAATCGTATAAATTGCAGTCGTACATATGTAAATACATATATAAGAGAATCCTAAAGTATTCCTGATTTGGACTTTCATACCACCAGTATGTGTATATATACACACAAACATATATTGTTCTTTAGCCTCATTAAATTACAGTGGAGTCCCTGACAGTACATCACACTACGACTCTTTATGTCTCAGAATGTGTCCCAGCCATAGAGTCTTCATTGTGTCTATTACTTAAAGATGTCCTTGCCTGATGTCTATTTCTCCTTTTTAGCTGGATCCCTCAGCAGACAAAAGTGCCAAGAAAGATGAGAAGAAAAAGCTGCAGGAGGAGATCAATGCTTTGTTTAAACCCGTTGCCCAGACGGTCGCTAAAGGTTTGCTGCTTCACGTTGTAATGTCACTGATTGTGGTTTTTTTTATTTTATTTATAGGTATTTTTTTTTTTCTCGCGTCAGGCTCTTCTTCTTTATAAATATTTTCTAGTCAAAAATGATCTGATAATATTAAATGCATTTTATCTGGTTGTGTAGAAAGAAATAAGATAAAATGAACTTGATACAGAAAGAAATTTCCAGAGCTTCTAAGAAGAAATACACTAAATACAGTGGCAGCAACGGTCCTGGAATTCCATGCTATAATTGTGGAAGACTTTTCTTCATGCGGGCGGGTCTTGCTAGTCATGTCACCTCCTCATGTCACAGTATACCACCATCATCATGAAAAACTGATCCCAGAAAACTCATTGAAATGTAATACTGTTATATTGGCATAAAATCTATACAAATTTGGAAGCAGATACTTTCTTTCATCTGTGAGTGTCCCATGCCTTGATGTATATTGGTTATATGATGCTCTTACCATACTTTCATAGACAAATACATACTTGACAATATATGTGGAAAGAAATGCAGTATTTTATGTGAAATCCTAGGAAAAGAATTCTAATAGTTTTGCCTAGCCTGCTAAGGAAAGCTGAGGGGTTTGTGGTAAATCTGCTGGCAAGGAAAGGAATAAGGCATTTTCCCACAGAGAGCTGAAGTGAAAATTAGGTTGATTTTAGTCTGCCTGAAAATTTTTTTTTGGGTAAATGTGGTCACATATACTCTGTGATTGTTTCAGGTGTTGACCCGAAGTCAGTTTTGTGTGCATTTTTCAAGCAAGGACAGTGTACCAAAGGAGATAAATGCAAGTTCTCGCACGACCTAAACATTGAAAGAAAGGGAGAGAAGCGTAATATTTATGAAGATAAGAAAGGTAAGGACAGAAAACCAAAACATTGATATTGTAATCCACTTTGAAAGTTTGTGGGATGCCGAGGTGCTGAACCGCATAGGGTGGTGCATTAGGACACGAATTGGTCAGAACTCATCTGCATCTTTCAATAGCCATCCTAGAAATGTGTTAATGGGGGAGGGGTTGACATTTCCTTTAAAGTTGAAGTGCATCTGCCGGAGAGGCAAGAAACCCACTGTCTGCATACACACATAATGGATGTGCTTGCAAAACTAATCTCTGGTTAAAGACTATATTCCAGACATGGGGAAATAACCGGTACTGTCCACCTTGTAAAAATGGTGACCTAATAGTGCAGCCTGTTTTCTAATCTTGGTAGTCATCTCTACTAAAGCTGTCTACATATTTAGCCTCGTAAAATAAGACATGTTTTCTGCATATATTTTAGCCTCACTGAATCAGTCAATTGCAACACATGGTCTCTGCAAAACTGCCCAAGCTTTGTGTTATGGAGAGGATGAAGTTCATCCCTGGCCTCAGTTGGTCTCAGAAACAAATCGAGAAACAACAAATGAAAGTTAAGCGTCTGAGAAGAAACAGACTAAACACGAATGATGACAACGGTGGTCCTGAAATCAGATGCTATAATTGCGGAAGACTTTTCTTAACGTGGCAGGTCTTGCTAGTCACACTCGCCGTCGCCATGGGCTGTGGGTCCCATGCTCCCTCATAGCGCAATAAAACACTATCGTCTGGAAAGACAGAAAAGTGCCAATCAGTCCTCAGATCAGTCAAATTAACTAGTGTCATACGAGAATTATCCCCAGACCTTTTCTCTCTGTATAGTGAAGTAATTTTGAGGGAAATTACAGAGAAAGCAGAAGAAAGAGTTGGAGGATGCAATATTAACAATTTGCGTTGTGCAGACGATACAGTATTGCTAACTGAAGTGCAACTTATTTACAACTGATGGATATTTTGGGGATGGAGTGTGCAAAGAAATTACTTTCCTTGAATACTAAGAAAACGGAAGTAATGGTTATATCAAAGAAGAAGATAACATCACATTGTGATATCTCAGTTGAAGGGCAAAGACTCAGACTAGTCAATAAATTCAAATACCTGGGAACAGACAGATAGAAAGTGTGTGACAGAGATAAAAAGTGTGTGACAGAGATAAAAAGCAGAATGGCTCAAGCGAAGGCAGCATTTTTCAGAAAATGAAAATATTTAATGCAATAAGTCGCTCTCATTTAATGTCAGAAAAAGAGTGCTAAAACGTTACATATAACATGTTCTACAGTATGGCAGCAAATCTTGGAATGTCAGTGAACAAATTAAGAAGTATTTGGAAGCAGCAGAGATGTGGTTTCTGAGACGAATGTTACGAATACCTTGGACGGCCAGAGTAACTAACAGTGATTGTTTAAAAGAAGCTACTGAAAGTAGATCTCTATATACACAAATAAGGAGACAAACACTTCTTTGGCCATGTAATAAGAAGAGAGGCATTGGAAAACATCGTGACAACTGGAAAGATCAGTGGAGAGAGGTGTAGAGGCAGACCAAGAGAGATGATGCTGGATGGGCTGAAATGAGGGTATGGAGGGATATCATCAAGAGAGCTGTTCTAGGCAACCAGTGATCATAAATTGTGGAAATGCTTGGGCTTCTACGTCAGTTGACAGGGTACATATTGTTGAATTTGAGAACTGGCAACTAGTTGTAACTGTTAAAACTCATCATGTATGTTAGCTCTCTTCAGGTAGTAAAATACTTCTCCAGCAATCTCTGATCATGCACCTAATTCACTGTAGATCATAACCGTGGATGTCAGCTGGATGTCTCCAAGGTTTCCCCAGATTGGTGAGTGCAGGACCAGGACTTGGGTGCTGATTGTCTGGCATCATTATGCAAGGCTACTGTAACTCCCAAGTTAATGAAAGTTTGCAGAGCTTGAGTTCTCTGCGGGCTTAATCATAATGGAGACCATTGCAGACGTTCCTTCATATCTGCCGGTGATGACTGTCTAGTAAATAAAGAGAGGTCTTAACATGCATAAGCCCTGACAGACAAATCAGTGTCTTTCATTCATTTATTCAGTGTCCTGTTCTGCCATCATATGTCACATAGGAACTGCAGTCGATTTATCCATTCCTCTCTGTCCTCTGCAATGAGTTCAATATCATGGATGCAATCCAGTCCAGTCTCTTTGGCTTCTCTCATTAACGTTCACCTTAGGGTTTCTCTTGGCCGTCCTGGGTTCCTCACTTCCCCAGTTTTCCATTTCTTTGCCTGTTTAGTGATTCTCTGATCACCTTTTGTATCTGTTGTTCCTTTGCACACCATTATTCTTTGTAATGAAATAGATTGTAATAATAGTATAAAAGCTCATTGATAATTTGTTGTTTATGATTGTGCCAGAAACTATGGAGAGCTGGGATGAAGCTATGCTAGAGGAAGTCATCAACCAAAAACATGGAGAAAGTGATAAAGCCAAGTTGAAAACTGCTATTGTAAGTTAATGTTACCATTGTAAAGGATGCTACTGCAGATAGGTTGAGACCTGAGCATCTGAGAATAAGTACTAAATATATGTGATGGCAACAGTGGTCCTAAAATACCATGCTCTAGCTGTGGTAGACTTTTCTGAACACTGACAGATCTTGCTAATTAGACTCACCATGGGCTGTGGTACCCAAAGCACATCATAACATCTTCTGGAAAGATGGAAAGGTGCCAACAACAAACAGCAGTGGCTCTTGGGTTTGGGTTTGTCAATCTGCTGAAAATCTGATTTACTTCTCCAGCTTCTTCTCCTCCCTTTATTATCTTGTCATCTCTTCTTATCGTTCTGACTCCCAGAATGTCTTTTCTGGGCTGCTTTTTCACAGGCAAAATAATGCCTACATGGCGCTCGTGTTATACTGATATAAATTTTGTGAAATCTTTTTTTAATTTTTGAGTCTTGTTGTGCCTTCAGTGTCGAGCCTCAAACTGTGCTATGTAGATGCTGGTATTTTAGCCCTCGGATATTCTATCTTTGTACTGCTTGCATGGTCGATCTCTAGCTCTGCTTCCATTGTGTAATCCTTTTTTGAAATCATCAGCAGCTTATACTTTGTATGTTTCAAATTGGAAATAATAATTCATCACATGTAGTAATCACACCATATGTTGTTATTGTAGAACATCATTGGACTGTTATCTCTTGTACTTCTTGAAGAATTGAAGACTGGTGTTGTATATCAGTTCTGGTTGGTAAGCAGTACATTCATTTTGGCCATGTTTGTGAGCTCTACAGGACAAGAGGTACAAAGCTTGAGTACTGTCATGACTTTAGGAAGTTGCATTGTTTCTTTTGCAGTCTCATAGTGCTGCCTAAAGTTGTAGTCTTTAGCCGCTTCCTGGTTGGTCCTCCCATCATTTGGCAGGTTAGTGAGTTTAGGTGAACAAGACTAAGGTGCTGGGGTTACCTGACTAAAGGGTCAGGCTTATTCTGACTAGTGTGCCAAGGTTAGCCTGACTAAAGTACCAGGCTTATTCTGACTAGTGTGCCAAGATTAGCCTGACTGAAGTGCCAGGCTTATTCTGACTAGTGTGCCAAGTTTAGCCTGACTAAAGTGCCGGGCTTATTCTGACTAGTGTGCCAAGTTTAGCCTGACTAAAGTGCCGGGCTTATTCTGACTAGTGTGCCAAGTTTAGCCTGACTAAAGTGCCGGGCTTATTCTGACTAGTGTGCCAAGTTTAGCCTGACTAAAGTGCCGGGCTTATTCTGACTAGTGTGCCAAGGTTAGCCTGACTAAAGTGCCGGGGTTATTCTGACTAGTGTGCCAAGGTTAGCCTGACTAAAGTGCCGGGGTTATTCTGACTAGTGTGCCAAGTTTAGCTTGACTAAAGTGTCAGGCTTATTCTGACTAGTGTGCCAAGGTTAGCCTGACTAAAGTGTCAGGCTTATTCTGACTAGTGTGCCAAGGTTAGCCTGACTAAAGTGCCAGGCTTATTCTGACTAGTGTGCCAAGGTTAGCCTGACTAAAGTGCCAGGCTTATTCTGACTAGTGTGCCAAGGTTAGCCTGACTAAAGTGCCAGGCTTATTCTGACTAGTGTGCCAAGGTTAGCCTGACTAAATTGCCGGGCTTATTCTGCCTAGTGTGCCAAGGTAGGCCGGACTAATGGATGGAGGTTAGCCACAGATACTGGAGTTATCCAGGCTAATGTGCTGTAAATACTCAAATGGAAGAGAGAAAAAAACTTTCCTAATCCATTTGAACCCTGACACAGGTACCTTCTACACATCCCAAACTAATTCAACAAAGATTGTTTTAAAATGCAGACTTGATTGTTACTTGTTGTTTTTCTGGTTTCAATTGTATTTAAATGCAGCCTTAATTACTTCTTTTTTGTTTAACCTGATTTAGATTTGTAAATTTTTCCTGGATGCTGTCGAGAGCAACAAGTATGGTTGGTTCTGGGAGTGCCCCAATGGCCCAAAGTGTATCTACAGGCATTGTTTGCCACCAGGTATGGCTGCATGTTTGTCATAAGTACTGTCGACTCAGGGAGTCAAAGTAACACAATTGATACAGTAGATTAGATAATACAGTATGTTAAAATGGGTACAGCAGGTTAGATGAGACAGTATGTTAAAATGGGTGCAGTAGGTTAGGTGATACAGTATGTTAAACTGGGTACAGTAGGTAAAAGTCTTATTTGTCTGGATGTGCCTGACACTGGCCATATTACTGCTCTGAATAGGTAGATGCCATTAGAAAGTCGCACTTAACATCCCACACCTGGATCTACACATCTCAGTAAAAAGGTGTAAATGAGCAGACCAGCTGGCATGTTTGTATAACTGCAAGGAGAGTGCGGGTAACGATGAATCTCTGATGCTAACACAGTTACTTGACATTGGAATGAATCCTAGCAAAACGTGTTGTCTCCAAGGTCAAGATAGGAGACATAACCAACTTCTCATGGGAACAATCAGTGGAGGCACCTTGGGTGGCTGCTGTATTGTAGGACTGAGCATGTATGGGAATGCTTAATCTGCAATGATGTCAAGTGTGATAACATTACATAACTTCACCTCCTTTGAGAAGAAAAGGGCCATCCGGTCTATCAGAAGTGAGCAGAGTCTGACCAGAGAAGACTCTCAATTACTTGACCGGCATGGGCAGGTCATTATTCTATGCCTTGGGACAAGACATAACAATAAACATGTATATGCTCAGGCTTTGTCTAAGTAGTTCACCACTGTGCCCATGTAGGCCATGTGTGCAAACTACAGAACATGTCTTGCAAGAATGTCTCTTGTACAGCTAATTAAGAAAGGAATACTGGCCTACTGAGTCAACACTGTACTCAACGTTGTATGGACTAAAAGGGAACTCCTAAAAACACTATCATAAAAACCTCTGTGTCAGTGTAAATCAGAAAGCTATCATAAGAAGAAGAAATGCCTAGGGCTGATACTGACCTAAAAAAATGTATTAGAAAGGGTGCCGGTACTCAGCACAAAGTATCATACAGTCTTCTGCTTTGCATCCCCAAGTGAAACATTGGTCCTCAACCAACTCATGCCAAGTCGCTGTCCCATGCAGCTCTCCTCATCTTTTTAACATCAGTCTCTAGTTCCCTTCTGCGTGTGCTTTTTTTTTTAACTCTCTGTTATAGCAGCACTAAAAACTTGTCTCTAAAACAGGGTTCCGCTACTGCAGACCCTTGTGTCAGAAAAAAAAAAGCCCTGAAGATGCCTAATAGGCAAACATGTATTGATATCGGCGGTCACATTTGGTCTTTTTAAATATTATTGATATTTTTGTATCTGTCTCCGACTGTAGGTTTTGTTCTGAAGAAAGACCAGAAGAAGGACGATAAAGAGGATCAGATTACGATCGAAGAGCTCGTTGAAACCGAGGTGACCACATTTGTTTCTCTCCTTTTGTTTATGATTTTATTTTTTTTGCTAATTTTGTTGTATCATCTTTGTGTAAATATATACAGACTTCTGGGCCAAATAACGGTCCCAAATATACCGTAACAAGGCCTCAGTCATATGTAAATTGCAGACTTCTTTCCGGCGACTATACCACCACCGCTGAGAGTATCTCCTGCGCCGCATGTAGTGGCGCAGGGCTAAACTAAATGGCTGGGACTCACAAGCAAATAAAATGAAGGAAGCTGCTGCTCGTGAGTCCCAGCCGTCTAGTTTTGCCCCGTGCGGCGCGGGAGTTACTCTCGGCGGAAGCTTTTTTGCGGTATGCTGTGTAGTCGCCCGAAAGACACCCGCAATTTACATAATTTAGGACCGTTTTTCGGAGGGTAGCCATCTTCTGTGTGTAGTCATATTCAGGCTTCGTGTGTGTGTGTAAATTTGTGGGCACTTATATTCAGACTTATCTGTGTAGCATGTGGTCGAGGGGCGCATCACATGCTTGCCAGGTATCTAGGGGATTTATTTACAAATGTCGGTCCCCAACACTTATGCACAAGGTTCCCTCAGCTGATGGACCATGGACGCCCACTCATTGGCACGGCACATACTGATGGTTCTTATAAGGAGTAAAGGAAAGGCAACCCAGACGAGTACCACAATAAGCCAGACTCACGTGACATGTGAACATCGTAACACGCACAATATATCTAGCACAGGTTACATGTCCAGTTGTAACCACTCACGCTGTCTACAAGTACTGTAATATAATACACCACATCAATTATGATCTTGTAGTGCAATCAGTCTCTTAATTATTATGAATGAACACATTGCAACAAAGATGAATTGGTGATCAGTGCCTCACTGTCAAGTCCACTCACATCGGCAGTCTCTCTAGACATAGATGAAACTTTCTAGCAAACTATGTACAGGTGCCTGCTACATGTTATTCATGCCTGATCGCGCAGATACATCTACATGATAGTCCTCTGACCGTTCTCCCTCTAAGAAACCCCGCCACCCGAGGACCTAGGGCAGATGTACCCCTTGGCGAAAAGAATCTAGACTTCCCGTCTGTTACCTAGTCACTCACTGAAGTATCACTGATCAACATCCAGTTAACCACCCTCCTATACCTCTAAATCACATTAGTCAACACACACACAAAGTTCCCCAGCACCTTCTGTGCACGTAAGGACACCCCGTCAACCAGCGTGCTACACAGTCACAACTGTGCCGACCACTCAACACAGATAGGCCGCACAACCGAACATCCTAGAGAATAACACTGACAGAATCCAAAGTTCAACTCATGATCCACCACAGTCATCCAGACAGTTCACATGAGCTCCACAGAATATCATCATGTAGCAGGTCCTTTGCAGAACGTTGCTCTCTTTACCAACTTCAAGAGTCACATTGTGGCTGGAATATCAACGGAGCAAATCGTAAAAACCCTTTTCAGTCTCCAAAGAAGTTATAATGAACAGCATGAGTCAACTGCCCGTTTCCCTGGGATACAGAAGAAGTAGAACATTGTCCTGATATGTGTTCCAAACTATATGTAATAAATGTTTTCTTGTCATTGCAGAGAGCTGCTTTGGGGGCAAATGTTACCAAGGTTACCCTAGAGAGTTTCTTGAAATGGAAAGAAAGAAAGGTAAGAGATGTTTTTTGTTTGTGTTGATCGACTATTGTCTGGACTGGTACAGATTATAACACATCAGGTGGTGATTCATTGGGAGCAGCAGGTCGTGTGGTTTGACATCTTGTTTGAATGCAGTACATCAGATACAATCCTTGGCAGTGATTCTCAGAAGATACACTGTAAGAGCAAGAGGAGGACCCACACAAAAAACCCACAACAGATCGACAACATTAAAGACTTTCTCCACCTTCACAAGATAATAGCCAGTGGCAACCAGTGTGTACTGGATTGCCAATGATTCCTCACCATGAACTAAATGGCGGACATGGTATATGATGATGAGCTAGTGATAATAAAATATTGCTGTTTGGTGATTTCTGCTTTAGCAGAAGCAGCAGTTTCTGGATATTTGTATGGTGGAATGTATCATTTATTTTACTGGCACCATCTTCTTCCACCATTTATTCCCAGTTAATTTATAGGTCTACAATAAATAACGCAGTTATCCGATCTGATTGTCTCCTGTGGCAGCCTCATTATCCTCATATTATTATTCTCTGTCTGTTTAAAAAAAAAGTTGTGCTGTCTCCACAACGGAGGTTGGTTGCAGTGTGTCCGCTGACAGAAATGGGAATATTATATGGCAAGGCCACCAACTCTGTCACTGTCCGAAAATCACGGAAACGTCTTTTTCCAAACCATCCACCACAGGGATCAGCCCCTGATAAACATCAGGTTTTGCTGTGTCTGTAATCCTTTCCATGTATTTTTAGGTCTCTCTCTGTCTTATACTTGTTCTTTGGTGGTAGGAATAGCTTGCAGATAAATCTTCTACTGTATTGGTAACCACCTGTCTGGCACCAGCTCTTGTCATCTCTCTGGTATGCTGGTAATAAACTTCTGCTGCTTCTTGTAGTCTGTGGCATGTTTATCCACAGACTCCTTTCTAGGGTTTTCGGTCGTTTACTTGGACATTCAACAGCACCTGGTGACCCATTGACACGCTGTCTATGGGTTGACAGTGAGGATGCACTACCCGTGGGAAAGGGGTGGTGTGACGTATCGTCTCTTTAACAAGCCATTTGTACAAGGCAATTAATTAAGTTTTCTTTAAAGTATCAGTGCATCTACTGAGAGGCAAAGGACCTACAGTCTGCACACAAATGAGCCAGATCTGTAAAATGGATGTGCATGCAAAGCTGAAGTTCTGAAACAAGACCAGCGTGCAGAAATGGACAAACAGTCAGAACTTTCGGCTGGAGTTTACAGCAGGTCCGCGCCAAGAAGAAGAAGAAACATTTACAGTACCGATCTGAAAACAGTTTTTTTTTTAAATGAGCTGAATTAATGATTAGCTGGTTTCAGGTGCTAGGCATTGACTCAAAGCGACTTTTTGGATGTGAATCCATCAAGAGCAAATTCCAGACACCTCGTTTATCTGTTTAATATTTAGAACACCATATATTTAACGAATTAATCTGCCATCCATACGGATGAGGTTTCATGTAGTAAAGTATTTAACTAAGAAGGCTAACCAAGTCAACAAATGCCTGCAGATGCTGGATGTGTCGGCCAAAAGGCACAAATATCGCAGCCATGCTGTGAATGGGCACAAACACTGTTAAATCTTCAGATGACCAAAGAAAAAGTGTAGTATTCTTTATTTGCCTGTATCAATGTTTTGAATATCATTTCACATTATTATATTGATAAAAGTAATCAGCTTTGTTGCTGCCCATTTCATGTTTTCAGAAACGTGAGAAGCTGGACAAACTCATGGCAGATCAGGAAAGGAAAAAGGCAGATTATAAAGCAGGTCGCATGATCGGAGTAAGTTGACCAGCCAGCTAGAAGAGACTCTTTTCTTACATTTCAGTACAAGTATCATAACTAAGCATATTGGCAACACTATATGGTTTAAAATCTTCTTTTTCTTCCTTGCCTCATCGTGTGCTTGTATAAACTGGCCTATGAGAGAGGTAGGGATTAATGCTGCGAAGTATTTTGTGATTCTGGCTTTTATAATGGATAGTTCGACAGCACAGTCATCAATCGTTGAAAATATTTTAAATACTAACGCAAGAATGAATAATTAGTATTGGTAGGTAACATGTATCATGTGGTAGGACAACTTTATTCCTTACAATTTCTGTCACACTGAAAATGGGGGATGAGTATATGAACCACCCAACCTCTTGCTGCTCAACTGTAGTCACTGTTTATCGGTTTAAAACATTGGATTTCTTCTGTTCATTCTCCTTGTCGGTGGGTTTTCATATGAGCGCAAGTCTGTAGCACATGTAGAGCGCAAGTCTGTAGCACATGTAGAGCGCAAGTCTGTAGCACATGTAGAGCGCAAGTCTGTAGCACATGTAGAGCGCAAGTCTGTAGCACATGTAGAGCGCAGGTCTGTAGCACATGTAGAGCGCAGGTCTGTAGCACATGTAGAGCGCAGGTCTGTAGCACATGTAGAGCGCAGGTCTGTAGCACATGTAGAGCGCAAGTCTGTAGCACATGTAGAGCGCATGTCTGTAGCACATGTAGAGCGTCCTGTGGTGCCTGTCCACGTGGGAAAGTTCTCAGTCCCCAATCTGAAATCTCATGTACATCTGGCTGCAGAATCTGTTGTAACCAGAATGCAGTCTAAATATAATGGTGTGTTTCTTTCATGTAAGGAGGTTGGTTGGATCTCTGGGATTGTGTACCGGATGAGAAGTTTTCCAGTGGGTTTCCACGGCTGCCTTGATCTGAGTTTTATTTTCCCCATTAATGCATTTAGACATCTGAACCACTTAACTCTTTCCATGTAGGAAAATTCTCAACACAGTATGTGCTGAAAATTGGCTGGAAAATTATGCACGTTGAGGTTTATAATGTTGTACTTCAGAGTGTAGATGTTTCTGCCATGGAACTAACTGCCTTTACCTTTTTAACCTGTAAGCCTGTAAGACTTTAAAAAGAATGAAAACAAATGCAACTGAAGATCAAATAAAAATGTCATCTTTGATATGTAGAGCTGCGGTATGGCTAAAAAGACAATTTCAAGTCTAGGTGCAGCTTTTTAAGTCTATGAACTTGTTATTTCAGTTATATGGAAGTAGTCGTTGCACTACAAATTATCATAAGTGGAGATGCGAAAACACCTGACCAGTCCAATTGTGAACGACAGCATTGCACACCTGTCAGGCAGGCACTGGTCTAGCAACATCTGACTCTTACATCTAACACCTTGAAGGCAGTAGTATGGAATTAGTATATGTTCACAAGATTTATTGACATCAGATTGGAGAACCCTTGTTCTTATCTTACCTACTGTAAACTCCATTAGGAGGTTCTGACCTTTCAACCACTTTTTGTCTTGATCTAGAACTTCGGTTTTACATGCACATCCCTTTTACAGATCTAGCTTATTTGTAGGCAGACTGTTGGTTCCTCACCTCTCAGGCAAATGCACTCTGACTTCAAATGAATCACCCCTAAATATCATCTTTTACAACCTGCTTGTTAGGGGGGGCAGTGGGTCGATTCTTTTCCCGCCAAAATGGGGCCCTGAAACTTAAACAGGGATATTTGGCCCCCAAACCAGGCCATGTTGTCTGCTACATCAGTGAGAGCTGCAGTGCACACCTGATAAGGAGAACTCACTGGGGACCCAAGACATTGTTTTTCTTATCAGAAATTTCTTTTATCCAGATAAGAGTTTAGGCCCCAAAAAATTCCGGGTGTAAATATTTTTTTTTTCACACCAGAAATTTGACACATCTGAGATCACCTTAAGCTGTCTGCACTGTATCTTGAAAACTTCTGATTTTTTGTTCAAATTGATTCTGTAATTATTTTTTAAACCCTTATTTGCAGTTAATGTTTTCTTGTCAATCTGAAACAGATCAGTGGTCGTCAGATGTTTGAGTTTAACCCAGACCTGGTCCTGGCCGATGATGATGAAGCTCAGGAGGGAGAAATTGAAAGAGAACAAGACGAGGTCAGTGGCTGTTGTTCAAGAAGTCATCTTAGTTTAACTTCTTGTTAAATGTTTAGCAGTTGAAAAATAAATCATTCGGAGACGAGCTGTGAAAAAGCATTTTTTGTGACATTGGCGAGCTGAGTCTGGTCCGACGCACCGGTGGCCATTGTTTCTGATGCACTGTATTTTGTGTGGCATTGGCAAGCTCAGTCTGGTCCGACGCACCGGTGGCCATTATTTCTGATGCACTGTATGTGCATCATACTTTACCTGCCACTATCCAGAGTTTCTCTGTTTTGTTATTTTGAACTTCTTGTAGAAATCGGGGGCTGTCTCTTTGTGTGTGTTGTGTCTGTTTTGTTCATGTCATTTTGTCTGTATGTGTTGTCTATAATTGTGTGTGTATGCCTGTTTATGTTGTATGTTTCATCAGTATGTGCATATCTGTGTGTGTTTGTATATGTATGTCAACATCTGCGATGTGTATGTATTTTTTGCATGTATGTTTGAAGCTATGAATTTTAAATCTAATTACAGATATTTGCGTCTTTTGGTCGCCACATCTGACATTTGTTCACCAGCTTATCGTTCCCAGTTGGCTTATGGGTCATGATGTACCCTAATTAATGTGGTGTCTACTTTATCTACAAGTGTTGCCCCTAGAAAGACCGTTCGGGGGAAACCACGCGCTGACTGCTTGGCCTTCAAAGAAAGGCAGGGACATAAAATGGGCATTCCCCCCCCCCCCCCCTCACACACATCCAAGGAGGTTTTTATAAAATGCAGAGCCAGCACATGATGCGTGTGTACTTGAGTTTCCTGGGCTTACCCAAGAAATTGTCACATCCTGCATGCAGACCTGATAAGGAGAAATCACCTGGGACCTGATAAATTGTTCTTTTTATCAGAAATTCCTTTTGCCAAGATAAAAGTTCAAGCAAGAACAATTGCAGGGGATAAACAAATTGTTCGTCACAATAGAAGTCTGTCACATCTGAGATCACCTCAACTCTTTGCCTCCTAGAAGGGGCCATAGATGATGCCCCAGTGAGTCATTTGTGACATCAACAAAATAATGGGTATACTACATCCACAGGGCCTGAATACACAACCTTTGTGGGAGACAAGTGTGTTGTTAAGTGCTTTAACACTTACCAGCATAATAATTGGTGAATCTGAGTAAATCCAGTCACATATGGTGCTTTTTGTGGGACTGAAAGAGTTAAGCTGTCTGCTGTGAAAAAGGGGGAATTAATATCAACACTAATCTACCGTGAAAAGAATTGTGTGCCGTCTCCACTGTGACGGTTGGCCCCCCCCCCCCTGCTATCTTTGGGAATATTACGTAGTGCGGGCCTGGTCTCATCAACAGTGCAGTTGTTGTACCTCTGTCTTTTTGTATAAACTGCTCACCACTGAAATCAAATATTGTTTGTTCAGGATTATAAAATTGTGAAATGCATTAACTCATTAACCTCTAGCCCACAGAGCTGCACACGTCGTGAGAGGTCACTAGGAGGGTTGATTTGAGGACCTCATCCCATTCATAGGAAACGCACTGCAAGATCCACTCAGTAAATAACAAGTATATATAGGTCTTGGTATACGCTAGTTATGCCACAGACAGAAAAATAACAAAAGTTTGGTACCACTACAACATTTGACCTCTTGTTTTCTAACCAGGATGATGAGGTTGATGAGACTAAGGTGAAGGACATCAGTGACCAGATGTGGGGAGAAATGGCAACTGACGTGGACACTACAGGAACCCAAGCATCGTCAGATCGACTGAAGGCCACACCCGTGCAGAACGGCATTGATAACAGTGGTAAGTTTTGATGCTTGATTAGTTGCTGTTCTTTCCGACAGAGGTGTTGTTCATTTCCACACTTGGTGGTTGAACCACAAAACCTGGCTGAAACCCTCTGTGAAGTGATGGGGAAAAATATTTTCTGAAAAAAATTCACTTCGTTTAAAAAAAAAATTCTTTGTGAGTCTGTCCATCTTTGAGTGTTATCAGTCTAGTTTTCCTGTAGCTACCTCTTTCTGCTTGACTTCAGATCTAGGCCCATTTTGAATCACAATGGTTCAGCAGCCATCACGTTTTATAGTTACGTGGACATATATTGTATTAGCAGTATCTTCAATGTCCTGTGTCCACGTTCTTGTTGATTATCTCTGACTCTGTTTTTTCCAGAAAAAAATGCCTTTCGTTACTATTCTGTGTAAACATCCATGGTGTTCAGTGTGGCCAAGGTATTTCAATTGCTGGCACATGATGCTGTTTATGCATTAGTGTTCTTTAGTGTTCAGATCTTGTAACAAGACTCATTATTGTTACATTTTCTTGATAGATGGTATTACGGGAAATTGTCTGTACCATTTCAGTTCAAGCGGTCCATATCCATGTTACTTCCAGAAGAAAGTTTGTTCTGACATTTTTATTTTAATGATTGTTAGTGTGGTGCCGGGGGGCATTTAACAGTTTCTGTCCCAGGCATTTGTTGCATAAACTTGTTCTATCCGAAACACTTTTACTTTAAAGCACCACATTAACTCTTTGGATACCAAACATCGTGCATTTCTTGTTCACACCAAAAATTGCATTTTGTTATGTGTTCTATTCTGTCACACACAGATGTTATATTTACCTCTTCTTTCTAGACCATGAATTTTCCCTATTTCAAGTTTCCTGTTTAACTCCTTCAAACATTTGACACTTTTGTCAACCACAGCTCTTTGTGCAAAACATGTTAGTATCACCAGTCTGGGATAGAAAGAAATAAGGGGACTATAGAACTTGAACAGAGACATTGGGACAGCTGGAGTTAATAACAAATGTCTGTGATAGAACGAAGCAAGAATAATATGTTATCTTTGGAGTGACCAGGAAATGTATCAAACATTGTTTGGGGCTCCAAGGGTCAGTGTTGTTCTCCTGGCTTATGTTGGAAATTGCCCGATAAAATGTATGAACATTAAGTGGGATGAATTCAAGAACAATCTGCAGCATTTTCAGTATATGAGAGAAATCAGTAGGTCACAAATGGTTATGGGATGGCAGGAAAATGTAGTTGGTGTTTTCTAAAGGTGTCATTAGGTGACAGCAACATCGAACTGTATGTCTCTGTTCATTAGGTGGCACTAGTTGTTGCATGCACATTTGCAACATAGAAATAAAGTAGCGACTGTTTTTGCGGAGTGTACCCTCAAAAAACAAGGCTCTGTTATGCGTTTTTGGGGGCACTAAGGCTGCCTGCAAAGGACATTCATAAGGAATTGCTTCCTGTTTATGCTGACAAATGTTTATCCCTAGCGATATCCACATTTTTGGTCCACTAAAAACCCACCTTTCCTGGAGAGATTTTGTGAATAATTCAAAAGTTGAATGTGAAGTAAAAATGTGGGTTAGAAAACAGCACGTAGCTCTGTGTGGCAGGTTTAGGAGGACTGATAAAACAGTGGGACAAAGTGCATCAATTTTGGTGAAAATTATGTAGAAACATAAAGTAAAGGGACAGTGTGTGTTCGTGTAAAAAATAAACTGTGTTCATGTTGTCATCTTTAGTTTTAAACAACAATTTGTGACTTACTTATTGACTTCCCGTTCATATATCGTCATTGTTTGTGACTTTGAGCTGACATTTTACCTTGTATAGAACAACTTTTGAAAACTTATTTGTCAGTAAATTCTACAGCCAGATTTTAAAAATACAATTTTATCTCTTTTTTTCCTCCCAGAAGAATGCAAATTAGACGAGGCTGCAGCACTGCCCTCCAATTCTGACGAAAGACTCCAGGAAGAAGACGGCGATGATGATTCTGCAGATGGAGCTGTCAATGGAGAACTGGACATCGATGAAGATCTGTTTGCCGGAGAGGACATTGACCTGGTGGAAGAAGATCTAGAAACTTTGGATTTAGATGATGATCCGCGAGGATTGTGATCCTGGCTAAAATGTTTGCTTCCTCTATGACTTTCCTCGGCTGAGCGTCCTCGCTTTTATTAAAATCTGTTACAGGGTTTGAATGATGTCTTTTTGTTTTTTTTAATTCTTTCCCCCCATTCAGTGAATGTGAATAAATGTTGATTGTGCCTGTCAATGGCTTTGACATAAGTAGAGACATTGTCCTGACATGAGCAAATTATATTGAGTACATGTGTGTTTCCACCAGATGTTATTAAACTTGCAGGTTTGATAGCTCTCTTCCAAGCTCTCTTCCAGTTTAGATTTAAAAGTGAGAGCATTAAATTTGTTGCTTCAGGGTTTTCGCTAACTGGCTCAAGTTTATGCCCACAGAAATGCAGGTTCTGTGCTGAGAAGTCCTAATCTACAGCAACAGCCCCGAGTCTCCCCACCCCTCCCCCCCATCCAAAAAAAATTGCACTTGTACACCAAGTGACACGTTCAAACTGAACCCATGCCTTCAGAGTGTAAGGTGAATAGCTTGACCACTTCCCCATGGAGGTTTTATCCCAGAAATCAGAAGTCTTGTCAACATACTTGGAATGTGAACATTGAAATGTGCTGCAGCCACTGAAAGATTTGTGGGAAGGAATGAAGATGCTTGATATGTTTACCTATTCTGATATTCAGTTAGAGCTCAAATGATAAGCACAAGCATGGTTCCCATGCCATCTGGCCAAACAATTTATTTTTAAAGGACTTTGATACCACAAGTCCAGTTAACACTGTGTGGTAGTTAAATGCATAAAGTGGCTTGCATCACATGACAAGATTCAAATCAGGAGCTTATGGATTTTATGTCCAGGATATTTGAGTGTGTTGGGTAATGAGCAAGCTGATAGACTGGCTGCTGTAGCTTCTCTGGGCAGTGGGCTGCTTTGTGATAAAGTGTATGTCTGGTAGTCTTAGTTTCAGCTTCATAGCAAACGGGTCACCCCATCTTTGCTTCGCTCCTGTGCCAACGAAAAACACACAGAATGTTTATCAAGGTATTAGAATTGCAGTTAATCATTGATGGTAGCAGAAGTCGCCAACAGATCAGCAGTTGCCCACGCGATCAATGTGGATGTGATGTAGGCGGGAGCCCGAAGGCAACTTATCACAAACATCAGAATAGGTCAGTCATCGTTTTTCGGCCATGTTATGAGAAGAGGGAAAATAGAACATATTGTGACCACTGGAAAGATCTGTGGAAGGAGGAATAGAGGAAGACAAAGAGAGAAGAGACTTGACAGTCTTGTTGCATGGCATGGAGGTGTGTCGGCGCACGAACTGATACATGCTGCAGGAGATTGCAGATTATGGAGAGGCATGATCGCCCACGCCAGTCGGCAAGGCACATGATGATGATGATGGTGTAGGCTCTGGGAATACAGGTGCTCTTATAATACAGGATTGTTTTAAAGAAGCGCAGCAACTTTTATTTATAATTGTTTATTGTTATTAAGAACCCATTGCCTCCAGACAAGCATGTCATAGGAGGCAATTAATTAGGTGCATTTTCTTCAGTCGGAGTGCATCTGACTGAGAGGCAAGAAACCAATGTTTTTACATACAAATAAGCCACATCTGTAACAATGAATGTGCAAAACTCAGGTTCTGGATCACGACCAAAGTTCGGTAGTGGATGAACAACCATGACTTTTTATTTAGAGTTTACAGCTGGCTGTTCAATGCTAGGAAGAAGAAGACATTTCTTAAAGTACCTAAAAGGCTAGATACTGATTTCTTGTTGTCTGAGTCAGTATTAGATACTGATTTCTTGTTGTCTGAGTCAGTATTAGATACTGATTTCTTGTTGTCTGAGTCAGTATTAGATACTGATTTCTTGTTGTCTGAGTCAGTATTAGATACTGATTTCTTGTTGTCTGAGTCAGTATTAGATACTGATTTCTTCTGTGAGTCAGTAATAGATACTGATTTCTTCTGTGAGTCAGTACCTTTGTGTTTTAATCTTACCTGCACCTCTATCTTAGTTGCTGTTTTGTGTGAAGGATGTATGTGTGACAGCACAGTATAATTATGGAATAAAATTGCTACTAATTAAAGACTTTGTCATAGTGACAGATGATTATGGCACCTGTATATTTGTTATAAAAATGCCTCATGGGGCATTTCAACAGAAGAGGTTGAACAGAGACATTAGCCTTGTGTGAGATCATTCAGGGAAAGATGTGTCATCATCATTGTCCTGTTGTGCTTGCATTCTATTCCTCCATTCCATTATACCCTATGTGATCACTGCAATATCGGGAATGGAATCCAGTTCAGCACCTTTGGTCTCTCTCATCAACGTTCGTTTTAGGGTTTCTTTTCAAAGTTCTCCTTCCCATTTAGTACCTGTCTGGTGATTCTCTCCTTATTTCTTCTGAGAATGTGTCCATCACCATTTATCTTATAACTAATGTTACCAGTGGTTGAGCAGAGATTTATTTGTATTTCTTCGCCACTCTTGAATTCATAAGATTTCAGTTTTCCTCATGTGTTTGTTTTCAATACGTCAGTTTGTTCAGTTTCAATTTGATTTAAAAGAAAGATACATGTGGGACACTTAATCAGCTTGGCAACAAATACGATATAAGCAGTACCTTCCTTCTTCATTTGTCGTCTCACTGATACCAGTTTGTTGCCCAGTGTCATAGTTTTCTGTATGTGTCTTGTGCTTCTCAGGCGGCTGGGGTGATGGATTTGTTCATCTTTTTGCAGGTTTCAGCTTCACCATTTACCGGTCTCTTTCTTGGTCTTCTCCGCCTTTCTCCCAGATGTTCTCCTGTTTAAAAAAAAGTCTCATATGCAGTTTGGTCTGGCTGCATTCTCACTATATGGCTGAACCATTACATTCCTTGTCTGTCAATATAATTCAGAGAGTCTTATTTCAACTTTCTCACTTAATGCTGGTATTCCTAACCCTGTACCTTCTTGTGTTGATAGTAACCTTACGGAGACCGCATTTCATGGGCAGTTATTTTCTATTCTAGCACACTATTCATTGTCCATGTTTGGTACTGATAGCATAAAGTCGGGATGAAGATGATACAAATCATTTGCTCTTTTGCTGGAATGGAAATGCTTAGGTGTCTAAGCAGTTAGGCTAACTGGTAGATTTGTTTTGATTTGATTCAAGAACCGACTTCACAGCACTCAGAGGCATTCCCATAAGCGTTCCGTCCCCATCTTTAGCAGCCAGCTAAGAGTTCTGATACTAATGGTGCCAGTAGCATCCTGATTAAACGTCCATCTTGCCTTTCCTTTCCTCTGAGCCTCGAGCATCTGCCAGAACCTGTCGTCACTCCCCCCTGCATCGATCTCACCAGACTGGTGATCCATCTGCTCCTCCGAACTGTACATGCTCTTCCACAAGGCACTAACCACATCTGCCTTATCATGTATCAGTATTCCATCAAGTTCTGCAGAGCCAGCCAGTGTGTCCGCCTGTTCACCCAGTGAAAAAAAATCCAGACAATACTCCTCACCCGTGTCCTCCGCAGTGAAGCATGCCTGTTCTGATCTTCCTCAGCATGCTTTCTGAGTTACCGCCTCCACCTCCATTCTTAAGCTGGATGTTGTGGTATCATATGCTAGGCTCTCCTGCACCAAACGTCGACCATTAACTTTTGCTAAGAAGCCCCAAGCACTTCTTTTGCCTCTTGACACTTAATCGTCTGTATAAATGATCAAATCCTCTGAGCGAGCATTATCTTGAATTAACTGCTGAATTCCCACCTCTGTTGCACCTGCTGGCCAGTCTATGCATTCCCGGCTCAGCGTGATTATGACTCAACACAAGTCTGACTGTTAAGGTGGCACTTTGACCCACTCCTCTCGCCTAATGTTCTCAAGGATGCAAACCTGTCTGATTGTGTCTTCTGCCTGAGCCATCCATGACCTCCCTCTTATCAGCCGCTGACCCTTAACTGCACCCAGAGCTTCATGCAGAGGGTGGTCTGTGTCTGCAGCTACCCTGAGATATAACTTCGAATGCATCACCGTGTGCCTACCTGCAACCGTCGGCAAACCAAGGATGTATCGCATACACACCACTGGGGTGTCTCTTGTGCAACCCAGAATGACCCGCATAGCCGCGTTCTGTATGCGCTCTAGTTTGTCCATCTGACTCTTTGAGACGGTAAGCAGTCCCAGGCCATAATCAACCACTGACAGGATCAGGTGCTGATATAGTGTGACAAGCATTCTCTGCTCTATGTCAATTGCAGCCATAGTTTTAAGTGCACTGTCCTTTTTGGCATCTCGTCACAACACTCTCCACATGGTCCTTAAATGACAGGCTCCTGTCAAATGTAATTGTAAGATACTGGTAGATGACAGCATTTGCCTATAAGCAATGTATAGTAAGGGACCGTTCCAGGCCTTTCATGTGTATTGGGAATACAGGGCTAGACCTATATTTTATAGACCAAACGGCCCTTGGTGGCTGATGCAGTCAGCATCACGCCGGCCGCCTTTACTTCTCAGAACTTTACCTGGTAGCAATTTGAGGCTGGGTCGACCTGGGAGCCAAGCTCATAAAAAAAAGTCCGGCCCATGTCGGGAATCGAACCCACGACTTTCCGATCCGCCGGCGAGCATCTAGGCGCTAGACCAGGGTGACTGCCTATTAGCAGTGTATGCTTCACCAAATAATGTATCAGATGACAGAGAAAATTGTCCAGATACTTTGCTTGCTCTCGTCTGAATGATTGACTAAGTGTGGATACTCTTGTCTGTTCTGTTGTATTGTCCAAGTGAGTGATCGAGCGCGCATTCACTACTTCTGCTTTATAATAAAGTAGCTCACAGCCCAGAGGAGTGTGTGCATTGTAGCTTGATTTCCGTGAGGGGAAGGGGGCAGCTACTGCTCCTAACAAGCATGTCGTAAAATGCTACTTACTAATGAGTGGTTTGTTGAAATCAAATGTATTTGGTCGAAGTGTGCAGTTTTGCTGTGCCAGCCTCTGACAAACAGTAAGTAAAGCAGCAGCAGCTTGTAAATATATCAGCTTTAATCAACCAGGTGCCGTCTTCACAGCGAAGGTTGGCTAAATTGGATTTCCAACACTCTTTCCTTTTGGCCTTGAGACACGCTGGTTTATCATGTTTTTCTTTATCTATTTTATTCAATCAGGCACCGACTCAACAATAAATGTTGGCGGCAATAGATCACTAGAACGCTCTGTCTTTCGCCTGGATGTATACTACATTTAGACTGCTGTTCGTTCCTCTCTTATGTTATGCTACACTTGTATCCCTTCTACCCCTTGCTCGCTTGTCTAAATACTGTCTCCTTTTTGTTTATTTCAGCAACTGTGGTGTCATTCCTAATCTCATCAAAACTTCAGTTGCATGGTTCATCAAGCTAAAAGCTCTATGGTTGTAAACTATATCTTAGTTCTATAGTTCATCAAGCTAATAGCTCTATGGTTTCAAACTATATCTTAGTTCTATAGTTCGTCAAGCTAATAAATAGCTCTATGGTTGTAAACTATATCTTAGTTCTATAGTTCATCAAGCTAATAGCTCTATGGTTTCAAACTATATCTTAGTTCTATAGTTCGTCAAGCTAATAAATAGCTCTATGGTTGTAAACTATATCTTAGTTCTATAGTTCATCAAGCTAATAGCTCTATGGTTTTAAACTATATCTTAGTTCTATAGTTCATCAAGCTAATAAATAGCTATATGGTCCTGAACTATATCTTAGTTTTGTAGTTCATCAAGCTAATAGCTCTATTGGTCTTGAACTATATCTTAGTTCTATGGTTCATTAAGCTAAAAGCTCTATGGTCTTGAACTATATCTTAGTTCTAAAGTTCATTAAGCTAAAAGCTCTATGGCCGTGAACTATATCTTAGTTCTATGGTTCATGAAGCTAATAAATAGCTCTATTGGTCTTGAACTATATCTTAGTTCTATGGTTCATTAAGCTAAAAGCTCTATATCTTCAACTATAACTTAGTTCTATTGTTCATTATAAGCTAATAGCTCTATGGCCGTGAACTATATCTTAGTTTTATGGTTTATTAAGCTAATAGCTTTATGGTCTTAGCTTCTTCTTTTCTGCGGTTGTGGTTTTTAGCTAGGCTGTGATATTTATGACCCAATAACTCCGATTTTAGCAAACCGCTAATTAATCGTCCTGTTCGACAAGTTTGTTAGAGGATAGTGTTGCTAATTCCCCCCCCCCCCCCGGGCCCGTGTGGCACCACAAACAACACGGGGAGTTTCCACACACAGCACCTTTTTTTTTTTTTTGCAAAACAATCAGTCTCCATGTAGGGGCGAGTGAGCCAGAATACCTCAGCCTCTACCTGCGGACAAATGGAAGGATCGCTCATCAACTTTACCTGAGATCGCTCACACGTGCAACACACACCTGGTGTGTTTGATAGCCAGAGGAGCTCTAGGCACATGTCTAGATGTAAGTCTCTGTATGTGTGTGTGAGAGAGACTTGTTTATGCTGCCACAAGAAAGCGTATTCTTATCTACTCGTTTCTCTAAAACAGTTCCGCGTGTACGGTGTTGTACAGTTTTGAGTCTGTTGTATATTTTTATGTTTTTGTGCTGCCTTTATTTGATAGCAAATAGTTATTCGCCTGTGCTGTAAATAATGCTATAGAGACAAGGAAGATTTCATTTGATAAATAATTGCTTGTTCAGTACAGTAAAATATACTTTATATACTGTCGTGCGCACGCGTGTGTGTATATAAAGTTCGTTGCGTATCCTTGAAAGTGTGTTGCAAAGCCAACCCTAGAATTCTTTGGCTGTTTGCCATTGCAACTAAACGAACGGCTCTCAAAGCCTCTTTTGAAACCAACGCAAGGTAGTCTGTTGCCAAATCACCAGCAGCTGAAATCGATTCCAGCAGCTCGGACTTACAAAGCGTATTCGCAACGCACGCACGCGCACACACATACATATGTATAGTTAAATGTATCTGTAAGTACCACTTTGCATACCTAGAAAGCAACACATACGGTACTATTCCAACAGTTGTAAAGACCATCTGGCACTAGATGGTCGTAACCATACAGACCGCTTTAGTTCCTAACAATTTTTTGGGCACCTATTTTTAGACTGCGTCGTGCCGAAAACGCGTATCTGTTAAAGAAAAAAAAGTATCGAGAGAAAGTCGAACACATAGTCACTTCCAAAACACATCTGTGGAGTTTCAAGTAAAACGATGACTCGTATAACACGGTAACTATGAAATTCAGTTCACTCTAAATGTGTAGGGGAAATAAGTGTTATATAGAATCTGAACTACTGCTGCTGTTGCTGCTACTACTACTACTTTTTATTTTTCTCCATCCCCTCCCCCTCTTTTTCGCCATTTTCTGTACTGTAGTTCTTCAGTTCGGACAGCCGAGACAAAAATGTCTCGGAAATAACAATACGGTTTGTGGCTACAAAGACTTCTGGTTTGATGGGGTGTGGGGAGGGGAATGTTGCTTGCATAGGCGCCTTGTACTTGAGAGCTCAGATTCCTTGTGTGGGAAGCGGAATGTTGCTCACATAGGCGCCCTGTACTTGAGAGCTCAGATTCCTTGTGTTTGAAGGGAGATGTTGCTCACATAGGCGCCTTGTACTTGAGAGCTCAGATTACTTGTGTGGGAAGGGGGATGTTGCTCACATAGGTGCCTTGTACTTGAGAGCTCAGATTCCTTGTGTTTGAAGGGGGATGTTGCTCACATAGGTGCCTTGTACTTGAGAGCTCAGATTCCTTGTTTGGAAAGGGAGATGTTGCCCACATAGGTGCCTTGTACTTGAGAGCTCAGATTCCTTGTGTGGGAAGGGGGATGTTGCTCACATAGGTGCCTTGTACTTGAGAGCTCAGATTCCTTGTTTGGAAAGGGAGATGTTGCCCACATAGGTGCCTTGTACTTGAGAGCTCAAATTCCTTGTGTGGGAAGGGGGATGTTGCCCACATAGGTGTCTTGTACTTGAGAGCTCAAATTCCTTGTGTGGGAAGGGGGATGTTGCCCACATAGGTGCCTTGTACTTGAGAGCTCAGATTCCTTGTGTGGAAAGGGGGATGTTGCCCACATAGGTGCCTTGTACTTGAGAGCTCAGATTCCTTGTGTGGGAAGCGGGATGTTGCTCACATAGGTGCCTTGTACTTGAGAGCTCAGATTCCTTGTGTGGGAAGGGGGATGTTGCTCACATAGGTGCCTTGTACTTGAGAGCTCAGATTCCTTGTGTGGGAAGCGGGATGTTGCTCACATAGGTGCCTTGTACTTGAGAGCTCAGATTACTTGTGTGGGAAGGGGGATGTTGCTCACATAGGCGTCTTGTACTTGAGAGCTCAGATTCCTTGTGTGGGAAGCGGGATGTTGCTCACATAGGCGCCCTGTACTTGAGAGCTCAGATTACTTGTGTGGGAAGGGGGATGTTGCCCACATAGGCGTCTTGTACTTGAGAGCTCAGATTCCTTGTGTGGGAAGGGGGATGTTGTCCACATAGGTGCCTTGTACTTGAGAGCTCAGATTCCTTGTGTGGGAAGGGGGATGTTGCCCACATAGGTGCCTTGTACTTGAGAGCTCAGATTACTTGTGTGGGAAGGGGGATATTGCTCACATAGGTGCCTTGTACTTGGGAGCTCAGATTCCTTGTGTGGGAAGGGGGATGTTGCCCACATAGGTGCCTTGTACTTGAGAGCTCAGATTACTTGTGTGGGAAGGGGGATATTGCTCACATAGGCGTCTTGTACTTGAGAGCTCAGATTCCTTGTGTGGAAAGGGGGATATTGCCCACATAGGTGCCTTGTACTTGAGAGCTCAGATTCCTTGCAACCCCGCCAATATTTTGTGTGTCTGTGTGTGGGGAAAAAAAAAGAATGAGGGATGGGGGGGGGGGGCGCTAAGCCCTATATTTCTATATTACCTCCGCAAATATTTCGTGTATGTGGGGGGAAAAAAAAGGAGGGGGAGGGGCGTTCAGCAGATCGCGTTGCGTTGATTTTAACACTCGTATGGAGCGCCAAGAGTCCAAGAAAACAACGGCAAACTACTGAACGTAAAATTGCCTAGCAAACCCACCAACAGCCATCAACTGCTAGTGTTGATCTACAACGTCCTCTAAGGAATACGGAGCTAACTAGCTGTGAGTGAGACTGAGTAATTCCCATTCAAACTAAGAAGCAATTATAATGGGCGGGGGCGGGGGGCGCGGGGCGGGGGGGGGGGTGGGCGGAAAGACAAATCAGGCAGTCCTTCAAGAAATGAATATTCTGAACGGTGACTAAGACACTTTATGGGAAACATTGGACCTTTTGACTTTTCTCTTTTTCTTCATGTCTCTCCCCCTTTACTGTCACCTTTGCCTTTGTCACATTTCACCACTGTTGGCGTGGTGACCTTCTCGTACTGAAATTCCCCCCCCCCCCTCCCCCCTCAATTAACACCATGTTCTTTCTTCGTCTAAACTTATTAGACTTTTTTGAGTGGAGAGCGAACACAATTTATCCCGCGTGTTGGTGTCTGACATTTTTAGCAATCTGCTGTGACAGATGAGCTGTTTGATGTAAATATTACACTTTTTTTCTACCACCGAACTGCATTTAAAAAAAATAGTTTTCTCATAATGTACATTTGTTTTCAGAAGTTTCAAAGTCGTCTTGTTGAATCGAATGATGAGTTCTTGTGTCTGATCATTCTGAAGGTGGCAGTGGAAGGGAAATAACACAGTACGTGACAGCTGAGAGAGTTGTAATCTACCGTCATCATCGAGATGTCGCAGTCAAGGAAATGCCCTGTGGACTCAAGTCTTCGTGACCTACTTAGAGGCAGACTGCTAGACGACGATGTCGCCATGAAAAGTGAGATGGAGCTTCTAAAGAAATGGGGATTTTCAGAAGATTTTGTGAAATTATTAGGCGAAACAAGAGATCCGCAACAACAAGACCAAAATGACAACGCTAACAATGACTTCACAGAACACGTTTGGACTATCAAAGTGGCGTCAAAACCCAGAGACGCTACAACTACAGTCGATTCTGCAAAGGAAAATTATGTTCTCAAACCTAGCGCAGAAAGCCAGATTTCTACACTGAACGACAGTGCCAAGGAACTTTACGAGAAGGCAATATTAAGTTATCGTTCTGGGGAATTTCAGGACAGCCTTGTCAACATCGACCAGGCGTTAAAGGTCTGTGGAGGCCCAGATGACATGTCCACGTTGTTGACGTTCAAAGCCACCATTCTGAATGCCATGGGGAACTATGTGGAGACACTTAGATCTATACAGGAGGTGTCTCATGCACTGAGAACGAGGCATTTAATCTTGGAAGGAGGTAAGTATAGATAAATAATAATAACAATAATAATAATACAAGAATGATGGGATTTGGTGATGTCATACTCTTCTCTGGCCTCCAGTATTGACATAAAGCATTCTCGGTTCAGCGCGATCAAAAAGAGACCAATAAGCGTAGGTCCCTTGGGGCCTCCCCCTCCTCCTTCCCCCGTCCCCATTCATAATAATTAGCGTCAGAGCTCGTCAGAGCTCTTTGTTGAAGAAGACTTATTTTAAACATCAGTTCAGCGACTTCGCATGACTTCAGATGGAATAAACAGCAATACCAGCCTAACTTTATGATACAGTCATGTCCGCGCCTGTCCTAACTTAGAATAACAGTAAGTCAGTACTTCATGTGTGTGTTATCGGGGAAGGTGCCCTGCTCAGAAATAACAACACTGTTTGAAGTTACAAAGACTTCTGGTGTGATGGGGTGTGGGGAGGGGGATGTTGCTCATATAAGCGCCTTGTACTTGGGAGCTCAGATTGCTTGAACCCCCGCCAATATTGTGTGTATGTGTGAAAATGAAAGAGAGAGAGAGAGAGAGAGAGAGAGAGAGAGAGAGAGAGAGAGAGGGGGGGGGGGTACGATAAGCCCTATATTCGTATATTACACCCGCCAATATTTTGTGTGTGTGGAGGAAAAAAAAAAGGGGGGGGGGCGTTCATCCCTATATTATTTGAAGTATACTATTGTATGTAATTGCCATTCAGCACAATCATAATACGATCAATAATAATAATTTTCTGAATGGCAAACACGTATAATACTATACTTGAAATAATTTGAAATGTATGAACAAATATTTTGACCGTTAATTTCGATTGGAGATTAAAAAGAACATCTTAGTCTTGTAACAAAAATTGTAAGGAAAAAATGGGGGGTGGGGTGGGGGAGGGGGGGGGGAGCACCAAGTATATTTTGTAAGGCGGGAAAGGGGAGGGAGCTTGGTGGCCTTTTGTCTGTCCACGTTTGTTGAGAACTCAGCAAAGGCTACAGAACATGCATTTGATAGAAACGTGTATTGGCACAATTTTGGCAAATGCATTAGAGAATGTATTTGAACACTTTCAGTAAAAGCTTTAGAGAAACTTAACCTTCTCCTCGCGGCTGAAGAGTGGCTGAAGACGATGCTGCAGATGGTCACAGGTGAAGAAACAGACACGTCAAATTGGACACAGACAGTTCAACAACTGTTTCAAGACGTACGCCTGAGGAGAATTTACGAACCTTTGATACAAGTAAGATGTGATTTTATGAGTTAAAGAAAATGCAGCGGAGACACTGATTGTGACCTAGTTTAGTATCAGTACCAATTTCAAACTGCTTCTTATTTAGTTCATTTTTACCGCTTTTGAGGTTTTGAACAACGGATCAACATCATTGCACACGGGTGTAACCCATAAGTGCTCCGTTCTTCCTCTAACTCAAGTCCTGAAATACTTTAGGTAGATTTTTAACACCAGATTTTGCCCAGGCAGCGCCGTTAGACTACTCTTTTTGATTTCCAACTGCCACGGGATTTTTTACGTACGCATAAATGCACACTGCCGTCCGATCTCACTACCCAGAGACTAGAAGTCCAAGTACACGTGAAAAAATCCCAGCCCTTATATGCCTTGTTATGGCGTCACATTTCAAACTGCACTGTTGCATAGGATGACCACACGTCCCATTTCCACAAGGACATTTCTAGTTTTTCCATGTGTCTCGGCCATTGAGCTGGTACTCCAGAGCCATGTAATTTGTCACGTTGTAGAGCAATCTATGAATAAGCTCGAGAATAGAACATACATGATACTGTTATAGTTATATCCTTACACCTTTGTACATTTCGTAGTTAAAAAACAAGGTGTGAAATCCAGCTAGAGAAAATAGCTGTAATATTTATTAATTAGTATTGCTTATAAAATGTATAGGCCCGCATATTCTCATTTTGTATTGGTTCCTTAACGAAGAATAATTATAATAAATGCCATAATTATGGGGAGGAGGGGGTGTAAACTGACCTGCTTGGAGTGTCCCGTTTTCAGCTCAAGATAGTCACCCAACGTTTGCGTTTTTTCATTGGTCCTGTTGTAAGTCTTGGTCTAAGTGACCGGTACTAGACTATATCCTACATCTGCATGAACACCGGTTACCCGAGGTTACCCGGTGTAGGCCCATATTTTGTATACAGCCACTTGGCACTAGATGGGCCTTGTTGTCAGTACCAGGTACTTGCTCCCGTTTATAGGACGAGTCGACATAAAATGGATGTGAGGATATATCTGGGAAGTAAAGGCGGTCGACGTGATATTGACTATATGTTCCATAAAGTGCCGATTGGTCTGTAAAATATTAGACTGGCACTTCATTCCTGATAAGATTGAAGACATAAAACTACCCGTTTTGCCTACTTTTTTTTTACAGCGTTACATCATTCTTGCCTTTAAAAAAAAAAATAGTTAACTAGTAAATAGACATTATGCTCATTGCACATCAAACTATTCTGTCCATAAGTGCTCGGATCCCCTCCCCAGTAAACTCTGCAGCTAGTAGCGACTAACGACACCAGTCATGTTTTGATTTCTTATTCCTTTTTTTTTCCACATTCACTGTATCAGACTTGTCCCTGGAACGTCTGCTCCCCTAAAGTAACTTTATCTTGCGCGCCAAAATGCCTTGGAAGGAATATTTTCGTCTTTTTTCACAGGCTGTTAGCTCCTGCGGAAAGTTCGTCCATTTGGACTTTGACTTTATGCCAAGGCCTCAGTTTTGCGCGTACATCCGTTTTACTGGCTTATTTGTGTGCAGCTGACTGTTCCTTGCCACTCGGGCAGATGCACTCCGATTTCGATGGAAGCAGAAAGCTCCCAGTTAGTCGGCTCCTACGACATGCTTGTTTGGGAGGCAGTGTGGCTTTTCTCGCCCCCCCCCCCCCTCGTCCTCATGGGGCTCTGGAACCCACACTGGGACAGCACGAATATGTCACTGTTATGTGTCAGCCCTGACCACCTCAGAGACTCTAACCACTGTCTTTGGACCCTAAGCATAGTCACTGAGAAAATGCTTTCTAAGAATGTTCCTAGCTATCTATATTAATAAAACATTATGCCACATATACGTATTACTCCCACAGATCCTTCTGTGCGCTTCAGTGCATTTATTTAACACAACCGATTTCCCCCTTCCGTTTGCTTGTGGTTCGTTTTGTTTGTCCGTGGTACAGAATATCGCCTCCCAAAGAGAGTATTTTATTGGGAGCTCCAGCAAGGAAATAGGTCCCAGGGAGGACCGAAAAGGCGCTATAAAGACACTATGAAGACTACTCTCAACTCTTTTGGCATCAACACAGCGTCGTGGGAGGTTGCTACACAGAACCGTTGTGGATGGCGTACGTCCCTCAGACATGGTGCATCGGCCTGTTGTCCGCACTGCTCAAGAAATTTTTGGGGCTCATATTGGACTAATCAGCCACCTTCGTACTCAATCATTGATCACTACTACTTTGGATGAAAGTGGTCTTCATCACAACAGCTAACATATTCTGCGAAATGAGGGAGTTTGTCAGAAGAAGAAGAAGACTGCACATCAGACACGTCCATAAACGCTCTGATCTCATTATTAGTATATTCCTTAGTGTGTATCGACTGATAACATCAGTTCTTATTTGGTTCACTATTCTTCTTTGGCTACCTGTATAGTGTTTATGTTTAGCGAAACCTCTTTTGACCTGAAGTTCTTGTAGTCTTTTGATTGTTTCCGATTCAACCATGTCTCATGAATCATCTTCTCGTCTTACCTCCTTGAGAGCATTGAGAATGTCGGCTCGGTTCATTGATTTTCCTGTACCTACCGTGGTCCTGCCAGCAAGCCAATCCGCTCTTACCGACTAATTCCTTTCAGATGAGATTTAATCAGCGACTCCAACCATTTTCTTCGAATCCACCCCGTCTCTATCTCCTTAAACATGCTTATGGAATCACTTAGAAAGCACGCAGGGAAAACTGCTGTGTCTCTAGCCACATCATTGCTTTTGTTACCGCCGTCACCTCCATAGTCACACTACTTGTAGTCGAAGCAAAAGACCCACTTTCTTCTTTGTTCACAGTTTTCCCTTGAACCAGAACCGTAAAAGCCATGAACTTTGTACGTATCAATTAACGTTCCGTCAGTATAGATAACTGCACCTCTGTCAGCAGAATGTTTAAGAACTAAAGCTTGTACTTCTGTCTCAACCACCAGTTGGCCTTTTTGTGTGCAATCTATACCCAGTTTTATGCAGACTGAAAAGGAAATGCCCCACTCTGCTGACACTCGTATCCGTTCCTTACCAGGTTCTATCTCCTCAATCGAACAAACTTGATGAATAATGTCCTCCTCAGCCTGACACATCCAAGATTTTCCTCTTTTCAACCTGCTACCCTTCTTCATGCGAATCTCAGTGTGCGATGGATGGTGCGTACCAGCATTGATACGCAGATATGCACGTGCTTGGCAAATCACTGTTCTTACTTCCATGGTTGGAAGATCAAGGAGGTAACGCATAAGTCCTAAATGTTTTTATTATAAACATATTTCCTTGCAGAATGCCCCAGTAAAGATTTCCTTATCGAAGACTGGCCGTACAGTCTATGCCACAAGAAGGATTGCTATAGGAGAGATCATATTTTCTGAACTGCCCGAGTTTCTAGAACAAAGTTTGGCGTCGCAGAGTATCCCTGCTTGCTCACAGTGTGGCGTGCTGCTGCTCCAGCCAGGTCATGTGTTCGCTAAAGAGAAGCGGGTACCTCCTGATGTGAAGAAAGCCATCAAAAAGTACTGGCAGACAAGGGTTACAATCCCGTGTCAAGGTTGTAACAGAGTCGTCTACTGCAGTGAATCCTGTCGCCAGGAGGCGTGGCTAAGGTACGCATTTATTCAACACTCGCCAATATCTGACATTAATGCGAATCACCATATTATTATCATCATCCTGTGTGTGCCTTTAGACGTCACACAGGGCTCTCATTCCACTCCGCTCTGTTGCTAACAACTTTGTCGATTTCTGTAATGGAGCTCAGCTCAGCATTTTTTGCCTCTCGTAATAATGTTCTAATGTGTCGCTTGCACCACCTCTTTTTCTCTCTCTCTGTCTCAGACCGTTTGTTTCTCGTTTCAGTGCCTGTTTTGTAATTATTTGCTCATTTCGTCTCAGAGTGTGCCCAATATATCTCCACCTTCATTGTCTTATTGCAGTCGATACAGGTATTTGTCCAGACATATTTTTGATCTCCTCACTCCTTTTGAATTAAATCCATTTTAGGTTCATGATTTTTTTTTACGACTTCCGTTCATATATTTTGTGATTCTCCAACTTTCACTGGCTTATGTTAGAACTGAAACAACGTTAGAATTGAAGATTTGTAGTTTGGTCTTAAAGGTTTTCTTTTTTTTTTAAACAGCTTCTTTGAGCTTCAGTTTTAATTGTCCTATTGATAGATTGCCATCATTTCCAACACCTGCTCCCCTGTATGCACGACATCAGTTAAACAGGTTTTCTGTTGATGCAGTGGTCGTGGTCACTTTATCTAGTGAATTCCGAGTTAATTTATGAATTTCCTTCTGTGTTAAAACTGAAGACTCAGTTGACATGACTCTGTTACTAGGTTTGACTGCAAAAAAACAAAACAAAAACTGCTAATCTTTCTCCACTTTTATTCACTGTTTTGACTCGTTTTTTCCCCCATATCGCTCTCTACTCCCCCATTATCTTTGCTTAATTTAGAATTCAAATCTTCAATTACTATTAATAGATCATGTTTTGCAATCTTGTCAACTTCATCCTGCAATTGTTCATAAAACATAGTTGTTCATAAAACATAGTTGTTCATAAAACATAGTTGTTCATAAAACATAGTTGTTCATAAAACATAGTTGTTCATAAAACATAGTTGTTCATAAAACATAGTTGTTCATAAAACATAGTTGTTCATTTTTTTTTAAACGTATCCAGAAACCATGAGTTGTAAACCCTTTGGCTCGGTACTATGGATATCGCAACCCTTCGGCCTTGATTCCATTATAGGTACCGTTAATCTGGGAGAAATGTGGCTTTTCTGCCTACCCCCGGGAGTGAACCCGGACCACAAGGAGTTCGTCACCCGGTCACCGCGAAAGTCAGGTTTAACCAACTTCGCTAGAGAGCCGCGCATAGTTGTTCATAAAACATAGTTGTTCATAAAACATAGTTGTTCATAAAACATAGTTGTTCATAAAACATAGTTGTTCATAAAACATAGTTGTTCATAAAACATAGTTGTTCATAAAACATAGTTGTTCATAAAACATAGTTGTTCATAAAACATAGTTGTTCATAAAACATAGTTGTTCATAAAACATAGTTGTTCATAAAACATAGTTGTTCATAAAACATAGTTGTTCATAAAACATAGTTGTTCATAAAACATAGTTGTTCATAAAACATAGTTGTTCATAAAACATAGTTGTTCATAAAACAGGTCTTTCTAGTCTGCCTCAGCATCATTGGTTGGTGCATAGCACCTTAGTATTGTCATTGTTACATGTTTGGTACTGAATCCTGCTCTGATCATCTGACTTTAAGTAGGTTCCCACTTCAATATACACTTTGCAACTTGAGATGACATCATTAAATCTACACTCTCAATATGTTTCCCATCTTCTCTACCTGAATAAATGAACGTTAAACCACAGACCACCCTGCTATGTGTATCAGCCCATCTCACTTCACTCAACCCCATTATATCTAGATGGTATCGTTTTATTTCTTCCGCTACCCGGGCTGATTTTTTTGTTCCTACTGTGGTTCTTATGTTCCAGAAACCAATGTTAGTGCTAGTTTTAGAACCAAGCAATGAGCAGGTCGAGTTATCCCCTTCCGCAAAATGGCTTTCATTATTAGCTGTCATTGACGCATTCATTGCACCATACACCATTTGTTGTTCTGTTGATCGTATTAGCGTCATTTTATGCAAGTTTCTGTAGCTATGAACATGTCTTGTGATGAGGTAGCTAGCCTCACGTACAAGCCCTTTTCCTTTTTCATTCGGGCTTGGGACTTGTAATAGCGGAGACACATGCAAATATGTTATTCAAACTGAGTCAGTAGTCTAATCACCGACATTTTTGTCATATGTTTTATAGCCAGCACGACTCAAGATGAAATGCTATAGATTTTCAGAATGCCATGGACAAAGAAGAAAAGATATACTGACACCTTTAACGATCTTAACATAACAGAAAATTGCCTAGTAAAGAGCATCTTGTCTCAGACAATGAAATATTTTGGCAAGTGGGTTGGAGAAATAATAGCAGAAGGCACGGTACCAGGAACAAGAGGCAGGGGCCACCAGCACGAAGATGGGAACGTGGTATAAGTGACTCCTTAGGTAGAAAAGATCACGAGATGGGAGACCTGGCAAGAGACCGAGTTTCTTTCAGGCAGACAGAGATGAGAGCTACGTTCTACAAAGAAAAGACTTACTACACGGTGATGACTTAAGGAGTGATCCCATCCTCATTACACTGAATATGTGACAATTTTCCATATAACTCTTTTTGTTAGCTTTTTGTTGTCGCTCCATACATGTGTATGTGCGCAAGCTTTTTTTTTTTTTTTTTGCCTTTTTTTTTGGAGCCAAATCTGTTGTAATTTTTTTTGGGGTTTTTTTGTGTGTGGCTGTTTGGCTTTTTTCTTTTTTCAATTTTTTTATCCAGTTTTCTTCTGGCCTCACATGGTTGAGAGGTAGTGGAGATAAGTAAGAGTAGGCTCCATTGAAAATTGAGAGATAGTGTTTGAGGACTTACAGTGAGGTCGGAAGATGGAGATAGATGTGATAGCTTAACTAGGATCGGTGTTTGTTGTCCTCTGGGCTGCGGCACTTGCTTCTGAGTTGTCCGCTTCCGTGGGTGTGTCAGTTTCTTCAGTTGTTGAGTTTGCCTCGTCCGGGGGCTTATCTTTTGAAGTCCTGGAAATAAACTGGGTCACCAATTTTTGCAGTTCTTTGCTGTTGTCCACTTTTAGGCAATCCTCTAGGGAAATTGGCTTCTTCTGTCTGTTGAAGAATTCGCCTAGCTGCTTTCTTTGGTCGCTGTATTTGCGGCAATAGAGCAGGTAGTGTTCTATTGAGTTTTGTGCTTTGCACGTGTCGCATGTTGGGTGCTGGAACCTTTCTGGCCAGTAACCTAGTCGCAGCTTCCATAGTTTGTTGACTGCTGGGATTTTTATTGGTTCTTTGATCTGCGACTGGGTTCTGGGCTTCTTCAGCATTCCGTGGGCGTGTCTACATTTTGTATCGTCGGTCCACTGTTTTTCCCACGCTTTGGTGAGCAATCGTTTGGTGGCCGTATTGACTTCTGACTTTCCCAGCCCTATGTTTACTTTGGCGTCGCAGCTGGTACCGTCCTTCGCGGCTTTATCCGCCAGCTCGTTTCCGTTTATGCCCTTATGCGCTGGGACCCAGCATAAGGTCAGTTCACCGCCCCTTTTTTTTCGTGAAATAGGGCCCCTTGCTTGACTTATATGCCATAGCTTAGAAGTTTCAGGACAAATGATAAATGACAACATAAGTCTTTTTTCTGTCTATGCTGAAATATTTTCCAGCTACCACAAGGACATCTGCCCGTCCTCTCCCAACTCGCCGTCCAGTGTACTCTACGATGTGAGGGATTCTTTTCGAAACGTCACGGCCACCAATGGCTGCTCCTGGCAAGGCTGGTGGAATGCCGAGTTTAGCCCACTTCTGCTGGCTCGTCTGTGGGCAGCTGTGCTGGCTCAAGCCAAACTGCGAGGAGGTTGCCAAACTACGCCTAATTGTGAGGCTGTTTTGGAGCCAATTTTCTCCAAAATTAAGAAGTATGTATATTGTTTAATAACTTGTCTATTAAATGTTAAGAGACTAGATATCCATGCTCACTGATTGGCTGTTTTTCTTCCTGTTTCTTGTTTAAGGATTAATAATAATGTGCTGAACAGCAACAGTTATCATATTTTTTTAAAATATGTGTACACTTACACACATAAGAAAACTTCTACATTGTGGGCGCGGGAAAGGGGTGCTTTACTGTCTTACAAATTAAAGGGTGGGGGGGGGGGGGGGGGGCTCAAGTTGTCAAGTTTGGGTTCCCCAAGGCTCTGCTGCCATAAGCTTGACTGATTGATTGATTGATTTGATTCAAGAACCGACATCACTGCACTCGGGGCATTCCCATAAGCGCCCCGTCCCCATCTTCAGCAGCCAGCGAAGAGTTCCTATACTAATGGTTCCAGTAGCATTCTGATTAAACGTCCGTCTTGCCTTTCCTCTGAGCCTCGAGCATCTGCCAGAACCTCTCGTCACTCCCCCCTGCATCAATCTCACTAGACTGTGGTGATTCATCTGCTCCTCCGAACTGTACACATTCTCCCACAAGGCACCAACCAAGTCTGCCCTATCATGTAGCAGTATTCCACCAAGTTGTGCAGAACCAGCCAGTCTGTCCGTCTGTTTATTTCCCAACACACCGGCCTGCCCCGGTGAAAAAATCCAGACAATACTCCTCACCCTTGTCCTCTGCAGCGAAGCATGCCACTCTGCACGAAGCATACCTGTTCTGATAAAGCACGACTACCCATTGATACATATTTTAATTAAAATCTGACAATTGGGCCCAGCCGAAAATAGGGACCATGAAATGAAGTAAGTACTCTGGTGCAACATTTATTAATCATCAGCTTGTATATAAATATATGTAGCTCGATATACCCAGCAATCTTTAAATGCAAACGAGAGTATTTTTTGATTTTTTGTTTAGTTTTTTGTTTTTACTGCAAAATTCTATTTGATTATTCCAGGTATTCAATCAGTTCTGAAACTACTGTGCGCACGTGTGTTCCCAGAATGTTTGACTGCATCAGGAACATTTTCAAGAGGTCAAAGTTCTTGGGTTATGAAATAACAGAAACTGAATTTGATCAAATGTACCACAGAATTTCAAACAATTATATCAGCTTCTTTGATAATAGTAATCCAATCCAAGACTGTTTAGACAGAATTCAAACTAACCATAAAGTTGTCAAGAAAATTGTCAAATGTTTGCAAGAACCTCGTCAGAAAGCAGAATTCCATGGATTGTTTCCTTTGATATCTTGCATTAACCACTGTTGCCTGCCAAATGCGGAGATTGTGTCTCAAACTAGTAATGGGAAGCCAGGGATATCCATCACAGCCAAAAGAGATATTGATGAGATGGATGAAATCACCATAGCTTATGTAGATCCACAGCTTTCTAGGAGTGAGCGACGAGACATGCTATCCAGGTGACTATGAATGTATTTCTTGTTTCTCCATTTGTCCGGAATTTTGGGGGGTTTTTGTTTGGTCGTAACACGCCCATCTATATCTCAAGATGGCCGTTGGTCGTAATTACGGCGCACCTGTTTACAGCAGAGCTGTGATATGTGTACTATTCTTTCAACACATACAAACACTGACTTTAGTATCTGTTGACTGAGTTAGCCTTCCATGTTAAATTGTATCCAATAATCATTAAAAAAAATTACATTAATGTGAACTGTTATGAAAATATTATGTAGAAATGTGATCAATCAATAATAAAACGAGCACAGTATTTCACCAGTCATTGCATTTTCAAAACTTCAGTTGTGCATTCACATCGTTGGCTTATTTGTATGCAGACTTACTGGTTCCCTGCAGAGGCACTCAGTCGACAGAGTAAAACACCCACAATTAGCCGCCAAAAATGGATAGCTGGTAAAACAGTCGGCGGTGCAAGAGCTGATCCCTGAAAAATCACGTCAAGCGACACCATTATATATACAGATGGGTCTGTAGTGAGAGGTAAAAAGAGTGGATGTGGTTTCATTGAATGGGTGAATGGACACTATGAAAAACAGCCTCAAATACAAAGTCACTACGTCCTGTATAAGAACTGAGGTGAAAACAGTAACAGCTGTTTTCCCATAGCTTGAGAGCAGCTCAGCGCGACATGTTGTAATTGTAACAGACTCATAGAGCATGCTTCAGACAATTGCATGGCGTGACACTGTGAGCTGCGTTTGTTTTTCGTTGGCACAGGAGCGGAGCAACTGTGGGGTGACCCGTTTGCTATGAAGCTGAAACTAGGATTACCAGATCAGACAATTGAAACTGACATCCTGCCTGCAGAGTGGCTTGCACCAATGGATTTGACGCAAATCAGGAGCCTATCGTGGATTTCATATCCAGGATATTCGGGGTCAAGAGCAAACTGATTGGTTGCTGCCGCCCCTCCGGGCAGTGAGCTTCTTTGTGGTAAAGTGGACATGGTGAAGGCTTTCTGTGATCAAATGGACAGTGCAACAAAACAGAGAATACATTCACTAAAAGACTAATTCAAAAGGGAGTAAGTAAAGTTTCTGGAAGATATTCAACACTGCGGTTTCTAGTTCTGATTCATTTTAAGAAAAATAACTACACTGAGGTGGAAACAGGCAGACCAAAAATCAGGTTGCATATGGTACCATGGTCATGTCGGCTCTTCATTGGATACCGAAGAAGGGAATAGAGCACATGTGGAAGTGTCCCGAGTGCAGTCATGTCAATTCTTGATCGGTTCATCACAGTATTGCCTATGTATGTTTGTGTGTGTGTGTGTGTGTGTGTGCGTGAGTGCGTGCGCGCGCGTTCCTTTGTGCGTGCGTGTGTGTGTGTATGCGTGCGTGTGTGTGTGTGTGTCCAATATGAAACTAAAGAATAATAAACTCCGCTTGGCAGGGGCCTATTACCAGCACCTGTCACTAATTTTCATGTTATTTCTGTTCCTTTCAGACGATACGCTTTCTGGTGCCAGTGTTTGCGGTGTGAGTTTGAAGGGAACGGTCCTGATGCTTGCACACAATGTGGGAAACGTCCGCAGTCCTTTTCGAACAGCGGAACTAGACAAGACAGCATTGCAAGTTTGAAGAATTGCTCAGCTGTTCAGGAGACGAATGTATTGCAGGGTCTTACGGCTGTTCAAGGCACCAGTGTGATGCAAGACTGTTCTATTGCTAAAGACACATGTGTGGTTCAGAGTTCTGGGGAAAATTTTCATTGTCCACAAAATAAAATTGATAAACTATTTGATACTAATTCTAACTGCGGAAATGAAAAGCAGAAAGACACAGGAGAAGTTAATCATAAAGAAGATTTTAACACTAAAAGTGAGAAGGTCAAAAATCATGGATTTCACACGTTTGTGACAGGTGAGTGTAGTTTAGATATTCAGGAAAACTGTAATATTGATGAAGGATCAAATCAAATCCCTCTTCGACAAGTTTTGTTAGAAGAAAGCTCAGAAAAAGTATCAAATTCACCAGCAGAAGAAATCAGAACACCGCCTGAAATAGCTACTTGTTCGCTCAGTGGTAGTGTTACAGACAACAAGATGAATTCCGAATCTGGTTCAGGGTTTGAGAATCAGGCACCGGCTAAGTATCCTCACTGTAGTCAATGTGGCAGAGCATGGTACTGCTCCCAAACATGCCAGAGAGAAGCTTGGAAACAAGGACACAAACAAATCTGTGGTAAACTTTGACGGATTATTTTCATTTCTGTACTTGGACAGTGTCGTTTCAAGGTCAATGACTATTTTGTATTCCTTTGGGTGTAATGAGTAAATGGACGTAAACACACATTTGTGTATGTGTGGGTGTGTGTGTGTGTGAAGGATGGACAGCCAAAAGCTGCATTTACTTCTTTATTTATTTATTAATTTTGAAAGTTTAGGGGGTTATTTTTGTAAACAATTCTCTAAAATCTACAGGGATTGAATATGTGACCACATCTTTCAAGTGCATGTACCTACTTTTCAAATAAATTTTCTCAGATTTCTTTAGCCTACTTTTCAATTTTCCTTTGGTCATTTTTAATGTATTGTAAAGCCACTGGCTCAAATATGTGTTCTGGTATAAAAGACATGTTTGTATGTTCTGGTTGCATGAATGCTGTAGAAGCTACAGCTGATGAATTACCGGGTGTTTTTTTTTTCTCTTGTGTGATGTCGTGGTTGGGTACAACTTACCTACCTTACCTACCGTTGCTGGGGCAAGGTGGTAGCCGATTCTTCCGTTTGAGGATCTAATTAAAATCTCAATTTATAAATCAGTTCAGTCACTAAACTGAGTGAAATTTCATCATAACTGTAAAAATGGATGGAAAGTTTGAATATAGTAAAATTATTAAAATCCTTTTAAAACCAAAGTATAAATCAATAAATAGCTTGACGAAAAATCTTAAAATACTAACTGGACTGTCCATGATGAACAAACAGCCACAATAAAAAATCATAATCATATCTAATTTCCATGAAACATGCTGAAATGATTAGCTGGCTTAAAATATTATTTTTCGAAATGTAATCTAATATCTTCTCCTGCTTCTTCAGCATTCCGAGACCTTTAGGTACATTGCTGCAGAAATCACCCGCCTCCATTTATCTCTCTGGTTGGTCTTATCTTTCCAGTTGGTGACACCAAGTGTTTGCAGGTCTGTCTGGACATTATCTCTCCATCGTCTTCTTGGTCTATCTCGTATTCTACGACCATTCAGCTCCCTTGTCTGTACAGTTTTTAACTTCTCTGTCATCTGACATTCTCTCAATTTCGCCAAGCCACTTCAGTCTATTAGCTCTCATGATGCCAGTGACAGTGGTAATTTAAAAAGGTTATGATTTTCGTTATTGCTTCTCACTTCCCATTCCCATGTTGTTTGCATATTTGATGGGTAGTTGAAATTTATCTGAAATCGAGGCTTAGATATCTATTTCGTGACGAAATGAAAATATAATAAAAATATCCAGGCACTTTACTGAGGCTACAGCCGGGTGACTATTACAAGATTATCGTGATTTTCAAAGTGGCGGCTGCTAGGAATTCACTTCATGTGATGCACTTATTTAACGTACTGTAGATTCGGCCAGCCATTTACACTGATGAGGTTTTACACAGTATTATATAAATGGATTGGAAATCTAATGATCACTAGTGAATTTCTGGAATCTAAAACTAAAATAAAAGCCTTCTCTTGAAATGATGAACTTACCTATAGATTCAAAACAGAATAGCCAGACTACTCAGCTATCCATACAATGAGTCAGTGACGTTTTGAGTACTTGATGAACTACAGTTAGAGTTACCTGGAGCAATTATATAAGAACTATGAGTCTTGCCACCCACGCAAGCGAAATAATGCTAAAGATACTGCTTATTAGATTGAAAAACAAATCTGCAGAAATAGTCCAAGAACAGGTGGGTTTCCGAAAAAATAGAAGCACTACAGAACAAATCTTCACACTAGAACGATGATAGAAAAAACACTTACATCAACGTGACCTATTCTATAACTTCATCGACTTCTCGTAGGCACTTGACCATGTGTGGCATGTTGGGCTCTAGCACATAATGAGAAATTTCCTCTCCAAGTATCCGAAACGTCTAAACCCATTGGCGGAAGACAACTATGTCATTTACGTGTTGCAGACGACATTGATCTCATTTATGGTTCCGAAACAGAACTCCGAGAACTCACTACAAAATTAGAGACAGCCTGTGGTAAATTAATGCCGAGAAAGGCAAGATTCTGGTAAATCGTCACAATAATCGAGTACCTACCAACGTACAGATAAAACAGGAAAAAAAAAAAAAAAAACTAGAAGAAGTTAAAACCTTTCAAAATCTTGGCTCCCTCATATGCAGCGATGGCAGCTGTGCAGAAGAGATCAAGATCAGACTTGATATGGCAGGAGCCGTGAGGCCTCATCTGAATGCAATGTGGAAGAGTAAAATTAGCATAGCAGTCAAGGTCAATATTACAATCACTGGTGTTGTCTATTTTCTTTTACAGGTGTGAGAGTTGGTCTCTTACTGTGGAAATGGAAAGAAGGATTCAGGCTTTCCAATGTAAATGCTATAGACGCATTTTACAAATTAGTTGTTTAGAACAAAAAACTAATAATTATGTCTGAGACAAAATATACAAATTTGCAGGACATCAGGAGCCTCTCTTGGCAGTGGTGAAATGTCGCAAGCTAGCTTGGTTTCGACACGTGGCGAGACATGATTCGATTGCAAAGACTGTACTCCAAGGAACATTAGGGGATTGAGGGAGGGGGGGGGGTATAGTCGAAGAAGAGGAGGGCAAAGAAGAATTTGGAATGACAACATCATGAAATGGACAGGAATAAATTATCAACAACTTATTCATCAAGCGGAAGACAGAGAAAGATGACAGGTTTTATGTGCTAGTGCTTCATCAATACACATCAACGACCCTAATAAATAGCTCAAGGGTTATGTTTTGTATGTTATGAACTAGAATAGAGGAGCCATGCGGCCCCTAATCATCAGGCTCACGACCCCCTATCTACACCGCCCCAAAAATGGGTGAAACAGACAGTAGCAGGGCCGCCAGTGGGATTTTGTTGTTGTTGAAAAACCCAGCTTAGCTGAACAAAAACCCAAGCAATGCATAGACAAAGAGCCCAAAAAAACTGTAAAAATGTACAAAACTTATAGTTACGAAACGAAACAGTTGCCACTTTTACATAAGGATATTAAAAAACACACACAAGATTTTCCCCAAGGCGTCATATAAAAACCCAGATTGGGGGGGGGGGGGGGGCAGCATTAGTAACCATGTACAGTAGTGACCGTGACAGATGAACCAGGGTTGTGAACTCAGAATTTAGAAAATCCCCCAAACACTGGTTAGAAATTGCTAAAACACGCCAGGAGGTAACAATTGCGAAATCATAGTCAAATTTATATTCAAACGCTCCAAATTAAAGTCATCAATATGGTCTCAAATGAAACGAGCACTATAAACTTTCTAGCTAATTTCTATAACATTTTAAGGGATGCAGTTCAATCCTTGCAACATCTGAAGAAACAAATGCACTGAGAAAACAAGGACGTAGGGCAAAAGTCCTAAAAGTTGATGGAGGAGGTTAAAGGGGCTGGACTGAATTCTATCGATGATATCGAAAGGATTGCGCAGGACAGCAGAACGGACTGAAAGAATAGACTGCGAGCCATGTGTGCCATACAATAGGGAACAGGAACGTGCTGGTGATACATTTATGTAAATTCTGTAATATGCATTTAACGAGATAAAGCTACATCTGCCAGGCAATAAATTTCGGAAGAAAAAGTATGTTTTCAAAATACAGTGAACGGCTATCTTCCGAATAACGGGCACAAAATACGGCGGACAAAAACAGGGCCTCAGTCACGTGTCAATTGCGCACTTCTGGCGACCTAATTTGCGGTTTCCCGGCATCTAACACCACCACCGGGTATCCCTACGCCGCTCACGCGGCTTGGATTGGGGCTAAATTTAATGGCTGGAACACACGAGCAAAGCTGCAGGAGATGCGGCCGCCATCTTTGGTGCCCGTTATTCGAGGATAGCCCAGTGAACACTACGTACTGAGTGATCATCAGGCACTGCAGAATCAGAAATTCCACAAACGATTCGTGACAGTTCCCGCCTAAATGATCTGATTATACAGATGAGTTTCTTTTGAGTAGCAGAAAAAGTGCATGGGGGTTGAGTGGTTCATTGCAAAAGATAACGTGTGTCGTTTCTTACAACAAAGACTAGGATATGATACAAGATCAAGTTTGAGTACGAACGTGAGGCCAGTCACATTAGCCTTCCACTAGCTTGAGAACCAGATGCAAACATTTGTTGTGAGTCTAACAGACTGAAAAAGTATGGTGAGAAAGGGGCTAGAAAGGCATGTTCCATTCAGAATGGCAAGCATGGCTTGAGAGGTGCCGGCAGTAAGCGTCCTTTGGATATTTTTTCCCCATAGTATGCAGGTGTGAATGTGAAATTAACAGACAGGCAGACTAGCTGGTGCAGCAACTAGGGCTGTACCGAATAGTGATTTTCACTATTCGGCCGAATACGAATAGCTGGACCAACTATTCGGCCGAATACGAATAGTGAATCATCATCATCAGGTGCTTTGCCGACTTGTATGGGCGATTATGCCTCGCCACAATCTGCGATCTCCTGCAGAATGTATTAGTTCGTGTGCTGACACACCTCCATGCCATGCAACAAGACTGTCAAGAATCTTTTCTTTCTCTATCCCTCCTTTCACAAATCTGTCCAGTGGTCACCAGATGTTCAATTTTCCCTCATCTTATAACATGACCGAAAAATGACGACTGTCTCCTTCTGATGTCTGTGAGGAGTTGTCTTCAGGCTCCCGCCTCTTTCAAAACTGGTTGGTTTCTTTTGGCTGTCCAGGGTATTTTAAGCATTGTTCTGTAATACCACATCTATGAGCACCACTCGCCCCAGGTCGATGTTCGTTCACTAGTCTTCTTGTAGTGAGCACTGCCCGACCCAGTTCATTGCTGGTTTACCAACCTTATTGTAGTAAGCACCGCTCGCCCTAGTTCGATATTCGTTCACTAGTCTTGCTGTAGTGAGCACTGCTCGCCCCAGTTCTATGTTCGTTTACTAGTCTTCTCGTAGTGAGCACTGCTCGCCCCAGTTCGATGTTCGTTCACTATGCAGGATATTTTAAGCATTGTTCTGTAATACCACATCTCTGAGGCCTCAAGAACTTGTTTGGCCTGCCTACCTATTGTCCAGGACTTACAGCCATTTGTTAAAACTGGATGTATGTAGCAAGCAAGAATTATTTTTCTAACCTTCAATGACAAAGAAATATTGCATAAGATGTTCTTCATTTTATAAAATGCAGTTTTTGCCTGTCCTATTTTGTTTCTTATTTTAGTAATGATTCTTCCATCTGAAGTAATCCATGTGCCCAAATACTTAAATTTCTTAGTTTCTTATTTCAGTAATGCATCTTCCATCTGAAGTTATCCATGTGCCCAGATACTTAAATTTCTTAGTTTCTCATTTCAGTAATGCATCTTCCATCTGAAGTTATCCATGTGCCCAGATACTTAAATTTCTTAGTTTCTTATTTCAGTAATGCATCTTCCATCTGAAGTTATCCATGTGCCCAGATACCTAAATTTCTTAGTTTCTTATTTCAGTAATGCATCTTCCATCTGAAGTTATCCATGTGCCCAAATACTTAAATTTCTTAGTTTCTTATTTCAGTAATGCATCTTCCATCTGAAGTTATCCATGTGCCCAGATACTTAAATTTCTTAGTTTCTAATTTCAGTAATGCATCTTCCATCTGAAGTTATCCATGTGCCCAGATACTTAAATTTCTTAGTTTCTTATTTCAGTAATGCATCTTCCATCTGAAGTTATCCATGTGCCCAGATACCTAAATTTCTTAGTTTCTTATTTCAGTAATGCATCTTCCATCTGAAGTTATCCATGTGCCCAGATACCTAAATTTCTTAGTTTTTTATTTCAGTAATGCATCTTCCATCTGAAGTTATCCATGTGCCCAGATACTTAAATTTCTTAGTTTCTTATTTCAGTAATGCATCTTCCATCTGAAGTTATCCATGTGCCCAGATACTTAAATTTCTTAGTTTCTTATTTCAGTAATGCATCTTCCATCTGAAGTTATCCATGTGCCCAGATACTTAAATTTCTTAGTTTCTTATTTCAGTAATGCATCTTCCATCTGAAGTTATCCATGTGCCCAGATACTTAAATTTCTTAGTTTCTTATTTCAGTAATGCATCTTCCATCTGATGTTATCCATGTGCCCAGAAACTTAAATTTCCTTACTTGTCCCAAAATAAAACCATTGACTTTTATTACACATTTAGGGGTAATCATTTTCGTTGATACCACCATTACTTCTGTCTTCCCACTATTCAAACTGAGGCCCATTCTTCCACTTTCGTGTATAAAATAGATCTAAAAGGAAAACATCCATATTGTCAAATTTACGCTGACATTTTACTTCACAAAATGTAGTACAGAATAGTAAACATTTAAATACATTTCATGTTTTGCATTCTTCAGTCAGTCAGTCTGTGGTAACTAATACATAGGAGTAAAAGTATTCTTAGTTTTATAACAAGTAACTAAGCTTGTAAATCGTCACTGACAGCTTAATTAATCCATGAAAGCGGAATTAGCTTTCCACACCCAAAAAATCGTTCCATGTTGTCAGCATTAGGGCAGCTTCTTGTCTCACTGAAGGCATTTCCAGTTTTACTAAACAGACGTTCACTTGGTACGCTCGTAGAAGGTGCACAGAGATAACGCTGGACAGTATAAACCAAGGTGGGAAATCTTGTCATGTTTATTTTCTACCAGTCCATGAACGGGTGTAAGGTAACCACTATTCGTATTCGGCTCGACCGCAACTATTCGGCCGAATCCCGATAGTTATTAAGTCCACTATTCGGCCCCGAAGCGAATACGAAGCGAATATTCGGTACAGCCCTAGCAGCAACACGAGGTGGTGATTTGGAGCATGACAGAGTTAAATATGGTCAAGTCTTTTGGTGAGCAACCTGGAAACGGCGAATATATCTTTATGGTGCGATGGGAAGTGACCAGGGATCTGGCTGACGCACCGGACTAAGATAAAAAGCAAGACGGACAGATAATCAAACTTCTAATTGTATCATCGGCATTTTAACCCTTCAGTGGCCGCTGAAGACGAGGTCGGAGCGCGTATAGGTTTTGTTTCCTCCAGTAACTTAGTAAGAGTTTGGGATTTCAACCCACAGAGGGGAATGGATAGGGCAACAAACGATGCAAAGGTAAAATTCGATTCCGTCGGCCAACTGTTGAAATGAGTGCGTGGCGTGACACTATGAGCTATAAATTTCGAGGAGAATACTTATAGTCTGTCCTTGCCACGAAATTGGTGGTGTGCCTTATGCAGTAATTGTCTTGACTGCTGCACCCATAAACTATGAATAACATTTTTAGCGAAATACTGTAGCACTCTTCTATTTAACGAAGTTTACGCAGGGGCAAAGTGATGAAAACTGATCGTTACGGGCCACAGGCCCGAGACCCAGCGAAGAATAGTCACTGTTTTATCATCTATCCACATGCAACTTGATAGGTCTCTGCGGGCCTCTAATTTAATAGCCCTGCTGTAGGAGTTTCCACCTCTGGCGACTGCCACATGCATTTGATGCATGTGCGAGCTGTTACATCTTGCCAGAACTACTATCCGTCTGACTTTCCACTTGGGACAGTGACGGAGATTTTGTGTGGTTTTCGTCGGGAATGAAAAATTATAGCTAATGAGTTAACCGTTTGGGATAAAGCTGGAACCCCTACTGATAGTCTAAGTATAATAAGACATCGTTCGATCAGTTTGTCCTTTTTAAGCAGTAACCTAAAGTTTACAATACTATTCTAAAATTTAAAATATCTTAGTCTGGATGGCAGACTGACAAGACAGATGCCAGATACCCCGTTGAACCTCCAGATAAGTTATAATCACAACCGGTCTATTTATATCTAAAGATGGCCGTGGTTATAATCAACGGCCACACCGGGCAGGCGACACCTGCAGACCTGTGTGGGTAAGGACCCGAGTCCAATTGGAAATTCCCAGCTTAGTTATTTATAGCAAAGGTCAACTAAGCAGACGGCAGCAACAACTTCCGGTTCTCCTGGTCGTCATTTGGATGTTTTTTATTCTGTGCTCAGTGTTGTTTGAAAATATTTTTTTATCTTGTTGAGAAATAGACTTATATTGACAGTTTACTGCACCAAGGGGACTATCAGAGCAATATGTCGAATATTCGGGGAGAAGCCGGGAAAGGAGGCAATTATTCAGCTCAATTCTTTTGTCAGAAATGCAACCTGCCACTGAAGTTGGATTCGAGTTTCTGTTCTGGGGAGATGGAGACGTTGAGAGAATTATTCAGAGAACTGACAGGTAACTTTCTATTTTCTGTAGTATAGGTTCTGTTGAAGTTACTGGCAGTTGTATATAAATGCCTGGCAACAGAAATGTTGAGATACTGAACACGGTATAGGAATGATATTGTCCTGAGAGTATCATTCTAATTTCATTTTGCCCAAAAATTACAAAAACATAATAATACAAAAATTAAAAAAATAGAGTAACTCGAGTAGACTACAGCAGCTCGTTAACACGGAATTTATGTTCAAGGGACTGAAAATATATTCGTGTTAAAAACTGGCGCTAAGCCACACTAATGAGAATAATATTCCCTGCTGGCACCAGTACTCTCTGTGGCATTTGTACTCCCTACTGGCACCTGTACTCTCTGCTGGCAACAGTACTCCCTGTTGGCACCAGTACTCTCTGTGGCATTTGTACTCCCTACTGGCACCTGTACTCCCTGCTGGCACCAGTAATGTCTGTGGCATTTGTACTCCCTACTGGCACCTGCTTTCTCTGCTGGCACCAGTACTCCCTGTTGGCACCGGTACTCTCTGTTGCACCTGTACTCTCTGTTGCACCTGTACTCTCTGTTGCACCTGTACTCTCTGCTGGCACCTGTACTCCCTGCTGGCACCTGTACTCCCTGCTGGCATCTGTACTCCCTGTTGGCACCATTACTCCCTGCTGGCACCTGTACTCTCTGCTGGCACCTGTACTCTCTGCTGGCACCAGTACTCCCTGCTGGCACCTGTACTCCCTGCTGGCACCTGTACTCTCTGCTGGCACCAGTACTCCCTGCTGGCACCTGTACTCTCTGTTGCACCTGTACTCTCTGTTGCACCTGTACTCGCTGCTGGCACCTGTACTCTCTGCTGGCACCAGTACTCCCTGTTGGCACCAGTACTCTCTGCTGGCACCTGTACTCTCTGTTGCACCTGTACTCCCTGCTGGCACCTGTACTCTCTGCTGGCACCAGTACTCTCTGCTGGCACCTGTACTCTCTGCTGGCACCAATAATCTCTGCTGGCACCTGTACTCTCTGCTGGCACCTGTACTCTCTGCTGGGACCAGTACTCCCTGTTGGCACCTGTACTCTGCTGACACCTGTACTCTCTGTTGCACCTGTACTCTCTGTTGCACCTGTACTCCCTGCTGGCACCTGTACTCTCTGCTGGCACCAGTACTCTCTGCTGGCACCTGTACTTTCTGCTGGCACCTGTACTCTCTGCTGGCACCAGTACTCCCTGTTGGTACCAGTACTCCCTGCTGGTACCAGTACTCTCTGCTGGCACCTGTACTCTCTGCTGGCACCTGTACTCCCTGCTGGTACCAGTACTCTCTGCTGGCACCAGTACTCCCTGCTGGCACCAGTACTCTCTGCTGGCACCAGTACTCCCTGCTGACACCAGTACTGTATGCTGGCACCTGTACTCCCTGCTGACACCAGTACTGTATGCTGGCACCAGTACTCCCTGCTGACACCAGTACTGTATGCTGGCACCAGTACTCTCTGCTGGCACCAGTACTCCCTGCTGACACCAGTACTGTATGCTGGCACCAGTACTCTCTGCTGGCACCAGTACTCCCTGCTGACACCAGTACTGTATGCTGGCACCAGTACTCTCTGCTGGCACCAGTACTCTGCTGGCACCAGTACTCTCTACTGACACCAGTACTCTCTACTGGCACCAGTACTCTCTGCTGGCACCAGTACTCTCTGCTGGCACCAGTACTCTCTACTGGCACCAGTATTCTCAACTGGCACCAGTACTCTCTGCTGGCACCAGTACTCTCTGCTGGCATCAGTACTCTCTACTGGCACCAGTACTCTCTACTGGCACCAGTACTCTCTGCTGGCACCAGTACTCTCTGCTGGCACCAGTACTCTCTGCTGGCACCAGTACTCTCTGCTGGCACCAGTACTCTCTATTGGCACCAGTACTCTCTGCTGGCACCAGTACTGTCTGCTGGCACCAGTACTCACTGCTGGCACCACTACTCTCTGCTGGCACCAATGTTTTATTCATGTTAACCAAGTGTTCTTCTTAAGCAGATTTTACTGAATTCCCGATTAACTGTAACTTGAACATAAACACATTGAATTTTCAGTAAGTCTACTGTCTAGATGTAGTGTTTACAGTATTTGACAGCAAAGAAACATGTGAGGCATTACTTTAGAAATAAACACAATTGTAACAGAAATACTAGGAGTTAGACTGGCTAGAGAAAGAAGAAAGTAAATCAACAAGGAAAGGGAAGGAGATGAAGACAAAAACCCACAGATGGAATATTCAACACCTCTGTAATCAGGTCAGTTCTGAAACCCCTTGTGCGGGAAGGGGATAGGCCCACTGCTCCCTAACAACCATTTAAGTCAGCTAATTAGGGATGTTGGTGCTTAATGTTTAGCTGACCACCAATGATGTCCTGGGACAATCCAACATTTTATAGTGTGGTGAGACTGGGTTTTGCATGTTTTCTGTGCTTTAGCGCTTTTACCTAACCTTAACCCTAATCAAAACTATACGCTTTATCTACCACCCCCTGAAATATTTGACTGTCCTGTGACCTGTAATTTCCCCTGTTTGTGGACGGCTAATAAGAAAGTACCGGGATGTTTCCTTTAAAGTCAAAGTGCATGTGCCTGAGAGATGAGGAACCAACAGTCTACATAACATACCTCACAGCTGTAAAATGGATGTGCACGCAAAACTCAAATTCTGGAACAAGGCTGAAATCCAGAAGGGGACAAACCACCAGAACTTTTTGCCAGTTAACAGCTGGTGAACGCGAAGATAAAGAAGAAGCAAGTTAAATTTTCATGCTGTTGGAATGTTCAGTTTAACATAAATTCATATCTCTCTTTCTTTCTTGCAGAACCTTTGTCCACAATATCAGACATGGAAGAGAGTATTCAAATCATACGACATGAAGTACGTGTGTGAAATTAAATCACTACTTTTGATTTTAAAATGTGAAAGTAGTGTGCATGTGCATGCGTGTATGTGTGAGAGAGAGAGAAAGGGGGGGGGGGGAAGGAGGCACTGCTCCCTAACAACCATAAAAGTCAACGAATTAGGGATGTTGGTGTTTTCTTTTTAGCTGACCACAAATGATGTCACGTGATGGTCCAATATTTTAGAGGGTGGTAAGAGCGGGTTTTCCGTGTTTTCTGTGCTTTAGCTCGTTTCTTCCAAGGTAAAACTTATTGCTCTCTTAGTCCCCTTGGTGTCAGTAAACTGTCAGTATAGGTCTTTTTCTCAACAAGATAAAAACGTTTTTATACAACACTCAGCATAGAATGAAAAAAAAAACATCTTGTGTGACATATAAAAAGTAATATGTAGCTGAAATATTTTAGCCTTATCAAGTGCCACAGCAGACTGGGAAAAAAAATAATAGTAGAAGGCATGTTACCACGAAGGAGAGGCAGGAGCCGAACAACATGAAGATGAGCACAGGATGTAAGTGACCCCTAAGATATGAAAGTGCATGATGAGAGATTGAGTTTCTTTTATGCAGACCATGATGAGAGATTGAGTTTCTTTTATGCAGACCACGATGAGAGCAATTTTCTGCAAAGGACTTGCTACCTGATGATGATATGATATATTATGGCAAAACAGGATGATGATGCTAAATAAAAATGTGGTCAGATGTTTGTTTTAAACAGTTTTGTATACTTGGCCTGGAAGATGTATTGCTCATGTGATGTTTGTTTGTTTTGTATTTGTTTTTTTCCTGTGGGGCATCAGGTGTTACCAATGGAGACTGATTGAGATTTCCCTAGAGTCAATCTGAATGTGTGGAGTCAATAATGGATAGCCAACATGTATTTATTTATTTCTGTGTTTGTTTAGTTAGTTGACACAGCATCCTAATTCAGTCCATAATTGTTCAGAACCCGTCCTCAAAAAAAAAAAAAAAAAAAATTCCACAGCATTTAGCAGCATACCACACCAATTCTGCGTTGGTTTATTCTTCTTCTTTAGCTTCCTGTATTGTGTCCTATGTGGCCTCACCCCTTTTAACGTCCGGTTTTTGCAGTATGATCATGGTTGCACATTCAGTCATCACTTGGTTCTTACAAGTGTCTTACTTCTTGTAGAGCTTCAAGTATTTCTATGAATTTTTAATTAAAAATTAAGGATAATAACCTAAGACATTATCATGTTATGTTTGTTGTTATAGGAATTTGAGGAGGCGGATGACTTCAGACGAATAGTGGTTCCAAGAAGCGGGTGAGAATTTGTTTCTACCATTTGTATCTTTAATCTCCCAGTGGAGCATAAACCAATAATTCAGTCTCCTATGGTGATAATTCACTCCAGTCTAAGATGGAGAGATAGAAAGAAATTAAAAAATGCATAAACAAAAGCAGAGTTTTCATGTAACTTAGAAATAAGTGGAAGTTATAAAAAAAAAAAAAAACATGTACCAAACTGTCAAATGTTGCATGGAGCTGAAATGCAGAAAGTAAAAATAATAATGACTAAGTTACAAACATTTATAAACTGGTGCATGCACAGAATAGAGGCAATTTAATGGCATGTGGAGCTTTGGGAGAGAACTAAACAAAAACCCAGTGACTGTAGAGGTAAGGAAATGATGCTGACCTGTAAATAGGGCAGACATTGAGAAAACCTGAAATAAGTTTAAGTAGACTGCGATTACACTTGAAACCACAGGGTCAAAGGAATAAAGATAGACCCAGAAAATAACACACACATAGAGACGAGAATTATTGAATGAAATGAAAGAGACAGAAAGGTCATGGGGTGAGTTGCATGTGGTAGCAACCGACTGGAGGACAACTTGGCACGATCCCCTGATAGAGCTAAAGTTAAAGTCAAGAGAATCGATTCCATTTCACAGGGTGTATCCCAAGTGGCCCTGTCTCTGTTTATATAATGGCTAGCCATCTGCGGAGTGACCCATAAAGCACAGACTCTGTAGCTTCGTCAGTGATTCCCAGAGATCTCGATCACAACAGCAACCGTGAAACAGATGATGTGCCTATGAAATGCAGCTATGACCTTCAGGATGCCTGGGAAACAGCTCGATCACTTCGTCATGCAGACACCACAATTTCTCTACCTACTTCTGTTAAACTGTACTGCAGAAGTCACTTCCCAATTTTTTGCATTAATGTTTCAGGACAGATATTTATGTTTATTGTTGAAACAAGGATACAAATATCTTTCCTGTCATAGTTTGTTAGAAATGTTTGAAATTACATTAGATTGTCATTTATTCACTGGACTTTTATTTCCTGTTTCGAAATGTGTTTTCCTGTGTTTCAGGTTTGAAGAGTCTAATGATTTCACTCTAGTTGATCATCTTGGACCTGGCAGTATGGACTCCATGAGTATACGCTCAAGGGTTGGTTTCATTAACTATGGGATTCTTCAGCTATCTTCTTTACCTGTGTTTCTCCATCTGTTTTCAACTCTTTCAGTAAAAAAAAAAAGTAAGTAAAAGTCCCTTTTCCACGCCTTTAGGCGTATAGAGCTAGAACTAAATTTTTATAGACCAATTGGCACGAGATTGGTGATGTGGTCATCATCATGCTGGCCGCCTTTACTTCCTGAACTGCATCCCGTACCCACTCAAGGCTGGGTCGACCTAGGAGTCAAGGTCAGCTTTTTCGGTACCAAACTAGAATTACTTTAACTCTGTATATACAGAGAAATTCTACTATAAAGTAATGTGGTTTGAATCCAAAGAATTTAATAACTTATCTGTGATGAGTTTCAAATGGGTGCTGTCCAGGGACTAACTAATGAACATTTACTTGTGCTGTCGGGAGGCATGGTAATCATAGTCTGTTAAAGGTTAAAGTCCAGACTTCACTGTACTGAGTTTTATCCGGTATGGCAAGGTCTCTCTTCACAGAATGGCTGGCCGCCTGCCGAGAGCGCTGCACAGCACACAAACTTCGTAGCTCCGGCGATGATCCCAGGGATCTCCTGAAAAATTGCACTTGTGAACTGAACGGCGCAGCTGTAAAACTGATCCACAACCTTCAGAGCGCGAGGCAAACAGCTCGACACCTTCACCACGGAGTGACGAGTGTGAATAGCAAGACTAGCTCATGTTAAGAAGAATCTTCCACAATCAGTGTATGAGTGTCAGGACCTTTGTTGCCATCACCTTTTTTTCTTTTCTTCTTTGTCTTTGTTTTTTTCCCTATTGTCCCCCCCCTCCATGGAATGTGATCCATGTTTGCTGCACAATACAAAACACATTAAAATCAATGTACAAAAAAAAAAATGCTTCTTTCTTATGCTAACACAGATTGTTTTGATAAATTAGAAAATAATAACTCTTCAGCTGAAATATTACATAAGAAAATTCTTAGAATACTGTGTGTCAGGAAGAAGTAAATAAAAATTGCATTTTACCAGATGTGAGGTTTGGTAGAGGGGAAGAGGAATGCGGGAGACCAAGAAAGACCTAGATACAGAATGTGGCTGAATGAACGAGGCTCAGACATGCAAACATAAAGTACACTGCATCTGACTGACAATGGTAGAGGAGCTGATCAGACAGTCAACAGAAACTGGTGACCTAAAGACACACTGTGTTATGGAAGTATGATGACAAGATCCATACATGGAATAGATTTGAGTAATAAATATCATCAATCTCAGAAACTAAAATAGTTTTGCCATATGAAAGAGGCAGGGGTCAACCATCGTGATGGACTGAAGGCATTAAAGTCACCTTTCATGAGGCAGATGACAGTGAGTTGCTGGTGGCTCCTGGTGAGCTAAACTCTCAGAGTATCTGCGCTACATGATGATGATAAATGTATGTATGTGTTTCTGAAATATCTTTTCCGGCCAATTAATGTTGAGTTTATTGACAGGTGACAGGGCAGTTGTTTGATTTGATGTCTGGACAGTCGGACATTGACCACCCATTATGTGAGGTACTTACTATGGTTGTTGTTGTTGTGTTGATGCTGCTTGTTGCTTACTGTTTATGGCCCTGTAAACAGTAAAGGACCCTCTTCCACGCCTACAGGCATATTGGGCATATAGGGCTAGCCCCATATTTTATAGACCAGTCTGCACTTGATGGGTGATATGATCCACTTTTATAAAATAACTTTTGGTTTTTGGCGGAGTATCCAAACTCTAACATCCAACATTTTGTTGATGGCTTTGGGCAGAGGAGCACATTGGGGAGAATATTAGACATCCTTGGAAGAGGAAATGAATTTTGAAAAAAACAATGATGTTATGGCTTGGCAGACAAGGCCCTTAACCTTGGTTGGAAGTTGGTCTAGGAAGGAACCTCAGACATGCAAACAGAGCACTGCTGTTCTGACTAGCAGTTTCTTTACAGCATGCCTTTTTCCATACATTTTGATGTTACCTTTCCTTTAGAGTAATCAAGGCAAGCTGAGTGAGGGATCAAACTGAATCGGCAGTCTCTACAGTACTGTCCAGGCTTTATGCTGTAGAGAACAGGGCGAGTTTCTACAATATACAGTACTGCCCAAGAGCCAAGGAAAAACTCACCACTGCCATTCCTGTGCTGTGATTCCTATACCCCCCTGTAGCACATTAGGACACTATCATCTGGAAAGGCTGTGCCAACAACAACTGCCTTATGGTTGTTGGGTCAAATACCACCTTCATTGCACATAGATATCTCTTTAAGTGCTGTAGTCTCCCATAGATTACTTAGTAGGAGAATCGCAGCACAGTGCACAGACTCCTTAGCTAAGATTGGGATCCAAATGTGTTTATGTCAGAATTACACATGCTGCACATTTTGTTTTAAATGTTTTTGGCTTTGGCTTGCTTTGCACACAAAAAAAAATCATCACATTCAACCATTATTCCTGAAGGAAGAGCTTTAGGTTATAATTATGACTATGTCATGTGCGCCATATAAAATGGCTTAGCCATGCTGGCCACCAAGTAGCTCTGAACAAAACTCTTGCAATGTTGATGCAGTCACAGGGGACAGACCCAAATACTGCCTCGACCTGCGACTTGACCCTTGACTAAGTCGTCTACCATGTGGGTGTCGGGCCCATTGTGGAAGTTGGGGGGGGGGGGGGGATAGACCCACTGCACCCTTGCAAGCATATCGCAAGTCTACTTATTAGGGATTTCTTTTGAAGTCGGAGGGCATTTGCCTCAGAGGCAGTCGGCATAGAAATAAGCCAGATCTCAAAAACAGATCTTAATCGCAGCTTAATCACCTTGAAAATGTAGAGGGGCTGAATGCCAGTGAAGTCTTGTGATTATATTTCTTCACGTGTTCTTACTATTATTTCTGATGTAGGAGTGTACCGACCATTTACTGGACAGTCTGGATCATCAGCTGAAGATTGTGGAAGATGAAAGCAAGGAGTATAGGTAGGGTTTGCTTTACACACTTGTCAAAGATTGTGGAAGATGAAAGCAAGGAGTATAGGTAGGGTTTGCTTTACACACTTGTCAAAGATTGTGGAAGATGAAAGCAAGGAGTATAGGTAGGGTTTGCTTTACACACTTGTCAAAGATTGTGGAAGATGAAAGCAAGGAGTATAGGTAGGGTTTGCTTTACACACTTGTCAAAGATTGTGGAAGATGAAAGCAAGGAGTATAGGTAGGGTTTGCTTTACACACTTGTCAAAGATTGTGGAAGATGAAAGCAAGGAGTATAGGTAGGGTTTGCTTTACAAACTTGTCACTCTACTAATCAACATATAATATATACGAAAAAGTGGGGGGGGGGGGGGGGGGGGAAAGGGCTGAGGGGAGAGTAAGATACTTTAAGATGCTTTAAGATACTTTTTCTTCTGATTCGCCCTTAAATGAGTGGTTGGCACATTCTGTTGTGGTTTACAGCTAGGCTGCAATATGTGCACCTTTCGGCCCATTACATCTGATTTAGGCAAATCCCTGTATACTTTTGAAAAATTTTTAGGGGGGGGGGGGGAGGGTGACAGTGAGTCTTATTCCCTCGAGCCAGAGCCTTAGAACCCACATTGGTAGCGTAAAGATGATATGTCTGCCAGTAAACTGTAGCAGACTACAATAAGAACGTACACAGAATGAAAATGTACACGCAGGTCACGGATACACTGGCTTTATTCTGGGGTTTTAGATGAAGTAGCTGGCCTTCTTGAATGAAGGTGAAAAACCAGTATTAATACTTGCTAGAAATACAAACTGTACACGCAGGACAAGGATACACTGGCTTTATTCTGGGGTTTTAGATGAAGTAGCTGGCCTTCTTGAATGAAGGTGAAAAACCAGTATTAATACTTGCTAGAAATACAAACTGTACACGCAGGACAAGGATACACTGGCTTTATTCTGGGGTTTTAGATGAAGTAGCTGGCCTTCTTGAATGAAGGTGAAAAACCAGTATTAATACTTGCTAGAAATACAAACTGTACACGCAGGACAAAGATACACTGGCTTTATTCTGGGGTTTTAGATGAAGTAGCTGGCCTTCTTGAATGAAGGTGAAAAACCAGTATTAATACTTGCTAGAAATACAAACTGTACACGCAGGACAAGGATACACTGGCTTTATTCTGGGGTTTTAGATGAAGTCACTGGCCTTCTTGAATGAAGGTGAAAAACCAGTATTAATACTTGCCAGAAATACAAACTGTACACGCAGGACACGGATACATTGGCTTTATTCTGGGGTTTTAGATGAAGTCACTGGCCTTCTTGAATGAAGGTGAAAAACCAGTATTAATACTTGCTAGAAATACAAACTGTACACGCACGACAAAGATACACTGGCTTTATTCTGGGGTTTTAGATGAAGTAGCTGGCCTTCTTGAATGAAGGTGAAAAACCAGTATTAATACTTGCTAGAAATACAAACTGTACACACAGGACAAGGATACACTGGCTTTATTCTGGGGTTTTAGATGAAGTCACTGGCCTTCTTGAATGAAGGTGAAAAACCAGTATTAATACTTGCCAGAAATACAAACTGTACACGCAGGACACGGATACATTGGCTTTATTCTGGGGTTTTAGATGAAGTCACTGGCCTTCTTGAATGAAGGTGAAAAACCAGTATTAATACTTGCTAGAAATACAAACTGTACACGCAGGACACGGATACACTGGCTTTATTCTGGGGTTTTAGATGAAGTAACTGGCCTTCTTGAATGAAGGTGAAAAACCAGTATTAATACTTGCTAGAAATACAAACTGTACACACAGGACACGGATACACTGGCTTTATTCTGGGGTTTTAGATGAAGTCACTGGCCTTCTTGAATGAAGGTGAAAAACCAGTATTAATACTTGCCAGAAATACAAACTGTACACGCAGGACACGGATACACTGGCTTTATTCTGGGGTTTTAGATGAAGTAGCTGGCCTTCTTGAATGAAGGTGAAAAACCAGTATTAATACTTGCCAGAAATACAAACTGTACATGCAGGACACGGATACACTGGCTTTATTCTGGGGTTTTAGATGAAGTAACTGGCCTTCTTGAATGAAGGTGAAAAACCAGTATTAATACTTGCTAGAAATACAAACTGTACACGCAGGACACGGATACACTGGCTTTATTCTGGGGTTTTAGATGAAGTAACTGGCCTTCTTGAATGAAGGTGAAAAACCAGTATTAATACTTGCCAGAAATACAAACTGTACACGCAGGACACGGATACACTGGCTTTATTCTGGGGTTTTAGATGAAGTAGCTGGCCTTCTTGAATGAAGGTGAAAAACCAGTATTAATACTTGCCAGAAATACAAACTGTACACGCAGGACACGGATACACTGGCTTTATTCTGGGGTTTTAGATGAAGTAGCTGGCCTTCTTGAATGAAGGTGAAAAACCAGTATTAATACTTGCTAGAAATACAAACTGTACACGCAGGACAAAGATACACTGGCTTTATTCTGGGGTTTTAGATGAAGTAGCTGGCCTTCTTGAATGAAGGTGAAAAACCAGTATTAATACCTGCCAGAAATACAAACTGTACACGCAGGACAAAGATACACTGGCTTTATTCTGGGGTTTTAGATGAAGTCACTGGCCTTCTCGAATGAAGGTGAAAAACCAGTATTAATACTTGCTAGAAATACAAACTATACACGCAGGTCACGGATACACTGGCTTTATTCTGGGGTTTTAGATAAAGTAACTGGCCTTCTTGAATGAAGGTGAAAAACCAGTATTAATACTTGCTAGAAATACAAACTGTACACGCAGGAAAAAGATACACTGGCTTTATTCTGGGGTTTTAGATGAAGTCACTGGCCTTCTCGAATGAAGGTGAAAAACCAGTATTAATACTTGCTAGAAATACAAACTGTACACGCAGGTCACGGATACACTGGCTTTATTCTGGGGTTTTAGATGAAGTCACTGGCCTTCTTGAATGAAGGTGAAAAACCAGTATTAATACTTGCTAGAAATACAAACTGTACACGCAGGACAAGGATACACTGGCTTTATTCTGGGGTTTTAGATGAAGTCACTGGCCTTCTTGAATGAAGGTGAAAAACCAGTATTAATACTTGCTAGAAATACAAACTGTACACGCAGGACAAGGATACACTGGCTTTATTCTGGGGTTTTAGATGAAGTCACTGGCCTTCTTGAATGAAGGTGAAAAACCAGTATTAATACTTGCTAGAAATACAAACTGTACATGCAGGACACGGATACACTGGCTTTATTCTGGGGTTTTAGATGAAGTAGCTGGCCTTCTTGAATGAAGGTGAAAAAAACCAGTAATAAAGTATTAATACTTGCTAGAAATACAAACTGTACACGCAGGACACGGATACACTGGCTTTATTCTGGGGTTTTAGATGAAGTAGCTGGCCTTCTTGAATGAAGGTGAAAAACCAGTATTAATACTTGCTAGAAATACAAACTGTACATGCAGGACACGGATACACTGGCTTTATTCTGGGGTTTTAGATGAAATAGCTGGCCTTCTTGAATGAAGGTGAAAAACCAGTATTAATACTTGCTAGAAATACAAACTGTACACGCAGGACAAGGATACACTGGCTTTATTCTGGGATTTTAGATGAAGTCACTGGCCTTCTTGAATGAAGGTGAAAAACCAGTATTAATACTTGCTAGAAATACAAACTGTACACGCAGGACAAGGATACACTGGCTTTATTCTGGGGTTTTAGATGAAGTCACTGGCCTTCTTGAATGAAGGTGAAAAACCAGTATTAATACTTGCTAGAAATACAAACTGTACACGCAGGACAAGGATACACTGGCTTTATTCTGGGGTTTTAGATGAAGTCACTGGCCTTCTTGAATGAAGGTGAAAAACCAGTATTAATACTTGCTAGAAATACAAACTGTACACGCAGGACAAGGATACACTGGCTTTATTCTGGGGTTTTAGATGAAGTAGCTGGCCTTGAATGAAGGTGAAAAACCAGTATTAATACTTGCTAGAAATACAAACTGTACACGCAGGACAAGGATACACTGGCTTTATTCTGGGGTTTTAGATGAAGTAGCTGGCCTTGAATGAAGGTGAAAAACCAGTATTAATACTTGCTAGAAATACAAACTGTACACGCAGGACACGGATACACTGGCTTTATTCTGGGGTTTTAGATGAAGTAGCTGGCCTTGAATGAAGGTGAAAAACCAGTATTAATGCTTGCTAGAAATACACACTGTACATGCAGGACAAAGATACACTGGCTTTATTCTGGGGTTTTAAATGAAGTCACTGGCCTTCTTGAATGAAGGTGAAAAACCAGTATTAATACTTGCTAGAAATACAAACTGTTTAGAACAGGCATGACAAGCTGTTGCCAGGGCTACATTTGGAATGATGGAAACCTGCTGATAAAAGAATATATATTGTGTAAATGCTTCCGGTATAACAGATTTGGATTCCAGCTCCCTTGTGTGAGTTACAGAGCACCATTTAAGGCGGAAATAAGAACACACTCACTGCCTCCCAACAGGCATATCATAAAAGGGGTCTGATTAGACGTTTGCAGAAATGAAATGTGTTGGGTCAAAGGCGAGTGTATCGCAGCCTAGCTGTAAACCATAACACAACATGATTACCACCCAATAAGCGCAGACCCAGACACACTATCTTTGTATGTAATTACTGATCACCTTCTCCATTTGTGATCTATGGCAGCCGAAGGTATAAGTCCAAAGCTTGAAAAATGCATACATTATTAGATATTTATTTACTGCGTCGATGTCAGTGGCTTAGGTGTTGCCAATGCTTTTCGTAATGCTGGGGCGCCAGGTTCAATCTCAGCTGAGGAATTAAAACAAAATGCTGGGTTTGGTTCTGCAACGTCCTGTAAAGGTTACGCAACTAACTTTAAGTTTACTGCATTAAAGGCATAAACTAGTAAGTACCTACTGCAAGCAGACTGACATAACCCATATTTATGAGGAGACAGATTATACAGGGTGTCCCATACATTTCCATACATAAAAAAAATATAAATATCACCAACACCAGTAAAGTATAACTCCAACTGTGCTGATACTTGTTCTCATATCAATGACACTGGTTTTCATTTTAAAAGAGTTTATTTTTCCTGTGTATGGAGACTTATGGGATGCCCTGTAGTATAGTTATGATCTATTTCTATAATTATTTTTCTATTCACTTCTGCATTATCTTGTCTGTCTCTGTGTATGTATGCGTGAGTGTGTATATCTGTTAGTCAGTGACAGTGTTTTGACATCAGCTGCCCCAGTCTAACTGATTCAAGCTATGCTGTGGTTTTCCCACTACAACTTTTGCATCATACATTTCTCAAGATTCTTCCTTAACTGGGTTGGGGTTTTGTAGTTGGCGGATATCCTTGAGCCTCATGTTCTGGTGAACTGTTAGGATTTGTTCTTCTGGTAGCCACAACTTTCCTGTCTTCTAGTCTCGGTTTACTTATTACTAAATTAAGGGTCATGACACAGACCTTGTGCCTAATTTGTTAGGTGTTGATAATCCAACATATACATGTAGAAATCCAACATAATGTCTGTAGAAATCCAACAAAATATCTAAAGAAATCAAATATATTATCTCTAGAAATCCAACATAAGTTCTGTAGAAATCCAGTTCAATGTCTATAGAAATCCAACATAAGTTCTGTAGAAATCCAGTTCAATGTCTATAGAAATCCAACATAAGTTCTGTAGAAATCCAGTTCAATGTCTATAGAAATCCAACATAAGTTCTGTAGAAATCCAGTTCAATGTCTATAGAAATCCAACATAAGTTCTGTAGAAATCCAGTTCAATGTCTATAGAAATCCAACATAAGTTCTGTAGAAATCCAGTTCAATGTCTATAGAAATCCAACATAATATCTGTAGAAATCCAGCATAATGTCTTGAAATCCAAACAAGTGTAGAAAAATGACAGAGTTGATGGATGTCTTCCCCAGAGAGTTCCTGGACAGGCTAGGGTATTCTGAAGATGTCATCAACGAGCCAGAGCTGGATGAGGAGTTGAGACAGGTGATTCTTTTATTCTGATTTTGTGTTTCACTTGTGTACATGTTGCATCTGACTGACACAGGTGGAGGGAACTGATCACTGTCAACACCACCTGGTGGCCCAACGACATCTTGTGTTATAGGACTGTAAAGAAGATGATGATAATGATGACCTCTCAGCTGGTTGGTCATGAAACCACAGGATGACCAAGTTTTTACTGTTAACTCCTCCTGTACCTCATTACATCATACACTGTTGGATTACTCCGTCAGTCAGTCAGTCACAGTCAGGTGCTGTCCCCACAGTGAAGGTTGGCCGCAATGGATCTCCAACATGCTTTGTCTCTTGTCCTGGTTATACACTCTTTCAGACTGCTGCCCATCCATCTCTTGATATTGTCCTCACCCTAGTGTCGCTGCCCACCTCTTACTCTCTTGCCTTCGACCTTTCCCTCCAGTATGGTCTTAAAAAGTGTGTTATGTCTTTTTAGGTGGTCAAAGTGTCCCAGATGTCTCTTCTTTATTTCTTTCAGAACTCTCTTCTCATTTGTAGTCCCTCCAGAACCTTTGTATTCGACTGTTTTTGTTTCCATGAAATACAACTTATTCTTCTGTATACCTTCATTTCCAGAGACTCAGTTCCATTTTCTAGCTGCTTGTTCATTGTCCAAGTTTCTGCACCATATTGCAGGATTGGGTATACATAACATTTGAAGATTCTCATTTTTAATGTGTTGTTTTGTTTATCTCTCTAGCTGTCAGTAATTTGTGCATCTTATTGAAGACAGTTTTAGCCATACCTATTCTTTTTGATTACTCCACACACTGCGATGATTTATTTTGTTGTTCTCTCCCACTTTTCAGTTACATTAACCTAGTCTATCTCAGTGATTACTTTAACTCCTTATGCTATATAACTTTGATTTAACTCACCAAGACTCAAGGCTTCTTACTATAAAATACACAGTGTTTGCAATAGAAAGTGTTTCAGTAACAGCTACTTGGGACTGAAAGATTTAAGTACTGTGCAGATGATCTAGACTCAGAAAAGGGTTTGTATCTCTTAGAGTAGGTATAGAAGGTTGTCTTCCAGTTCATTTCCTTCCGCTGGGGCTACACTGCAGAATTCTTTCAACCAAACATCTATTACAAGGTAGCACAAAACACATAATAGTAGACAAAACCATTGAACTGAATTCACCATTTCCTAGAAGGCTAACTTTCATCAACAAACGCCTGCAGAAGTTGGATGTGTCTACCGAAAAGGGCAAATATTGCAGCCTTGTTGTAAATGGGCACAACACAGTTACATCTTCACATGAACGCAGAAGTAGAAGAATTCACTGCTTATATTGAATTTGTAGACTATTGCAAGCATAGATACAGTAACCCTTTGGAAATTGATGAAGCATTGTAAGATCCTACAGAAGATTATTAACTTTAAAAAGTTACAAAAAGCATTAAAGGAATAGTGCATGTAATTGTTACGTGTTGTAGACCTATACTTCTGTATATCCACATCAGCCAGCGGATAATCACCAAACAGGCACTAAAATAAGAAAGAAATTATTTTAGGAAGCAAGAACACCCAAGAGACACAAAAGTGAATGTTGATGAGAGAGGCTAAAGGTGGTGGATTATATTGATTATACCTTCAGGATCGCACTGGAGAGAATGGAATAGATGAATAGACTACATGCCCTATATAACATATAATGACACAACATGATGATGATGAAAGCAGTACAAGAGTGATATTTTTTGTAGATAAAACCTCATACTCAGACCTTACTTATTATCTTTTGGGTGTCTTATGGCTTAGTTGATGCAAGAGGAGAAGATGCTGCAGCAGGAACTGGCTCAAGCTGAGAGAGATCGAATGAAGATAGCCGAGGCCATGGCAGCAGAGAAAGAGAAGGCCAAGAAGTTGGATGAGGAGGAGGAGAAGTATGTTGATATCTTTGATTATGCACATTATAACAATTTTCATATAGAATTTGTCAGGTTTGTCTTCTTTTTAGTCCATGCCATGTGGCGTTGCTAGTATTTTCTATCCAAATCTTTCTGTCTTGTGTACTTTCAGTCAACTCTGATACAGATAGATGATCTTCCATGCCATGATGTCAAACTGTCCAGCATCTTTTCTTTCAATTTCCTTCTGCCTCTCTTCCCCTCCAGCTTTCCTATTGTCATAGTGAACTCCAGTTGTCTCCTTGTCATGACATGACCAAAGAATGTAGATTGTCTCTTTCTGATGTGGGCAATCCGTTCTCTTTGTGAGTCAGTTTCTTTCAAGACGTCTTCATTGCTCCTTTTATTTGTCCAGGCTATTCTCATCATTCATTTATAACACTACATATATACAGCATCCAAATAATTGTTCACTAATGTATCAAATGCCAATGATTCACTTCTGTACATTAGGATAGGATTTTATAGCTTTAAAGAATTCACTTTCTTGTCTCCGTGGCAAAATGGAAAAGCCGTTGACCTCTCGCTCTGAATTTCAGTGGTTTGTTTCATGGCTGCATCCTTCAGTTCACGAGTCCCCCGTGTGGGTTCCGGGGCCCCATTGTAGGGGAAAACAAGAATAGACCCACTGCCTACCCAAAAGCATGTCGTAAGAGTCGACTAATTGGGGAGCTTCCTTTGAAGTCGGAGTGCATCTGTCGGAGAGGCAAGGAACCAACAGTCTATTCAAGAGAATGAGATCTGTAAAACTGATGCACACGCAACACTCAGGTTCTGGAGCAGGACTGCAGTTCAGTAGTGGACGAACAACCAGAACTTTCCGCCAGAGTGTACAGCTGGTGAACGTGAAGAAGAAGAAGAAGTTCACGAGTGCAATTTTTACTGAGATCCCTTGGGATGATCGCTGGAGCTACAGAGTTGTGCTGTGCTCTGCGCTCTCAGCAGGTGGCTAGCCGTCTGTTCTGTGGAGAGAGTCTGAGCCATGTGGGATGGAAATGAAGTTGATCCTCTCGACTTTAACCTTGATCTTTCTTGTCTCAGTTGACACAGAAAATTTGCATAAAATATTTATTTTTCTTTTTAACATGTGGTGTTTAAAAAAAAAACAGCCTTCTGTGCCATTTCCACAATGTCACCCACTGTTCTCTTGGGAACGTTACATGAACAGGCCCTAATCTCTTTCATTGTGTGATTCTCACACTGTGGTCTGAAAACCATGAAAGCATTAAAATCAGGAAATTGTTCATTCACTTACCTTTGAGCTACAGAGCCACCAGTGGTGTGTTATCAACCCTTTTGCCCTAGGAACACTAAACAAACACTTGGTCATGACCCCGTTAGAATTCCAGAAAAATGTTCAGTAAATACAAACAGAGTGTAACAGTGAATAAAATACATCCCCCAAGTCCTAACAAAAATGCATATGCTTAGTGACTGAAAATTCTGGTTTATCCATTTCTGGACATTAGTCTTTTTCTAGAACATTAGTCTTGCATGTAAGTCCATTTTACAGATCTGGCTTATTTCTATGCAGGCTGTTGGTTCTTCACATCTCAGGCTTATGCACTGACTTCAAAAGAAACACCCCTAATTAGTGGGCTTTTATGCCATGCTTGTGTGAGGCAGTGGATCTATCTCCCCCCCACAATGGGAACCCAGAACCCACACAGGAAAATCAGTAAACTCAAACAGGGTGATGCATTAAATGGAAAACATTCCCTGGGGTCTTACCAAAAAAAAGATGTGTGTATCAGGTTACTTATGCCATGACCTCCACTACTGAGGCTTATCAGAAAAGTTAATGTTGGCTTGGCTTTAAAACAGCTACTTGTCTCACAGAACCCCCCCCCCCCCCCCTCCCCCACCTCAATGCTATTTTTTATTTAATATACTCATATCCTGACCTCCTAAATGTTTTGGCAGGTGCAGTAACAGCCGGTAGCATTTACTTTACTTCTCATAAACAGGTAACTATAGAAAAGTCAGGAAAGTGAGATTTATGAGGTTCCCAACTATAAGTGTTGGTTTTGCAGCTTCTCAAGGTGAAAGAGTTAAAAGCAATCAGTATTGTGGAAACAGGCAGTGTTTTTATGTGTGGACATAATATGAGACCGAATGAACTAGAGAACTTAATTACAACTGGCAGGATTGATGGGGAAGGCAGAGAGATTAATTCCTGGTTGGCTTAGCTATATGGATGAGGGGGCAAGACAAGAGCACTGACCTGATTCATGATATAGGTGATCATTTGAGATGGTCTGTGCCTGTTGCTTGTAAACAATATCACCCATGTCCCACTTGTTTCTCTGAACTGTTAACCCAGCACATTGTGCCCACAATACCTTTTGCCACAGAGACAGTCTGTCCTTGCATTATGGTTATTTACACAGTTTCATGTCATTTACTTAATTTGATGGAATTGTGGAATTCCCTTTCGCAGATACTGGCAAGAGTTCAATGACCAGAGCCGTGTTGCCATAGAATTGGAGGATGAACAGAAAAGGTCAGTTTATTTTATTGCACAACTGTATAAACATTCTCTACCCTTAACCTGTGATTGACTCCTTTCTTTGTAACTGATCATTCCAAATATCACCGCTGCTCAGCTGAGCTTTATCAGCACAATTTTAGGCTCAGCGTTCAGTTCATCTATGGCAGACCCAACATCATCTGTCATGACTGTAATAAAAAAAAAAAAAAAATTCATCGCTGATTCATTTTTGACTGTCAGCTGTCTAGGGATGATGGCTGGTTGGCCCAAAGATGTCAGTGGCGGCTTGTGAGGACAGGTCCTCGGTGAGGTCGACATGCCTAAAGTCCAACATCATGAAGCATGAAATCTGTTTCAAACAGTCTCATTAGACACATGATGTGTGTGAGCAATGACTGGCAGTTGAAGAACCTGTTTCTCACATGCCAAATACAGTAATCATCTGCCGCTGTGCCACTCTGGGCCAACCGCTGCTGTGCTGGTGCTCAGCTGAGCCAGTGGCTTGAAACCGCTGTTAAAGTTGACTGATGGTACTCTGATACACCTTTAGATGCCTGGCAACTTGACTTTGACTTGCGGTCGGTCAATAGCAATGTTCCTTAAATTTAATGCTAGAGGCGCCAAACATGTCGGCTTAAAAATGAACTGATTTTTTTAATGTAGCGTTATCCTTTTATGGAGTTCAGTTGCGTTGTCAGTGAGTAGTGTTCATCCAGTATTTTGTTGCTCATGCTCACATCATGAGTTCTCCTACAAATAGGGTCATAAACATATTTGAGAACTGCGTTGTTAATGACTAGAAAAAACTCACGCAATTCATGCTAACATCTCTGTCTAACACTATAAACAATGTTTTAGTATGCTTTTTACATACCCTGATACCAAATGTTCCTTACAAACTTACAATTTTTTAAACAGTATATTAACCCTAGAATATTTGAATTATTAGTTTAACCACTTCTGCTTCAAAGTGTCTCTGTTAAACTCCTTTTGTTGCTTGTAAGCTCAAGTCCTCAAGATTTGAGTTAAAGTCTGAATTCACATATAACATATGTTGCATATGATTACCTACAGTGTGGACAACCAGCTCAAGTACGCACAGGCACAGCTGGACAGACTCAAGAAGACAAACGTCTTCAATGCTACCTTCCATATATGGTATGTAGTCAAGCAGGCAGTTTCATTTTCATGTTTTCCTTTTAATTTGTCTTGCTTCCTGGACAATTACAATAATACTGAAAGCTGTCAGGGGTAGGGGTGGAAGGAGGGGGATGGCTTAGAGCTTTGGATTCATCCTCTTTCTGGATATAATTTACAATTTGGATTTTAACAGAATACACTCGATACACACCCAAGATGGTGTGGGCATGCCCTCACACCCCCCTCCCCCCAATGTTGTAAACCTGGGTAGTGAAAGCTGTCTCAGATAAAGGTGAAAACATGACAGCACCTGTTGACATATTGCGTTGTTAAAACATCTCTTCTTTGGTTTTCCCCAGCCCTTGAGATTCACTGCTGCAAATATCACACACCTCCTGTCATTTCCGTGATCAGCCTTCTCGTTCCACTTGGTGACTTCAGATGTTTATAGGTCTGCCTGTATATTATCTCTGTACCATCTTCTTGGTCTGCCTCGTGGTCTACTGCCGTTCACTTCTTTTATTTACTCACGTTTTTGTCTCTGCAGCTAGAAATTAACAAGAACAGACTGAGTAGATCGGGATTGGATTTACTACCGCTACAACAAATACCATGAGATATAAATGGACTGATCAAACAGCATTTGACCATGGCAATGTTAGAGGACTACCAGATAGAAAAGTGACAAGATGGGAGATAACCTCAGAGAAACTCTACAGTACCATGACGTGTGTATGATCGAAGCAGCCAGAAGAGCACAAAGCAGGATATCTTGCTTGACTCCCGAAGCGGTAAAACAGGAAGTAAAGAAGAAGAAGACTGAGTGGTAACTGCACGGGCTGATTTTAAAAATCTTTCCATAACAGAATATTTATCGCTTGTGTGGTTCTAGTGAGTGCATACATTGAAATCTTTGCTAGTGCTGCAGTTTGTACACTGGTGACATTCTCTTTACTTTGATGGCTCACTCGCACATTACAACTGTATTGACCTGCAGAAGTTGGATGTGTTGGCCGAAAGGCACAAATGTCGCAGCCATGTTGTAAACCGGCAGAACACATTTACATCTATGGATGATTGCAGAAGAAGAAAAAGATTCTTTTTGTATGTTTTACGTAACAAACACTTTTTATTTTCTCTTGGGCAGAGACTGATGCCCTTATCAAGGTATCGGTGTGCACTGAAAATTATCCTTTAAATAAAAAGCTATTTTTTGGAAATTTATTTATGAAAACACTATGGATGTTGCAGGCATGATGAAGAATTTGGCACGATCAATGATTTTCGTCTCGGAAGACTTCCTGCGAAGCCGGTAAATTGTATTGTTGCTATTTGTTGGTTCATATTTTAGACCACATTTATATATAAACCAGTTCTTGTCATGTACATTTGACTGATTTTGTAAATCCCTATCTTCTCATTTATTCTCCTATATTATTCAATTGTTTTCTTTGTAGCATATTCACAGCCATTGTCTGAATGGTCAAATAATGACAAAGAAAAATGCATAAAGGCAATACCTCTTAGAAACATCGCCTGTGTTAAAATACCTAGCCAGGCTTTTTTAGTTTGATCAGACCAAAGGCAAAAGAAGATTTTAATTTTCAGTTGTGGATTACTGTGGCGCTGGCTGTTTCATCTTACCTCATAGTAATTTTAGCCATAAAATCCAGCTAGGTGTGAATTTCAGAAGACAGACTTGGTGTAGGATCATTGCCTTGGTGTGAACACTAGTAGGCAGAATAAATAGTAGAAGATATTGTATATTCAAAGCTTTGAATATATTAAACCCGTGAGAATGCACGAGAGAATACTTATGGTGACAGTAAACAACTCAGGTTATCAGTAGAAAGCCATCAAGCACATTATATGAAGAAGCTTTTATATCCCTGAGGATACTGACTGACAAGAGGTGACTTATCGAAGGTAAAGTCTGATGATGAATTGAACATCTATCTCTTCTGTCGTGCCAGGTTGAGTGGAATGAGATCAATGCTGCTTGGGGCCAGGTTGTACTCCTCTTGGTGTCTCTTGCAAACAAGATTGGCCTCAAGTTTAAAAAGTGAGTCCATGTGTTTTTGTCCTTAATTCTTAACCTTGATTATTGCCTATCAGTAGATGCATGTATGCATGCATATGTGTATGTTGAGCTTGATTCTAAACACATCTCCTATTAGGTATCAATTGATATATATAGATATATTCTTCTTCTTCTTTTTTGCGGTGTCATCTAACATAGTGTCTTGTGTCATCTAACATAGGGTCTTGTGTCATCTAACATAGTGTCTTGTGTCATCTAACATAGTGTCTTGTGTCATCTAACATAGTGTCTTGTGTCATCTAACATAGTGTCTTGTGTCATCTAACATAGTGTCTTGTGTCATCTAACATAGTGTCTTGTGTCATCTAACATAGTGTCTTGTGTCATCAACATACATCTAACATAGTGTCATAGGTGTCATCTAACATAGTGTCTTGTGTCATCTAACACATGTAGTGTCATTAACATAGTGTTGTGTCATCTAACATAGTTGTCTTGTGTCATCTAACACATAGTCTTGTGTCATCTAACATAGTGTCTTGTGTGTGTCATAACTAACATAGTGTCTTGTGTCATCTATCTATCTAACATAGGGTCTTGTGTCATCTAACATAGTGTCTTGTGTCATCTAACATAGTGTCTTGTGTCATCTAACATAGTGTCTTGTGTCATCTAACATAGTGTCTTGTGTCATCTAACATAGTGTCTTGTGTCATCTAACATAGTGTCATCTTGTATAATCTAAGATCTAACATAGTGTCTTGTGTCATCTAACATAGTGTCTTGTGTCATCTAACATAGTGTCTTGTGTCATCTAACATAGTGTCTTGTGTCATCTAACATAGTGTCTTGTGTCATCTAACATAGTGTCTTGTGTCATCTAACATAGTGTCTTGTGTCATCTAACATATTGTCTTCTGTCATCTAACACAGTGTCTTGTGTCATCTAACATAGTGTCTTGTGTCATCTAACATAGTGTCTTGTGTCATCTAACATAGTGTCTTGTGTCATCTAACATAGTGTCTTGTGTCATCTAACATAGTGTCTTGTGTCATCTAACATAGTGTCTTGTGTCATCTAACATAGTGTCTTGTGTCATCTAACATAGTGTCTTGTGTCATCAACATAGTAAGTGTCATAGGACATAGTGTCTTGTGTCATCTAACATAGGGTCTTGTGTCATCTAACATACCTCCTTGTGTCATCTAACATAGGTCTTGTGTCATCTAACATAGTTGTTCTGTCATCTAACAAACATAGTGTCTCAATCTAACATAGTAAGTGTCATCTAACATAGTGTCTTGTGTCATCTAACATAGTGTCTGTGTCAGGTCTGCTACTTTTCTGCCTGTGGCATTTCATGTCATATTTCTATTCCTTCATTTCCTTTTCTACTGTTCTTCTCCAGACTTATTAAGGAGAGCTGTTCTTGCATTAGGCATTCTCCAGATATGTCCAAGCCATCCTTATCTTCCATTTATAATGGCTGCCAGGGATAAATATTTCATTGTTGCTCCTGACTTCTTCATTTGTGTTTTTGTTTGGCCAAAATATTCACATAATTCACATACGTTTATTGTGACGTCTCTAGTTTATGTGTAATTCCAACTGTAATTTTGAGGTATACAGTGTCTTTGTTATTTCAGATATTGACTTTTTGTTTGGTTAATTAATGTTTTCTGAGCTGTTGGGCTCTCCAGTGAGGTTTGTACTAAAGCCACAAAGGAAGGTCTCATCTCTGTGTTTTCAGGTTTCCTGGGTTTCAGGTTCTAGTCCCGAATGGTTCAGCATTTGGCGGGTTCTGTGGTGCCATGCTAGTACTTCTCACGATATTTCCTGGTACTAATTTAAAGATGTCGAGAAGGCAAGGACATCTGAGAGAGAATCTAAAATTGAGTGTTGAGGAAGGCCAAATGACTGGGCTGGATTCCATCCGAATAAAACAAAATGGAGGATTAGACTGTGAACCCCCTGTCCTCTTCTTCTTTGCATTCACTGGCTGTAAACTCTGATGGAAAGTTCTGGTTGTTTGTCCACCTCTGGACTTTAGTCTTGTTCCATAACTTGAGTGTTGCGTGCACATCCGTCTAACAGATCTGACTTAATTGTGTGCAGATAGTTGGTTCCTTGCTTCTCAGGCAGATGTACTCCGACTTTAAAGGAGCCCAAAGTTATTCATCTCTTTCGACATGCTTGTTGGGGAGGCATAGGTCTACTCTTGTTTTCTCTACAATGGGCCCCTGGGACTCACAAGGGAAAGCCCCATGTGACATATGAAGACCAGAATGATGATGATCCAAGGATGTTTCTCTTGAAAGCTCATAGAAGGAGAAAAATGGGTTCTTAATTTATAACGTACCCCAAACACGAAATTCCCGTTGGAAATTCACAGCTGACCTGACAGTCCATTATTTCAAGGGGTGCAAGTGTGCTGTTGTGTGGTGCTGTTTTTGAGTGTTCATCTAGTGTATTCTAACCCTAACCCTAAACTTGGCTGCAGATAAATCGCGAGAAACTACATCCTGAAAACCCTAGAATTTATTGGGAATATCTCCCGTGACGTAGTCGTGACGTCAGGGGTAAGTTATAAATTAAGTACCAAAAAATGCTATGCAATAATAACAATTTCTCTGGGAAATTTGGAGAGGGAAAAGAATGCTCTGTAACACAGTCCCTGGGAAGATGGTACTGGGCTGGGAGGAATGTACAGCAACCTCACTCAGACAGATGCAAGTTTTTTTTTTTTGTAAACTGTCCCTGAACCATCAGTCAGTGCACTCTGCTTTAGAGTTACAGCTCTGTCTTCCAACACTGTTATCAGAGCTTTCTTTCTTTTTGTTTTCCAGATTTGATTCAGCAATGGTGGCATTCTTAGAATGTCTGCAACAGGTAAGACACACTGTACTCTTCATTAAATTCAAAACACATCCCAGTGATATTAACATCTGGCCTCTAGTAAGCTCTGTTTTTTTATTTCCCACAAAGAATTTTGAAATGGGTTTTACTGTCTGAAATTCTCAGTTTAAATTATTTTTGTGCCTTCTATTGTTACTTATTCTCATGCTATAAATCTGTGGTACATAACCTTTCGTCTACTTCTTCCATGCTATACATCTGTGGTACATCATCTGTTATCTACTTCTTCCATGCTATACATCTGTGGTACATCACCTTTTATCTACTTCTTCCATGCTATACATCTGTTGTAGATCACCTTTTATCTACTTCTTCCATGCTATAGATCTGTGGTACATCATCTTTTATCTACTTCTTCCATGCTATACATCTGTGGTACATCATCTTTTATCTACTTCTGCCATGCTATACATCTGTGGTACATCATCTTTTATCTACTTCTTCCATGCTATACATCTGTGGTACATAACCTTGTATCTACTTCTCCCATGCTGTACATCTGTGGTACATCACCTTTTATCTACTTCTTCCATGCTATACATCTGTGGTACATCATCTTTTATCTACTTCTTCCATGCTATACATCTGTGGTACATCATCTTTTATCTACTTCTTCCATGCTATACATCTGTGGTACATCATCTTTTATCTACTTCTTCCATGCTATACATCTGTGGTACATCATCTTTTATCTACTTCTTCCATGCTATACATCTGTGGTACATCACCTTTTATCTACTTCTTCCATGCTATACATCTGTTGTACATCACCTTTTATCTACTTCTTCCATGCTATACATCTGTGGTACATCATCTTTTATCTACTTCTTCCATGCTATACATTTCTGGCAGGTAATCTGTTATCTACTTCACCCATGGTATAAACCTCTGATAGGACATCTGACATGGACAAAGAGCTGCTTGTACGACTGTGTCCTGTAAATCTAGATCAGAACATTCCAGACATGGGGACACACGATTAAGACAAACCTAACTTTGCAACACAGTATTCAGACTACTAGGAAACCAGAATTTAAACTACCCTCATTAAGAGATACTGACTTCTTTAGCATTCCGAGCCCCCGACGTTCATTGCTGCAGATATAACCCGCCTTTATTCATCTGTCTGGTTGGTCTTCTATTTCCAGTTGGTAACACCAGGAGTTTAGGTCTGTCTAAATGTTATCTCTCTATCATCTTCTTGGTATGCCTCGTGGTCTATGATCGTTCAGCCCCCTTCAACACTTTACATTCTAAATGGGCACCAACAGACTCCGTCTTCTATGCTCCCACTTAGGTTCATTGAGATGCCATGATGGGTCACTAATTACCATAATGATTGTTTTTATTTTAGTAATTTATTTGGTTAATGTATGTGTGTGTTTGTTTTCCAATATGTATGATTGGTTTATGTTTGTGTGCATATGTGTTTGTTTGTTTTCCAATATGTATGATTTGGTTTGTGTATGTGTGCATATGTGTGTGTAATTTATATATATATATATATAACAAATGTTTTAAAATGTCTTTTAAATACACAACATTAGTTTCGGGATGAAGTTGAGAAAGAAGATTCAAGTTTTAACCTTCCGTACAAGATGAGCAAGGGTAAAATCTATGAAGGGGAAAACACTCACTATTCTATCAAGTAAGTATTTACGTTCAAGATCCACTGACTTCTTCACATGTATATCTGTGGCACAGAGGTTAGTGAAATGGTTTCACAATGCAATCCTTGGTGTTTACCTGGGTTTGATTGCCTGTTGTGTGTGCGGTTGAGAAATTCTTGTGACTTTCAGACAGTGGTATGAGAGTCGCACCATGGAAGAGATTGGGGCCTCACCATTAATATTTTTAGTTAGCATTGGATACAGTGCAGTCAGCCTTCAGTATGGAGAGCAAAATTTTTTGTCATGAGAGGGTCTGTGAAAAGGAACTGAATCAACACCTGAGATAGAAAGGGTCAAAGCAGCAAGATAGGCTGCAAGACACCCAGGAACATTTCTTATAAGCAGCTGCAATAAATTTATGGTGCGTTGATTGGTACTTGAAGGTTAAAAAAGATGTTTAAAACCAAGGAAAGCTGCAGTTAATTACAAACTTTCCAACAACAACAAAAATAAAATGGTTTTCAAATCCAGTGCACAAAGCCAGAATCCTTTATTAAACAAATACAGTGCCAAGTAACTGGCAGGACAAGTGTTAGCCATTCACATATTGAGTCATGACTTATGAGGTGGGTTGGTCACTTCTTTTCCTCAAGTGTAAACTGCAGTCCTTTTTGGGTAAGGATGCCTGGTGCTCATTTGTATGAGGCTATTGGCAGAGGTGAAAGCATGAGATATCATCTAGTTCAGTTCTGGAATAATTGTAAGAGTGTGTGTAAGGTTGTGTCAGCATGCTCCTCACCCCATAAAACAGTAGAATCAAGGAGAAATCACTGAAGAGAGAAAGATGCAGAGGTTAGCTTTCAGTTTCTCACCAGCAGCACACAATCTCAGCTGCTGCCACACAGCCTCATTGTCTGAGTTTCATTTTAATGTTCCCACCCTTTCAAGTCGGCTCTGTGGCTAAGTCGATGTGAACGCTTCGTAATGCCGGGTTCAATCCCAGCTGCGGGCCATGCGCCTTGCGTTGGTTTCGACAGTGGTATCAAGAAAGCCGACTGTCCAGAAAGCAGTGGCAGAAAGCAGTGGCAAACTACTGGACGTAAATTTGCCTAGATAAACCACACAACAGCTAGGGGCTGTTGGGGTTGGTTCTGCAACGTCACCCTTTTTATCTGTCAGTGCCTTTTTATCTTCAGTATATTCTTCCCTTTTGTGGAAGGTAGAATTCTCTGCTACAGATACATTCTTAGAAAAGCCTGGACTAAGAAGAAAAACACAGACATCATGCACGATCTCAGTAATGAGGAAAACTGGCTGGTAAACAACATCCTGGCCTGAAAGCTGAGGTATTGTGGCTATATTTGTGGTTAGGTGGTCTGGGGAGAGCAGTGATGGAGGGTGCAGAGTGCAGACAATGAGGCAGAGGCTGCCGACCTCCAGAAGGTAGATACAGGACACTGAAGATGCATTGGATGTGATGAAAGCACATGGGGCTGGAGAGTTAGATTTTTTTTTTTAACGTATCCAGAAACCATGAGTTGTAAACCCTTTGGCTCGGTACTATAGATATCGCAACCCTTCGGCATTGATTCCATTATAGGTACCGGTAATCTGGGAGAAATGTGGCTTTTCTGCCTACCCCCGGGAGTGAACCCGGACCACAAGGAGTTCGTCACCCGGCCGCCGCGAAAGTCAGGTTTAACCAACTTCGCTAGAGAGCCGGGGGAGAGTTAGATAGAGATAGAGAGACCTTCAGGCATGCTGTGATGCAAGCTGTGTGCTTTAAAGGACCTTCTGTTTGGTGAGAATTCTCTGTGTAGTAGTAAACTTTGTCTTTTATTGATCTTATGTATGGTGTCCTAATGGTTGGCTGACTTGAACATCTGTTCACAGAATGCAGTTCAATTCGGAGGAGCAGTGGACAAAAGCACTCAAATACATGCTGACCAATCTAAAGTGGGCCCTGGCCTGGCTGTCATCTAGGAAAAGTTTAGGGGATTAGTTTCAGTTGTGTTTGTTTGTGTATGTGTGCATATGGGTTGGTTTTCCAGTATGTATGATTGGTTTGTGTATGTGTGCATATGTGTGTGTTTGTTTTCAAATATGTATGATTGGTTCATGTATGTGTGTGTTTGTTTTCAAATATGTATGATTGGTTTATGTTTGTGTGCATATGTGTTTGTTTGTTTTCCAATATGTATGATTTGGTTTGTGTATGTGTGCATATGTGTGTGTTTTCAAATATATGTATGATTGGTTTATGTATGTGTGCATATGTGTGTGTTTGTTTTCAAATATGTATGATTGGTTTGTGTATGTGTGCATATGTGTGTGTTTGTTTTCAAAGATGTATGATTGGTTTATGTATGTGTGCATATGTATGTGTTTGTTTTCAAATATGTATGATTGGTTTATGTATGTGCGCATATGGGTTGATTTGTTTTCCAATATGTATGATTGGTTTATGTATGTGTGCATATGTGTGTGTTTGTTTTCAAATATGTATGATTGGTTTATGTATGTGCGCATATGGGTTGATTTGTTTTCCAATATGTATGATTGGTTTATGTATGTGTGCATATGTGTGTGTTTGTTTTCAAAAATGTATGATTGGTTTGTGTTTTTGTGCATATGCGTTTGTTTTCCAATATGTATGATTGGTTTATGTATGTGTGCATATGTATGCATTTGTTTTCCAATATGTATGATTGGTTTGTGTATGTTACATATGGTTGGTTCAGGAAGATAGAAGAGCGGCTGTCTGAATGGTTAAGAATGCTAGGCTCTCTCATGCGAGAGACTCAAGTTCAAATCCTCAGTAAGGTTGGGGAATTTGGCGACAGTACTAGCCATCCGGCCCTTACTGCTTAGGCTCAAAGACCCTCCCTGCAGAAAGTGGTGAACACAGGCAATAGTGGCAGCAGGCAGATGGAGACAGATCATGTAAACAGTTTTGGTAATACACACATAGCTTTCACTGTAAGAAAGAAAAGTTATTGCTGTTTTCCCCATATGCAGAATTTGTTAATATGAAAGTCATTGAAATACAGGGATATGGTAGTGGAGTGGCTTAGAGGTGAGGATGTGCTTGTGCAGCCTTGATTTGATTCATGGGGTAGACACACCATTTTCACAAATAAGAAAACCGGTATACTCCTGTCTAACCTTGGCCAAGTGGTCATAGCTTTCAATTAAAATCCTGGTGGATTTTAAAAATTGGTGTGGGTTTCAAGTATACCATGCCTAAAACGGGTACCAGGACATGTTCAGAGAAGCAAAGGCAGGTTGGTATGATATTAACCGCATAACCCACCCATTAGTTCTTTTCAGACCCAGCCATACATCCTGTGTAATCAGATAACTGCCATTGTATCCCAGACAAGGCATGATGTGTTCTGATTTGTACAGTAAACATTTGACCCATTACATTCAAATTCAACGGTATAGTATGTTTTAAGTTGTATGCTGCCTCCTGTAAAGTCATGGATCAATGCTGTATCCAGGGCTGTTCAACATTATAGTGTTTTGTTCCAAGTTGTATCCTGCCTCCTGTGAAAGTCATGCATCTATGCTGTACCCAGGGCAATTTAACATGTTTACAGTGTGAATCGTCATTGGCTAGAGTCCTGAACCCCAGCATGGAGGTTTTGAACATCATCATGGCACGGGGAGTAACCCATAAGTGCTCCATTCTTCCTCTTACTCAAGTCTGAGTCCGAAGAAGCCCAGCAAAGTACACAGGCTCTATAGCACCAGCAAGGATCCTGAAATACTTTGGGTAGATTTTAAACTCCACATTTTATCTGGGTAGCGCTGTTAGGCTACTCTTTTCGATTTCCAACTGCCAAGGGATATTTTTACCTGCACAACAATGCACACGCGCTTCTGATTAGGCTTTAGTGGCTTAGATATGCACGCAGGCTGCCAGTTGAATAGCCCTGCTGTATTCCTTGCATTATATATAATAAACAGAAAGTGTATTGATCAGCATTCATAGAAAGAAGTAGAAAGACTGAAGGATATACTATACAACATTAAAAATTGAAAGCCATAGTTACTGTGATGGGAATCGAACCTGTCACCATCTATGAGTGACAATCAACAGATTTTTCTTTTATATGTATAATATTTCTACAGCCTGAATGATCCCCCCCTCCCCTGTTTATTTCTGTATTCTTTGTAGCGAAGTACTTGTTAGGCATCTCCTGTGAGATCATAAAAGACTGAAAGAGAAGTACTAATGTGTCTATACCAACTATGGGACACAAAATATGCATCTAGGTGTTTTGGAAATTATCCTTTACATTTTTTTTTTTAAATCCATAAACTCATTGAGTTGTTTGGAAGCTAGGAAGTCAGCAGTGGTGATTGAAAATGTCAGAAATTTGAGTGAGTGTGATACATGTCGTTTTCCTGGGATAGTGCAATATATCTGTAAATATTGGTGTTGATGTTGGATAGAGACGCATATAAGAATTGACATATGACTAATCTTGACAGTATCACACATATACAAATCTTATATACCTAATCTTGGACAGTAAAGGACTCTTTTCCAGACCTTTAGGTGTATTGGGCTAGACCTATATTTCATAGACCAGTTGGCACTCAGTGGGTGATGTAGGTCATGTTTGGAAAAAAGTCAAGGCTCTGACAGGAACTGAACCCATGACCTTCCTATCCGCAGGTGAGCATCTAGACGTTATACCAAGATCCCCAGTCTTGGACAGTATCACAAGATTTATGTATTACATATTATGTTTGTTGTCTGGGAATTGTTTCGAAGGCAGCGGGATGTGGCTTCGGAGACAATAGTTACAAATGCTTTTGACAGCATAACAGTGACTGCCGGGGGTGGGGGCACTAATGGAAGTATATTATGTGCAGCCATAAGAAAGAGACGAAATGTGTTTTTTTGTACCTTTAAAGTAAAAATAAAATAAAAAATAAAGGCAAGCTGCATGGGCAGCAGGTAATCTCTACAATACTGTCCAAGCTTTATGTTGCGGAGAGGAGAAACTACATCCCTGCTCTCTACAATATTGTCCAGGCTTTATGTTGTGGAGAGAAGAAACTTTATCCCTGATCTCTACAATATTGTCCAGGCTTTATGTTGTGGAGAGAAGAAACTTTATCCCTGCTCTCTACAATATTGTCCAGGCTTTATGTTGTGGAGAGAAGAAACTTTATCCCTGCTCTCTACAATATTGTCCAGGCTTTATGTTGTGGAGAGAAGAAACTTTATCCCTGCTCTCTACAATATTGTCCAGGCTTTATGTTGTGGAGAGAAGAAACTTTATCCCTGCTCAATACTATACTGTCCAGGCTTTATGCTGTGGAGAGAAGAAACTTTATCCCTGATCTCTACAATATTGTCCAGGCTTTATGTTGTGGAGAGAAGAAACTTTATCACTGATCTCTACAATACTGCCCAGGCTTTATCCTGTGGAGAGGAGAAACTACATCTCTGGCTGTCAATGGTTTTTGCCATGGGCTGTGATCGCCATGCCTACCTTTAGCACAGTGGACCACTTTCACGTGGAAAGAAGCTAACAACAAAAACAAACAAAAAGACAGGACTGAGAGAAATGAAGCTTGGTGGTTTAAGATGGTAGTATGGATGAATATTATCAACAGAATTGATCCAGAAAACAAAAGGCTTAAGTGTGTGGATGCCTCATAATTTGACCAAATCCCAGATTATAAATCTGAGGGTATAAAGTGTGTTTTATTTCCCAGTTGTCTAAACTACTTTTTTTTAAATTTTAGCGTACCCTTTTGTATAGTGACTAAGAATGGTCACTGTGTTAATTTGTGAAATCTAGAAACATTTGGAGTACAACTTCTGATAAAAACCAGATTTAAAAAAAAAAAAAGAAACATTTGCTTATTTTAATCCATACATGAACATGACTAATATTTATGAGAAATGTACAAATGAAATGATGTATGAAAGGATAAAAGAACCGTAGAATGATAGATGGACTACCTGGAGAAGAGAAATACAAGTGTGATAAGGTAAAGGCAGAAGAAAATGTGAAAACAAACATGAAATAAAACCATAGCCAACGAGAAACAGGAAATGCCTTTATTTTACTGTGTACATTAAATCTTATTTAAATTTGATTCATAAACCCACATACCCCCAATCAAACCAACCTTTCAAAAATCAAAAATACAGGTCTGCAAGCATTCACTTCCATCCAGGAGACCGCAACACAATCTTTCATGCAAATTATCTCTGCCAGCAATTAAATTCCTTGTAGAAATCAATGACAGAAATGATAACACAATCTTTCATGTATATCTCCACAAGCATATATCACTAGTTATCATGACCTTCTTGACGCTACAATCAATGATAAACAAAGATTCACATCCACCAAAGCAAAAGTGTTTTAAAAATATGGTCCACCAAACTGGTCAGGAAGAAGGAGTGGTCCGTGCTAGCCTCCTGTGTACTTGCCCCATATGTGTGCTAACCTCGTGTGTACTTGCCCCATATGTGTGCTAGCCTCATGTGTACTTGCCCCATATGTGTGCTAGCCTCGTGTGTATTTGCCCCATATGTGTGCTAGCCTCCTGTGTACTTGCCCCATATGTGTGCTAGCCTCCTGTGTACTTGCCCCATATGTGTGCTAGCCTCATGTGTACTTGCCCCATATGTGTGCTAGCCTCCTGTGTACTTGCCCCATATGTGTGCTAGCCTCATGTGTACTTGCCCCATATGTGTGCTAGCCTCCTGTGTACTTGCCCCATATGTGTGCTAGCCTCATGTGTACTTGCCCCATATGTGTGCTAGCCTCCTGTGTACTTGCCCCATATGTGTGCTAGCCTCGTGTGTACTTGCCCCATATGTGTGCTAGCCTCGTGTGTACTTGCCCCATATGTGTAGCATGAACACTGAGGCGATAAATATGAGACTCATCACCAGCACAGGAACTGGGCCACTGTGGACGACAAGAAAACAAGAGTCAGTTATTCTGTCATGGTCATTGTTGTCTGTGATCTGAAATTATCAGGCGTTTCAAATGTGTCTGAAGGTGTTATCTCTGAACATGGGCAGAGATTCTAACTATGAGACATTCCAGGTGTGTGTTACTGACAGTTTTATCTATAAACCTGGACACAGATTCCAACTATGAGACATGATAGATTTATTATTTCTGAACATGGGCAGAGATTCCAACTATGAAGCATTTCAGGTGTGTGTAGAGTGTTGTCTCTAAACATGAACAGGGAATCCAATTATGAGGCATTTTAGGTGTATGCTGGCCTCTTTTCCAAATGACAGTATTATACAGTACAGAGGAATGGGAATCACAGGCCATGGTGCTGATATGACTAGCAAGACCCACTCATATTGAGAAGTCTTTCATAACTAAAGCATGTAGTTTCAGGACTTATGTGGCCATCACATTGATTTCATGTGCTTCTTCTCAGATGCTGAGTTCTTAAACTATCTGCGGTCATTTCTCCTTTAACCCCAGTCCCTTTCTGAATTCCACCCTCCACACAGCATGATCCAGAGCATCCTGCTCTCATGATTCCGACAACACCTGTATCATTCATGTTCCACTTGCACACATCTTTATATCCTAGAAGAGGCCGACCTAAATATCTTCTACTCATCTGTAATAACCACACACAATGGTGACAGATTATATCTTATATGTAAACATAGTTCCATGGTGGAAACTCTCCCTGGAGTTTGGAGAGGTGACTTACTTATTTACTTTACTTAGTTATTTAGTAGCTCCTCTTTTACCTTGGGGTGTAGAGGTTTGCCAGAGAGATCGCAAGACTTCTCTATCAGCAGTTTTGTGTGTGTTCTAGTCAACCCTTTTCTACTTTGGGGTGTAGAGGTTTGCCAGAGAGATGGCCAGGCTTCTCTATTAGCAGTTTTCCTTCTGGCTTTGTTCCATTCCAGTTTTCTGTGACTGTCGGATGTTGTCTTCCCAGCGGACCATGGATTTCTGTGACTGTCGGATGTTGTCTTCCCAGCGGACCATGGATTTCTGTGACTGTCGGATGTTGTCTTCCCAGCGGACCATGGATTTCTGTGACTGTCGGATGTTGTCTTCCCAGCGGACCATGGGTTGCCCTGGAGGTCTGGTTCTTAGCCTGCCATGGTGACCGATTTTCTCCCATTCTCCATCCATGTCCAAACCATCATAACTGTGACTGATCCAGTCGGGTTTGTAAGGCCTGGGTTTCAAGGTCTTGACATATTGTCTGACTGCTGACTTTGTCCCTTCTTGTCACTTGAACCACCTTTCTCAGATATCTCATTTCTGAGGCCTGAAGCTGGCTTCTGTGAGCTGTTGTCACTGCCCATGACTCACATCCGTTGAAGTGTTCAGCCTTCTAATATTCTAGGCTATGATAAGAGGTCAAGTGCCAACTATCTTACTCACTTCCGTTCCGCCACAGACAAAAGTTAGGGGAAGTTTCCTCACGACTGTTGCAACTGAATCCTGTGCTGTTATAGGACTATTTGGGACACAGCTCAAGAAGACGTAATCAGAGAGTCACCAAACAAGTACTGAAATGGAAAATAAAGGGACTGAGGATATGAGGACAGCCAAAAGAAATCCTAAACTGAATGCTGACAAGAGAAGCCAAAGTTACTGGACTTCATCCATGATTTAAAGAACCTGCACAGGAAGGAATGGAGACGAGGAATAAACTGCGAGCCCTATGCGACATATAATAACATAAGAGGACAATGATGACGATTAGGTAAATTTGTTTACAAATTCTTTGTGACAACAGCTCTAAATATTTACAGATAACACCAGTCATAACACAGCAACTTAAAACTGCTCAACTGTGTTGAACTGTCAGTCTGGAATTTAAACCAAATCCTAAGAAAGTACACATGATTACATCATATCCTTACACTTTAATCCCTGGAGAGTCCTCTGTGTAGAATCTCCACATCCCAGCACTACTGCCTGCTGCCTTCCTGGCACCTCCTCCACTTGAGGCTGGGGCTTTCCTGTTTCAACAAGAACAGGGTAGCATTAGAGCTGCAAAATGGTTCTGTATTAGGGTTAATGGACAGCATACTGTTAGAGACAGAGCACTGTATTATCTTCTGGAGTAAGAACTAAGTGCTATATTACAATTTAATCTCCGTATATTACAGTTGAAGCATTATTTTACATTACATTTACAGCAGGACCTGTTCACGTTTCCAGGCCCAGGATTACAGTGACCCCAGGATTAGAGTGACTTTCCTTGGTATTTAAGCCTCCTTAGGTCGCTGGACCTTCCTATGTCACAGGGTTGTTATGATATGGCTTGGTTTGGTGATCGCTTGGCGTATGTAATGTCTGTGGGAGGTTGTGTTGTTGTGAGTCTATTTCAGGCCCTGCGGCCAAATAAGAAGTACAGCTGGCGCGACGATTCTTGGCTATCAAAACTGGGATGTTTTTGCATTTTTACGTTCGTTAGCGTTTACTTTCCCCGAGAGAAAGAAAGCAGTTACAAGGAGAGTTGGAACAGAAACAATATGGTGTTCCATATGCCCAAACTGTCGCGCAGGTAGCAGAACATGAAAATAATCACACAATCAAACTGCGAGAAGACGAGAAAAGAGAGAACGGTTAAACCATTCACAATTAGGAAACATAACTCTTCCGCAACATAGGAGAGGCCCTGCGGCCCAGGGAGGCCTGAAAGGCAAGGGAAGTCACTCTAATCCTGGGCCTAGAAACATGAACAGCACCTTACAGCATGACATATAATAGTTACAGCATTACATATTACAGTCAGAGTATATACATTACAATTAAAGTATTATACATTAGCCACACCAATACAGAGTCAAAGAACCATATATAAGGGGTAACAGCATGATGTTTAGTTGCAACAGTGCTATATGAGAGTTAAAACATCTGCTATAGTTAGAATATATATTAGCTGGTCTTTCTCCTCCTCCTTTTGTCCGAATGCTTCTGCTTTAAAGCATCACTGACAGGAGATACTTGGAGTTTCTTCTTGTCTTTTGCTAACTGCATAGGTTAGCTGCAGCAGATTGCTATGTGCGAGTTTGAACATTTATTAGTTGCAGTAAACTGCTCTATAAGCATTAGAAAAAATAAAGCAGTTAGAAGATGATATGAAATAACATTTTTAAGGAACTACATGATGGTGCTACAATAAAACAGAACTCTATTACAAGTGAAGAACATATTCGAGGTGGAACAATAATTTTAGACTTAGAACAATACAATACACTATTAGAAATGCAGCCTGTGGCTACACTGGAGTCAAAGCACAATGCTATATCAGATGTTTCTAGAGAATGTGCTCAGATGTCAATCTTGGAGATCCCAAGTTTCGGGCAGCAGTCTCTGAGACCCATCTGGTGTAGCTGAAGACAAAGTGCTCCCCTTCAACCTTAAGGTCCTGAACCGATCACTTCCACCTAGCTTGTGTATGCTCTCTAACATAAAATGCTTTATTGATAAAATACAACTGCTGTGAGAAAGATAGGTGTTTGGAAGGGCCGAATGTAAGACAGGCCTGCGTGCCTGATTTGTGAACCTCTAAAAATAAAGTTTGTTTGTTCGTTCTCTGGTCTTCATTTTGTTTTTACCCACTTCACTCAGAAATAAATGTCCTTGTCTTAAAGATCTGTGATGGATGAGGCTGCATAAGGTTTACAGTGGCTGAGGTCAGCTGAAAGTAACCAGCATTTATATCCCAGCAGACACATGAACCGGTGAAGTAAGGAAAATGTGCCTTAGATACCTCTGTCTAACTGCTGATCCTCCAGAAGATCTGGGTGTGATGGATTTAGAAGCACCCCCTCGTCCTCCGCTACCAACAGACGTAGAACTGGCTGCAGGCTGTAGAGCAGTATAACATATACATTGACACTTGTGGGTAAAATATTTACTTTAAAAAAATAGCATCAAGGTTAATCCACACCCATAACTATTAGGCGGCGTCCGTGGCTAAGGCGTTGCGAGTCTGACTGGTAATCCAACGTACCGCGATCGAAACCTACGTGGGCTGCGTGGAATTTTATCGTGGTATGGGACGTCGCAGGTCAACCCAGCACCAAATGGGTACCAGGATGGGTTGCCCTGGGAAAGTAAAGACGGCCGGCGTAATGGTGACCACATTACCCACCGAGTGCCAATTGGTCTGTAAAAATATGGGTGCTCTTCCCATATGCCTGATGTGCCTAAGGGCGTGTAAAGGGATCTTTACTTACTTACTTTACTTATAATTATTACCCCCAAAAAATATTTGTTTCAGATAATAGAGGGGAATTTAATTATTGGCACAAGACATTGGAGATACCCTAGGTAGGAAAGTGTACAAGGCTGGAACGCTGAGAAGAGACAGTCGATTTCTGATGGGCTGCAAATTTATCTTCAGCAGCCAAGTTATCTGTATACTGTAAAGATAATCACATCACCTGGGCAGGAACGGTCATGAACCAGTTGTTGAATGTCAGGTTCTGCAACATCCGCTGGACAGCTCCTCTCATTCCTGCCCCAGTGTGATCAGAAAAGAGAACCCTACACAAGTCTGGCCACCCAGAGAGGATTGCGAAGAGAGGAATGTGCCCAGCCATGAAGTAATTCCTGAGACAACATGTTGACTGCTAGATCGTATACCTCTACACAGGCACAGCAAGAGAGACCTGGATAAAGAATCTGATCGAATTGACAGACACCTGACCGTTGAAGGTGGAGAGAGCTGTAGCAGTCATATTTCTTCTTCTTCTGCGCTCATCCGAAGATGTAATTGCGTTGTGTCCGTTAACAGCATGGCTGCGATATTTGCACCTTTCAGCCAACACGTTCCACTTCTGCGGGCATTTGTTAACCGGGTCAGCCTTCCCAACAAATGCCCGCAGAAGTCGGACGTGTTGGCTGATGACTGATCAGTCATTCAACAGCAACGAACGTGAACACCCAGTGCAAAGGAAAGATAATGACAGTAATGACACAATGGACAATGTATGATTGTTGTGACATCTTGACTCACCCCTCTCCTAACTCAACACTATCAAGCATGCACACAACATCTCTACTAACGTCTTCTTGGGCCATTCAAGGTTTACTTTTGTTCTTATATATTAAATTTATTTAATAAATATGTGTAATAAATTAAAATCATCAAGACTTTACGTTTTATTAAAACTGTTAACATATCATAACCCGAAAATACAAATTCACAATTCAATCATTCATATCAAATACGTTTTGATTTTCTGTTTACTTTTTTTTTACATGTATAATTTACTCCTTCTCAGAGTTTGTCAGGGGGCTCATATATATTTTCCTGACATAAAGTAACTGCTACTAAAAGTAAAGAATCATAATCACTCACCAACGGCATTGTGATCGCGTGTGTCTGGGAGTTTAAACAACAGGTTCAGCTACGACAAACAAGACTGTCTCTTTCGTTTCATGCCACGTACAGTTTCAGTCCTTGACTTCCGCTTGCCGACCAGGGCTGTCGAAGTTGGTACTTTCGCAAAATTTGGTCAACCAGTGTTTGATCCCAACAGAGCAAAACTGTGTTCTAGCACCACAACAGATGTTTTGGTATGTTTTAGTGGCGTTTTTTTTTTCCTGATTAACTGTGGTACGATAAAAACAAAAGCGCAGAGGATTTAACAGTAAACTGACTGCATCAACTTGAAGCCGATACAATAGCTTTTTAACAAACTGAGCAGGTATAAAACGTTACAGCCAGTGTTGCCACTTTTCTTTGACAAAAAACATCCAGAACGGAGTCAAAAAATATCTAAAAAGATCTAAATTTGCGTGGAAAACATCTAGAAAAAACATCCTAATCGCGAAAGAGTCACAAATTACATAGCTATTGATATGACTTACCATATAGAATCATGTCCTTATCTTCACTGGTGTCTGCCTCACAAGATCCACAGGATAAACTTAGCTTGGATGATGGAATTGAAGCTTCAGATCCAAAATAACTCTGGTATGCTTTAGCTGTTCAAATTTCTTTTAATACACTATCAGGAAGCTGATAAGTGGAACAGCATTTTTATACTCTCATCAGGCCGAATTGTAATTGTCAAGATAGCATTTAAGAGGTCAAATTTTATCCTGTTTCTTAGGTTAGATTTGATATAATTCATAGTACTGAAAACTTTTTCTTCGTCAGCATTTGAGTAGGGTAGTATCGTGGCAGACATGGCACATTCAAAGAGCTTGTTTGATGAGGAATCTTTAAATTGTCTCACTTCACTCCAAAACGCTTCAGTTTCTGTTTTGTTTGTCCATTCAACTAAGTTTGTTTTGGTTAACTGATATTCTGCTTCCACGACACTATTATCAGTAGCCCCTAAACATTTCATAACTTTGCAGTATTTAGGTATGTTCTTTACTGGCTGAAGTATGTTGCTCACAGAAAAAAGTGAAATATTTTTCAAAACATCTAGATTTTCAGGAAGTCTCTGCTTCAATTGCTTGAATAACGAGATAAGGAAATTTGACCGCGCTTTCTTAAGTTGTTCTCTTCATTCTCTGTTACAGTCCTTTTGTTTTTAAATCGTGGCAGACATGGCACATTCAAAGAGCTTACAGAATGGACTGTTTGATGAGGAATCTTTAAATTGTCTCACTTCACTCCAAAACACTTCAGTTTCTGTTTTGTTTGTCCATTCAACTAAGTTTGTTTTGGTTAACTGATATTCTGCTTCCACGACACTATTATCAGTAGCCCCTAAACATTTCATAACTTTGCAGTATTTAGGTATGTTCTTTACTGGCTGAAGTATGTTGCTCACAGAAAAAAGTGAAATATTTTTCAAAACATCTAGATTTTCAGGAAGTCTCTGCTTCAATTGCTTGAATAACGAGATAAGGAAATTTGACCGCACTTTCTTAAGTTGTTCTCTTCATTCTCTGTTACAGTCCTTTTGTTTTTAAATCGTCAGTTTTCGATGCAATTTATATATCCAAGGTATGGCTTAGGAGCCAAATAGCTCTCTATAGTGCAAGTGAGCAAATCAGCTTTAGAAGTTGGCAACACCAGTCTTTTAAGAACTGTGTGAAATAGCAAAGTGAGATCGTACAGTAATTTAACTTTATCAACATGTTTAGATTCGAACAGTTTATTAACTTTTGCGCTTCCATTAGAATAGGTTGTAAAAAGAGAAGGAATGCCACATTTTTTTCATCATTGTACATTCCATATACTATATATGATAAAGTATTTCAGCTGTGTAGCATTTTCACTTTGTCTTGTTATTTCAAAGTGTGTTTTCAACTCCAACCATTGGTTCACAATTCTTTCAACAGCTGGTTGAACTGATAACCATCTAGTTTTGCAATCTGACAGAATTTTCAGTGGTGTGGAACCATCATTCAAGACTGTATATAATGTACTGTATTGCTGTTGTCTGACAAATGCTTTGGAAAACAAGTTATGTGTTTCAGCAGTAAGGTATTCCAAATTCTTTGGTAAACATTCAGATGAAGTATGTGATAATGCTAGCTGCAATGAGTGACACATACATTTTATAAGTATTAACGATGGGATACCTTCCTTCAACTTGGCATAAACGCCATTGTTTAAACCAACCATCACCGAGGCATTATCGGTACCAATTGCAGCCAAATTCTTCAAGTCTGTTTGATGAATAAAAGTTTCTTCAGTTCCTGAACCATACTTTCGGCATCACACTTTTCCAATTGAACTAGTCCAAGATATGTAGAAACTACTTTGTCTGTATTGTTGCTGTAATATATAACACACATACCAAGCACTTTCAGTACCGAAATGTCATTTGATTTGTCTAATAATAAACTATTTCTTATAATATGTGTACACTTGCTGCGATGCATTTTCACATCATCCACAACTTTACTGTCAGAAATAGTATTTTAAAACAAATCAACCAAATGGTCACAGTTTGAAATTGAACAATGACAACTTAAAAACATTGCGACCGATCCTTCTGTTTCACTTCTGCCGTCACATGTTATTACTTGTCCAAGATATAAGAAATTTTTAACTTGTTCCAATTTCACCCCGTTCACTGTGATATTCATTGTTAGCTGATTATTTTCTTTGGTAAATATCATGGTTTTTGTCTTTTTCAAATTTATATCCAAATTCTGCACTCTTTCTGTTTACTTGCTCCACTAGGTCTTGCAACTCCTGCTCACTCTCTGCTAGCAACACTGTGTCGTCAGCATATCTCAGATTGTTTATTATTCTACCATTGATGTGCAGTCCTGGTAATTCTACAATGTCTTTAAAAATGGTTTCTGTACATAAGTTGAAAAGGCTATGCGACAGCACACATCCTTGTCTTACTCCTCTCTTGATCTCTATCTGGGGTGAGCAGATGTTGTCATATCTTACTGTTGCTTCTTGCTCCCAGTATAAGTTTCTAATAAGTCTGATATCCTTTCCATCTAGTCCTATGTTTTGACGAGCTGCAATTAGTTGTTCATGTTGCACTCTGTCGAAAGCTTTTTTGTAATCTATAAAACATGCTTAAATATTTTTCCGAACTTCTATATATTTTATATATATATATATACACACACACACATACACACACAAGGCGCCTGGCTCGCTAGCGTAGTTGGCCAAACCTGACTGCGCTGTGACCGGGTGACGAACTCCTTGTGGTCTCTGTTCACGCCCGGGGGTAGGCAGAAAAGCCACATTTCTCCCAGATTTACGGTATTTATCGTGGAATCAAAGCCGAGGGGTTGCGATATCCATAATACCGAGCCTAAGGGTCAACTCATGGCTTCTGGATACTATATATACAAGGCAACTTTTCAGAAGATGAAAAGTATTTAATGTAATAAATCACTCTCATTAAACATCCGAAAACGAGTAC